CAGATACAAAGATGCCGTTAGGACCCTTTGGAAATTGACAAGGTGCAGACGCTAGCAAGCGTGCAACTGTGCCGTCACCACTCGTCGAAGAACCAGAGCAAACCCTTCCAATCCGATTCTGACAAGATTGGCCAGGAAGACGGGCTGTCTAGCAACGCACCCGAGAGGCACGTCTCTTGAGCGGGGAGTCTGACCGGGTTTGGTGTGCCTGGCCACCTCCCCTTCCCGACAACCTCAGAACCATCTCATCAGGGCCGGAGGGAAACACTCGTTGTTCTGCAATCACTCATGATGATCACTTTCTACATGAAGCAAAGAGCGCCTCACCGCTTCCAACAGCTCCTGTCTCTCCTCCACCCCTGTCTGCGGATATTCACACGCCCGCAAGTGCAAAGAATGCCCCTCTAGCCGCGCCGCCAGGAATGTGGCGAAGTCGGACTGCTTGCCCTGGCTGTTGGTGAAGCCGTGTGCCCACTCGTATGCGAGAGCGCGCTGCAACGCGTCGTAGCTGCCCGTCTCCTTGGCGGCCAGCACGCGCACGTTCGGCTCGCCCAAAAACTCTGCCACCTGCCAAGGGACACAGAGTGCGGGTCGTCTGTTTCAAGCTCGGTGCCAAGCATCCTCAAGATATGTCCTCCGGAGTTCCCTAGTCAGTTCGAAAACCGTGCACCCAGTTTGCAGTGATCGGTCTGATTCTCAGGGGTCCCTTTTTGCTTTTTCGGTCTTCTATCCTTCTTCCTCTTCTCCACCAGCGACAAGCGTCCACTTCCTGAGATAGGTCTGTTGAAGGGGAGACAAATGGTCGAAACCATCCAATTGACTTCAACTGATACGGTTCCTCGAATGATTGCCAAACATTCTCGTCAGTTGACGAAATACGGTTGGCCGTTCCCAGTTGTTGGAGTTCAGCCTACAGAGACGTTTCCCGTTTCACCTTACAAGAGAAGTCCGCAGCCTTCGAAGTTGCAGAAATATGGTCTTGATCAAGCGACGGGTTGCATAACTCTCTCTGCTGTCCACGAGAGGCTGCCCCCTTTATACCCGTTTTTTCCGTAATTGACAAGAATGACAGCTATACCCTTACTTTTCTAACAGCAAGGGCAGGTGCAAGCTTTCAGACGGAAGTTCAGGCAAGCACTCGGCCCACCGAGACTCGAGACCCAAAAGCTTACCCGGTCGAGGATCTTCTCCCGCCCCGCCGCCTTGCAGCGCACGTACTTGCGCTGCAGCTCGTGCAGCTCGTGCGCGTGCTTCTGGCTCATCGTAATCCGCGCCCAGTCCATCAGCTGGAAGTCGAGAAACACGCTGAACTTCATTTTCGTCCCCTGTAAGTTGCAAAACCCCGCCTGCACCTCAACCGCCAGCGCGCGCCGCAGGTCGTCCAACCGGGGGAACTCGTGAGGGATGATCTTCTCTTCGGGGGGTCGGTCCTCTGGAGGGTTCCAAGTTGGGGACGAAAGAAGCGTCTCCTGCGACGTTCCCCTGTCTAGCACGTCCCCAAGAAACGGCTCGTCGGTGGACAGCATACCCAGGGGCTCCTCAGCACTGCCGATTGAGATGAGCGGTTCGTTTGCGAGCGGGGGGCCTAGCACGGGGGACCCCTGAGTCGCCCGTAGGCGCCCCGAAGCCCGTGGAAATGTCTCCGTAAGGGCTTCCTGGGCGGGCCAGAAGGCCAACCCTGACGTTCCGGGAGCGCCAAACTGAGATGGCCTCCGCAATGGCGCCAAAGTCGACTGCGCCCTCTTGACACCGCCCTTGGCAAACACGGTCCCCGCAGATGAACGCAGTGTCCGAATAGAGTGCGGCCAAGCTGGCGGTCCGCACGTCCCCCATCCTGATGCTGCTCTCTGCCAAGGAGGGGCTAGACTCCGTAAATCGCCGTAGCATTTGGCGGCAACATGGATGAGCCTGTGACTTGGCGGGCAACCGAGCGCCAAAAGCACCGGAGACCTCAAAGAAGGGTGCCAAGAGGAGGGCGCGGCAGAGTGCTGAGCTGGCGCGGATGGTGTAAGAAGAGACCCCCTCATAGTGAGGCGATCAGACGCAGCCATGTGGCGCCAAGAGAGTGGGCGCAGAATTGTGGACCTTCCATTTGCAGTCAGAGGGTCGCCAGTCCGTGGCCGGTAAGCTGGCGAAAGATGGCCCTTTGCGCAGAAGCGTCTATTTGGGGGCTGAGAGACTGTTCTAGAGATGAACCGTGAGCCTAGGGAAACTATGCTTGTGTTGGTGGAATAATGGAGTCGCCAGACGGTGTTACTGCTGGGAAGGGGCAAGGCACTGAATTTCAAAGAGACATGGTGGGGCAGGATCCGCTTCAAAAGCGAGGACGCAAGATTCATGCTAAGGAGCCCGGCCCAGGTTGCGAAAGACTACCACTATGCCCCACCCACAGCGGCCTTATTTATCGGGCTTGTAGTAGATGAAGGGCTCCGTTGGTTCTTCACTGCAACCGACGCGACCAAATCAGAGTGATCAGCCGCCAGAAACCTTCTCGACATCAAAACGTGCCATGACCGTCTGATAGAGTGGTACTTACAAGACCTCGACTAACATCAGGCAAGCCGGGTTGCAAGAGGGAGCTGGAAAGACAAATGCTGATGCTCAATTCTCCTTTCTAAGGAGTTGCTATTAGGACTTGTGAACACCGATTGAGATAAGCACAAACCCCAGGGCACAGCAAGTCACACCACCGCTTCCAACGCCATCAGAAGAAGCGCAACGCACTCACCCTGGCTTCGCCCTCATGCACTGCCAAAAGAGCTGCACAGGCTTCTTCATCGTCTCAAGCGGATTCCCTTCAAAAAGCGCCTGCAGCAACGCAATCCCACCTCAATCAAACACTCCCAAATAGTCAAACTAATCAGACTGGAAGCAATCAGTGCAATTGAAACTGAGCGAGCCTTAATTTTGGGGAACTTGTTCACCGCTGTTCTGCAACTATCATGAAGTTCTTACTGCAGCAAGCGAGCAATTGATCGGTTGCGCTTGCCTGGATACAATCCTCCAGCCTGTCATTGCAGCGGTGGGGGCGAAGATCGGGGTTGTTCTTTCGCCTCCGCGGCACTTTCCGCTCAATGCCGTCAGCCGCGCTGTCTGCAGCTTTGCTTTCGGTCGAAAGAGTCGGCACAGGTGGCTCGCTCTGTCCCGCTCCAACCGCCTCCGCCTGCATTGGAGCTGAGGGCCGGCTCTGCGCGCCACCCATTTGGAACCGTCGTCGCTCTATCCTAAAGGCTACCTAATGATGATCTGCTGAACAGTGCTTGCAAATTGCAACTGCAAGCAGTGTCATGCAGCTCATGCTGTAGCCTAGAGTGCCACAGCAGCCTAGAGCAGTCATTTATTCGGGCCGGGCGGGCGCGGCCGCCCAGCCATTTGAATTTCCAATTTGTAAAGCACGATAATTCCAAGTTCTCGATCTAGTTAAATTGAGCAGCTGATTCATGATTGGTGGTAACGGCAAGCATCTCACGGTTGACCGGTTTCGGTTGTTAGCCGTCGATCTTGTCCCCGTGCTATTTAATCATTCGATCGATAGTGATTCTTGGCCAATGATAGGCACAGGTACGGTATGCGTACCGGTAGGTCTACCTACCTATAAGCGATAGGTATGCCTAGGGAAGTTTCAAGTTTAGGGTGCTAGCCCGGGCTACCTATGTACATAATTCACCAAGCACCTATGGTATTACCTATTAATATTCATCTAATGGGGTTCAGGAATCAGCAACCCCAAAAAGTTTTAGGTAGTCGGGAATCGACCGGCCCGGCTAGTATCTTGGACACCGTGCACTTCTTTGACTAGCGCAATCCAAATGAAACCCCAAGACGGCGTTCCCGGTTGGATGCCCCGCCCTTGACATTGTCGTCGCCGAAACCAGGAGAAGACACGGGCGTTTTCAATTTCCCGTCCACTTGGCTCTCCGGCGACACACAGCCTGTGAAGATGAGATAGGTTGTCGCTGCATATATTTGAGAACGTGCTCGTTTAGGCGACCGCCACAGCGGCGCCTTGGCTAGAGGGTCGCTCAATAGATATGACCGGTCCTCTGAAGTTTTGGAACATTATGTACCAGCAAATTCGGAACAAAAGTTACCAGTACGGTATTATATTCTCAATATACTGGTAGGTTGTAACCCTTGTGTGCCCTATTATAATCAGCTGTGTGTCCTAGTCAGTGTTTCCGCTAACTTTTTCAATTGGTGGCCCTCGGGCCCCCTGGGCCCGGTCTTCGGGGGCCCGGTGGGCCCCCTCACTATCCACATTGGGGGCCCATGGGCCCCCTCGACACTCTGATCGGGGGCCCAAAATTGGTTTGAAATCGCCCCCTGTTAGATTGCATAGGACGTCCTGACGCAATACTATGCGAAATGGGGGGCTGAATGCCCATTCTGCTTGCGGTAACCCCCCAGTAGATGAAATTGGAGATGTTGAACACATTTCTGCTCGATTTTAACAAGGAATATTGTGTAGAAGCTCAAAAATGTCTGTATAAGCTTGAAATATTTCCTCAGCTTGGGCCCCCTCACACCGATGTATGGGGGCAGAAGGGCCTCCAACCAATGCTCTTTGGGGGCCCGTCGGGCCCCCTCGCTTCGAGCATCGGGGGGCCCATCGGGGGGCCCATTGGGAACCCATCGGGCCCAAGGCCCTCCTATTGGGGGACGATATCGGCCATTGGGGGCGATAATGGCTGGTGGCGGGCCCCCAGTGGAAACACTGGTCCTAGTGCCTAAAAGCCCATAGACCCCGAGCAACCAAGGTCCAAAACGAAACACCCATTAAACCCAAATGTTTCCGCACTCCGCACCAGAACCTACACTAACCACTAGGCTAACTTTGACCATCCTCCGGGCGCCTGTTTTTAAGGCACGCTGCAATTTAGGCACACCAAACTCACCAGAGAGAGAATAATATCAGGTAAATTACGTGCTACCTGGGTACTCGGGAGTCGGAAGGTACGGATGAGCCCTGTTGACTTCCTGGCCTCGAAAATGCAGGTGCAATCCCCGATTGGTCAACCGAACTGACGCCCGACACCATCACTTGAGAAGACGTTTTGACGCGTCAGAAACGCCAGTGGCAGAGCCCTGGCAGGACGAAGGAAACTTTCCATTGGAAAGGAGGATCGAAGAAGGTTGGGTGCGTCCCAAAACCCTTGAGGCTGACACTGACAGGGCTTTCAATAGAAATTCTTGCATTGCGTGCGAATTGTGCGCAGCTTTGCATTGGGATGGACTTGGCCGGCCTCGCGAGCGTTTCTTTGTGCTAGGCTATGGGCAACACATGCTTTGGCACAGGCGACGAACCCAACGCGCGGACAGCCCCCTCCCACCTCCCCAGCACCGAAAAGCAGCAATTCATTGAGCCCATGGCTGCAACCGCGCCTTATAAGAAGCCAGCCCCTTCAAAAGCTGCAACCATGACGACCTCCGTCCTAGGGCGACCGACAGACAGCCTCCGAGACTTGTATTCACTAGGAAAGGAGTTAGGGAGGGGGCAATTTGGCATCACATATTTGTGCACGGAGAAGTCTACTGGGCAGGTGTATGCGTGCAAGTCAATTGCTAAGAGGAAGCTTGTGACCAGGGACGATGTCGATGATGTGCGGAGAGAGGTGCAAATTATGCACCATCTTTCGGGGCACCCGAACATTGTCAAAATCAAGGTGAGTGTTCCTGAACAATAGTCGCATTTGCACCCTTTAGCCTGTTCTCCTTGTTCTACAGGTGCTTGGCTGGGTGAAGGCTGTCGTGCATTGCTTACAGCTGATCTGAACATCTTGAGGAAACTACCTCGGTTGAATCTGGTCAAAACAAGGTTTCAACTGTAAAAACAGAACTCATCTCAAGGTCTTTCTCCTTGCGCAAATCCTTGGATGTGGTTTTCCAGGCCCCCGTCACGTGTTGATTGCCAGATTCTTCTCAAGCATGAGCGTGACGCATCGCCAACAGCCTAACAGATTATGAGCAGGTTGCATTTGGCGTCATCATTTCCAGCATAGCTGCGAGAACAGCTTAAGTTCGTATACTTTTCTTGGATACCCGCACCCTCATGAAGTGCAACTCTATGTCAATCTTTCGCTTGATTTTTTGACAAAGTCAGACCCTTCTGGTTTTACTGTCCTTGTCTCTTTCGAGTTTTGTTCAAGTCTAAGCCTGACAATGTGTCCTAAGAGCTTGACTTTGAGGCAGCACTCCACAAGATACATCTTCCGGCCAACTCTAGAATATTCGACATGACTTCACATCAGAGTTGCTCGCTCAATGTGCATCTGCCCTCTGCTGAAATCCAGTGGCACTACCTGACTTTCTCTCCACACTCGGTATTCGCCAATCCATGTCATGATGGCTTTCTCCCCTTCCCAAATAATCAATAATGCTCACTCAATCCATAAGAAATTACAATGGCTCACTCCCCAACGCACCGAAAACAAACTGATCCCTGTGTTGAAGAAGGAATGACACTTGTTCCCCCCTGATTTGCCAGGGCGCCTATGAGGACCTGCAGAACGTGCACCTCGTTATGGAGGTGTGCGCGGGCGGGGAGCTGTTTGACCGCATCATCACCAAGGGCCACTACAGCGAGCGCGCAGCCGCCAATTTGACGGGGGTCATCGTGGGCGTCGTTCAGCAGTGCCACCAGCTGGGGGTGATTCACCGCGACCTGAAACCCGAGAATTTTCTGCTGGCGGACAAGTCGGAGGATGCGCCGCTCAAGGCCACCGACTTTGGCCTCTCCATCTTCTTTAAGCCAGGTAGGTGGAGCTTAGTCTTTTCATTGCCTTCAAGCCAGGTGTCTGGACTTAAAGTCCTCCATTTTCTTTAAAACCAGGTCTGTGGGGAGGGCGCCCCGCTTCCTCCGTTGTTGAAGCATCATTAAAAAGTCACAGATGATTCCAATTGCAACATAATGCCGCTAGCGCCGCTGGCAGCAAATCTCAACATTGAGAACTGTGAACTGCTGGCAGTGGTATCAGCAGGATCGCTTGGATTCTGTAATCTTGAGACGGTCGACCTCAATTTTCCTGTTTTCAGCTCCATAATTGCCGTCATTTTGTAGCCTGATTTAGGGACCCCTGCGTGTTTTGTGAGCAGGTCAGGTCTTCAGCGACGTTGTGGGCAGCCCCTACTATGTAGCCCCAGAGGTGCTGCGCCGGCATTACGGCCCTGAAGCAGACGTCTGGAGCGCGGGGGTCATTCTGTACATCTTGTTGTGCGGTGTGCCGCCCTTCTGGGCAGGTGGGCGCACTCACCCTGACTGTTTGCCACGGTTGTTCACTCTTTCCTGCTGCCACTTAACCTACTGCTATCTTAAGTTGTAGATCGGAATTCCTGAACAGGCACAAGTAACTTGGAAAGCCCAGTTCGGTTCGTCTGCTGATCTGAAGCAGCGCTACGGCGTCTCTTGCCACTGCTTAGCTCAATGGTCCGGTCGGCCCTCCTTGACAATCTAGCATCGTGAGGCTTCGAGCGGCGGCTATGTAACAGGATGTGACTGGATTATACATCAGTTGTGAGGTCAGCAAACCAGATACTTCAATAGGTTCATGAAGCTGTGTCAATTGCGTCGCGCCGCATTGCATCCGACGGGCGTTCCATGTAGGCGATCGCTCAGGCCAAAGCTGGGCGTGGAAGCACAGCTGTAACGGGGTAGTTAGGCAGGCGCTCATTCACCAAAATAAGTGTTTATGGACATTCCAATTGGAAATTCGTTCATCGGCGCATTCCTGGGGCTCCTCATTCAGGAGCTTTCATTAGAAACCTGGCTTGATGTTCTTTTGTACACCAAATGAAAATATAGAACTGGTGCCTGCAGCTCCCAGGTCGCAATACCATCTGCATTTCCTACCTCACTCGCTTACTCATTCTCCACACACGTGTGTCATACGTGCAGAGACGGAGCAGGGCATCTTTGAGGCGGTCCTGCGGGGCCACATCGACTTTGCCACGGAGCCGTGGCCGCAGATCTCCAAGAGCGCCAAGGAGCTCATCACGCACATGCTGGACCAGAACCCGCAGCGCCGCTACACCGCAGCCCAGGTCCTCGGTGAGTGCAACCTGTGCTTTTTGTGACCTAACTCGTGCCGGAGGTGGGGCGCCTCAAGTGTGTATATCAGAGAAAAACGAGTGGGCAACCATTGGGGGCTTTTGACAAGAAGGCCGAATCTTGGCATGTGGTCTGGGCAGGTTTGATACCTGAGACGCAGTATAAGTGATCCACGGAGAATGCAGGAGGCAGCAGAGGGCTCGAGGGATCAAGAGCTGCACTGCATAGACGAGAGAGTAGGCCCCTGAAGTCTGGATCCAAAAGCAGACTCGTGAGCTGCTAGTGGCTTGCCTCTGGTAGTGCAATGCACAGAACCTAGCTTGCCGGAAAGGAAATGCAATCTTCTGGTAAGATGCACAGAGCGACTCCTGTGCGTGATCAATTTAGGCCAGACCGAAGGTCACGCTAGAGATGGGCTATTCCAGCAGCCTAAGCAGAGTCCTTCCTGATCCTCCCAAGCCGTTGTTATGTTGGAAACAAGCCGCTGTCGTTGTCGCGTCATCATTAGCAGGTCACACGCCCAATCGGAGTTCTCTGCTGCCCGTATAGTCGAGCCCTGGAACCGTGCTGAGCTTCTGAGAAGTATTGAGCCGACCACGCTTCCCTTTCGGTTGTTGCAGCCGTCAGGCTTCTGTCTTCACCAGAGATGGCCGCTTGATCGTCGAAGTGCATTCTTTGTTAGTGCTTCTTCAGGCGTTCAGGAGAGAATCTGAGCCGTTGATCCTTTCTGTCGGCAGCCCATCCGTGGATCGCTCAGGTCGGCGTCGCCTCCGACCGGCCTCTCGACAGCGCCGTGCTGCAGCGGCTGAAGCAGTTCTCTGCGGCCAACAAGCTCAAGAGGGTGGCGCTCAAGGTGAGCGGATTTCGTTTCCCACTTCAATTGGGGCCCTTCTTTAGCGAACAGTAAATCCTCCGTATCGAACGATAGTACTTTCCTGGCGGGTTTAATCTGCGTGGCTTCACTTTCAGGTCATAGGGAAGTGACAGGTTTATTGAAAATCATTCAGCCTAATCAGTTGCTTCCACCAGCGTATTTGACCCATGCCTATCCGTCTTCTTCGGCCAGGGATCCCACGCCGTAGCCTTGGAAGTTGTCGGTCCCTTCCCTTCCGAACCTTACGCTCGATGATTATCGATCCCTCACATGCAATGAAACAGAGGCCCAAAGAGGAAAAAAGCGGGGGGGCTCGGCGGGGCTGCTGTTTTTGAGGTAAAAGAGGGATCGGAAGATGTGTACCGCTCACAGATTCCTCTATGCAAAAAACAATTCCACACTGCCGCAGGTGATCGCAGAGAGCATGTCCCCCGAGGAGATCCAGGGGCTGAAGGAGATGTTCAAGGCGATGGACACGGACAACAGTGGGAGCATCACGTTCGAGGAGCTCAAGGAGGGCCTCAGAAAGCAGGGCAGCCGCCTCGCGGAGTCGGAAGTGCGCGCCATCATGGACGCGGTGAGGGCCGCCCCGCAAGATACTCACCAAGGTCACGCTCTCCAAAGATTTCATACGTAATCGCAAGAAACGGGTGCGAGGGCTTCACTAAGAATCGTGACCGAAAAGCTTGACACTCTCCGCACCCAAACCCAACCTAACCCTCATACCACCTGTCCGCCGGGCGTGTCGTATACGTTTTAGGTCCTTCAGTGCGTTGTGTGGGTTGACTCGTTAGGAAGCGCCGTGACAAGTCTTAGCGGCAGCAAGCGAGACACCGAGCCGCAGATCGCCTCCACGCAGTGACGGGCGCGCCACCAGCAGACGGTCAGGTGGTTGTTGCAGTGTAGTGACATGTGCGTGCAAGAGATTGCTACTTGTCGTCTCAGTAATAGTAGTTGGCGGTTGCGTGGGGCACTTCTTCTTGGATACATTCAGCGGGAGCGCCGGGCGGGCCAGAGATACTGTAACGTATTTGGAAGCAAGCAGTGGCCGAAGCAAGGTCATTGCCTGCGATATGTCTGTGTGTCAAATTAACGGAATTCCCGTCATGAAGGACGTAACGAAACCAGCTTTGAGACAGACAGGTCAGCTGCAACCTTCTATTGCACGCAACACGACATTTTTCAGCGTCCGCTCGATTCCACCCCGTTACTCATCGAGCAAATCGAACGAGCATTGAACCCCATTCCGACGACGGTTTCCGACTGACGTCACGCGTTGCGCAGGCTGACGTGGACAACAATGGGACGATCGACTACGACGAGTTCATCGCGGCGACGATGCACCTGAACAAGCTGGAGAAGGAGGAGCACATCTTCAAGGCGTTTCAGTATTTCGACAAGGACAACAGCGGCTACATCACCGTCGAGGAGCTGCAGGAGGCGCTCTACTCGACGGGCGTGGCTGCGCCGGGGGACAACTCCATCGAGGAAATCATCAAGGAGGTGGACACCGACAATGTGAGGGATGCGGGGCGTTCTGTGCTGTTTTGGGGAAAAGATTGGAAGTTGCTTGAGGGGAAGTCCGGGGATTGTCAAGGTGTCGGAAGGGGAAGGTGGAGCGTTCTGAGGGTGTGACACTTCTTGGGGAAGGGAAGTTGGGAACCTTTTGTATGGTTTTGCTTTAAAAATGCGGTGAGAAAATCTGCTTTGGGGGTGAAGGAAATCCTGACACTTAAGAGGATGGGAGAATACCTTGTGGTGTTAGGAGATTGCCATGGCTCTTGCAGCACTGAAGAAGGTTGCACATTTTCTTGGAGGCTTTCCGCAGGCTAGGGCTTCAGTCGTCTCGGTTCGGGGCCACGTGGCAGCGCATGTGGAGGATGCGGCTAATCAGTAGCTGTACGGCAAGCTTTGACTTTAGCAAGGTTTTCTTTCCGCTTTGCATACTGATACTGGGCTTGCGGTTTACAAGGCTGCTTTTCACTTTCGCTAGTCACAAGAAGACTTTGAAGTCGCTTCCCCGGAGTGTATGAGTTTTGTTTCTGAGTGCGTTGATCCAGTCGGTTACTTGACGGTAAGCTTATGTGGTATCGTTGCCGACGACAGTTGCTGGGCTTCGAGCTGTGCCTCGAAAATTACGACGAAGCTTCTGGGCTGCGATCAAACTTTTCCAAGGAACCATAACTACCTTCTGAGTCGAACCTGCTTCCGCATACCGGGAAGGTGACTAACTTCGTGTACGATTCGGTTCGTGCAGAGCGGCACGATCGACTATCAAGAGTTCCAGGCAATGATGAGGAAGGGTTTGGGTGGAGGCAGGAGTAGAGTTGGTATGCGTCGAGCGACTCTGGGAGCTGATGGGTAACAAGCGCGCAGCATAAACAATGCGTTGAGATATTGATCGGCAAAGCTCGTTAGTCGTCGATGGTGATTAAAGAAAATATGTGTCTTTGTAGATATATCCAGACCTTTCAGGCCGTAATCAAGGTGCACGTGCATCGACTGCTTGAGCGTATTTGCACCTTGAAAACTCGATTGGAACAGCTTAAGTTCCAGCAGACTGTGCAAACCTTCTTGTAAGGTCCAGTATCATCTTTTATTGAATCCAGATCGTTAGTCATCCAAGTGTTTTTCTGACCAGCTGCTATGCCTCTACAGCTCACCAAGAGAAATTAGTTCTAGTGAAAGAGTTCGAATCTCGCCACTAATTCACAGACACGTTCTACCCATGGTTCTAGCAACACGCTTGGGAATACGGTAAGTTGCTATAAACAGTGAATTTACTTGGCGGGCTTCGAATCCGGGTGGATCGCCCGTCAGATGTAAGATGAAATTGGACTGTAGGCATGGGAATAGGCAGCGTACATTCTTTCGATCATCGTCACAAATCATGATTTATAATAACTGCATGAAATAATGACTCCCATGTGATTGGGTAAATCATGTTATGCATTCTCTAGCTGCATCATCGTGCTCTTATATAAGCCTTAGTTCCACGTAATCGAATCTATAGCTTGAACTGCCATCGCCGCCGCGCCTAATTTGGGCGGACACATGCACATGCCATGTACCTGTCGGACGACAAATATAGATTTGCAGCGCATTGAATACAATGCAGCACTGAGCCGTGCATGCCAGCACTGAGCGCGCGGCAGATCTCGATCCAACATGATTGCATTTGCAATTGCATATGCACAGGTCTCGCGACTGAGAGCTGTCAATCCAATATCTACGTACGGCCAGAAATTCATGTTAACCTTCACGTTGCAAGGCACACGCCATGCAAGCGCTAGGCAGCATGCAGAACGTTGATCGTGCAGGGCAGCACACAATCGCGGTCGTACCCAGGGAATCACAAAAGGTACGTGTAACCTGTATATATTAAGACAAAAATTCAGGACTGACGCGGTTGTGCACGTCGAAGTCCGCCGACCATGCTCACAAAATTCATGGGAACCATGCGACCTTGCATGCGGTCCTGCAACAGCAGCAGGCAAGCAGACAGAGTGGCTCACTAAGTCGAGATTAGCCCGTCAATAGTACGGTATGTTACAAGTTCCATAACACAATAGAGCAGGTTAGCAGGCGTATCGGCCATGTTCAGCTTTCTTCAAACCGGGAGATTGATTGCTCGATTTGCTGCAAGGCTCTAGGTGCTTCATATCGGATGAAGAAGGCCGGTGAGTCCGCGTTTGTATCGAGTACAGGGTCGAAAGGAGTACCGGAGTGACAGCGCACACTCTGCAAAGGCGAAGAGGATAGTGCTTGAGCATACTTGGGCCTCACACTATGACGGTGATAAGGAAACGGAACAGCGCCACAACGCTGGCTCGCAGGACAGAGCTTCAGAATGATTGCTAATCTTATTCAGGTGAAGATGGGAAAGATTCTCGTGAAGAAGCAGCAAGGAAACATCAAAAGCAGAATACAAAGCGTCGTGAAGGAAGGAAGCGTGTGGTCCGAGACGAGGAAAGAACGCAAGGCGTCCCCAAGCGCACCTCGGACGCCGCGGCCGCGAAGAGCGCCTCCTGCTCGCGCTGCTCCGCCGCCAGCTCGGCGACCACGCGCTGCCCCGCACCGCTAGCCCCGCACGATGCGCACAGCGGCCCGCGTTCCGCCTCCATTGGCCGTCTGAGGGAACTCTTTGGGTAAGCTTATCCGGGTGGTTCCACATCATCCGCACATCATGCGTACGTCATGGTGCGGCGACTGTTTATCGGCAATTGCATACTTTCTGTCGCTAAGCAGTATGCCGGCTCGAAACTCACGCTGCTGATCTCCGATCAGTATGGCTGGCAAGTCACGCTGCTAAACTGAGCCGTCTTCCGGTGATCAAAGTACTCCAAATACCCCTCTTAAGGGCGGGTATGCGATAATTGTACTTCAATAAGCACAGACAAAATTCTTGCTCTGTGTGCCCGTGCCCTTGGAACGAGCTACGTAATGAGTGGTAAGGCTCAAGCATGTCCGTGCATAGCGATTTCGAGTCACTGCCGCTGCAAATCGAGTGTCATGATGCGGCAGCAGTCTCCATTGGACACGGCCCAAAACTTTCGAAAATTTGCACTTTGCCTCAAAGAGAGCGAAGGTGCGATAGAAGAAGGATTGCTTTACAAGTACCGACAAAAAAGTTATTTTGCCAACCTGCTCAACAGCTCAGAATGCTCGGCACCTTGACAGATCGGGGCCGAGTGCCTAGCCCGCAAGGCCGGCAAAGAGCGGACAACGGAACGGCTTATATCCAGAAAAAACCATCAAAGAAAATTTCAATAATCGACTTCCACGCAGGACACTGTATCGCCCCGTCCCAGGAAAGTACGAACCTTCCCGAGTCTCGGAAAACGGTGTGACGGTCTCACCGGCATCCGAGGCACGCCGGCTTGGGCTTGAAGAAGGTGCTCATGAGGGACTGCTTGCCGCCCCCCGAGGCCGCCGCTGCGGCCGCCATGGAGGGCGGGGGGATCGTGTGGGGCCCCGTAAACAGCTCCCGCAGCACCTTGTCGCTCTGCACACAAAGAAACCCGCGCGTTGGCTGACCGCTTGACAAGGCCCGAAGGACATGGCGCTTTTTGATGAACGGTCCCTTGGCTGCTTTGCTCGTTCTGCCGGCTGAAGACAGACAGAAAGTAGAAGTGTGCGCGCAACAGAAGCGTCTTCGATCCAAAAGGCTGACACCGTAGCCTCGGTTTGACAAGAAAGGGGGTAGCTTGAAGTGGGGTATTCTAAAGGGAATCCGACGGCCAATCTCGCTCTATCCCTGACGTTTCTTTGAGACTAGGAGAAGCTTCGTAGGCCGAAAAGTGCAATCTCGCCATCCTTTCCTTTTCAAAAACTGCAGTAAAGAACCCCTGCTGCCGCGCTTACCACGACATACTCAAAGATGGACTCGAGCGGCTTGCGCAGCTTGTTTTCCAGGTACACCCCGATGTTTGGCGCCAGCCCCCTGCGCGCCGCTTCCACGGGGTCTTCCGCCATGTCGTCCTGTGCGTATACACACGGGGCATTAAATCGGGAGATCCCAAAACCGCTAAACTTCACGACGAGGAATCCACGCAATGGAGAATTTTGGAACTCCGTGGTAAGAGGCCGGGGCTGGTAGCTCTTCTGTGGCGCGGCAGGCCTTCATAACACCAGATCCAGACCAAAGATGGCCCATCCCCTGGCCGGTGCGCAACTTCCAGCAGCTTTTCGCTTTTCCTTCCTAGAAAATCGTTTTCCCCCACCAGATTCGGTCTCCAGTTTTGATGCTTTTTTCCAGTCAAAGCGCTGTGACACCTGCAACGTTTCGACCCGTTCGTACCTGGACAACATAGCCCTTTTGACAACCTTCTGCCAGCCAAGCGGAACAGAATCTCGGCTTTCAACAGCCGGCTAGGGCCGTTTCAAGGATCCTGCTTACGCTCGAACAAGCTTGATGAGATGAGGTCAAAGGATTTGCAAGTGCAGCGAATCCGAGGCAGCAACAGTCAGTTCGTTCAAACGCATTCTGTCCAAATTACCCGTGCCTGATCGTTCATTCTGTGCAAACAGCACGAGCCTTTACTAGGTACTCGCGCGTTCACGTATCTGCCCCTACCTGAAGCTTCCCTCGCCCAGACACCAGGACGTACGGTATCCGCTCCCCGATGTGGAACTGCCGGTCGCCGTCGCGCCTCTTCAGGCGCACTGCTAGCGACACGTGCGGCCCGCGGCCCTCCTCCGCAGTGGCGGGGCCCTCCCGCTGACCGCTGGGGCCCTTACTCGGCGTGCCAGCTGCACAGATGGCGGGATTCGACTCAAAGAAACTCCACTTTCTGCTTCCTCAAGGGATCGGAAGAAGGGAGTACTCAAGAAAAGGAGGATCAAAATAGCGCCACCAAACTTTTCTTCGAGGAGGGGACTGTTGACGTGAAGGTGTGAGGCTGTCACACTCCAAAGGCCTTCCGTCGCTAAGCCTAGAACCGGCCAAACAGAACCTGATCAACCGTCCCAGTTTCGTGGCTAGGCAAGAGTCACCGGTTCTGCAGCCAGTTCAGCACCGTCCAGAACGCAGACGCCAACATCGTGACGTCATCAAACGTCATGACAGCATCAAAGAATGTATCTCCGGAGCCTCACCTGCGACGCGCGTGATGTCCTCATCGTTCACCCGCCAGAGCCCCCCCGTCATGACGAGGTCGCTCATGGAGCACTTGCCGCCCACGAGGCGCCGGATCATGGCCGTGCTCGCCTCCACCGCGCCGTCCACGTCGCGGTCCACCAGGATCTTCTGCAGCACGCGCTTGCAGACTATGCGGACAAAGCCGGGTACGTCCCTGTGGCAAGAAGAAGTTTTGTCAGTTTGCTGTCCACATGGCCATTCGTTCGCGCAATTTTGAGCGCAATAGGTATCGAAGCCCCCGGGATGTAGCTTACAAGTTCAAGCTTCAAGCCCAAGCGCCCTGGATTCCTGAAGCGTCTGACATTCTTCGGTGTGATTGATAGCTGTCCAATCAAAAAATCTCTGGACAGCGAAAATGCTCAAGACTGATGGAACCTCCAAATGACCGCAACCAAGTTTCTTGCCAAGCCCCGGAGTACACGGATCTGAGTCAAGATGTTACAGCTGGTTGCGTCAAACTTGTCATCGGGTTCTAACTCCTCCAAGCAGGGTTCCTGATCTTGAGCCGTTTGTTGCCATCCTTAGCGATCGAACGGCGCAGGATAGGAACCATGCTCGAGCACTTGAAACCCGATGGCCGGTTTGACGCAAAGAGCTGTACCGCCCTGCTCCACTTAAAAAGGTCGCTGTGACCCACCTTCGATCCACCTCTACTCCTTTCACAAACAGCGTCCCTTGTCCCTTCCCTTCCCCCGCGCTGGTAAACTGCCGCCCCGCATACCGGTTCACTTGCAGTAGCAGGAAAGGGCTGAGCACACGCTCGAACTTAAGCGAGATCGGGGGAGGGAACGCCGCAGAGGCAACAGCGGACGCTTGATGCCCCAGCTCGATTGCTTCGGCGATGGATGCACCCTTGAAGCGGACGAAGACGCTGTCGGTTTGGGCGTAGATGACCTGCACCAAGAGGGAGAGGCAGATTCATGCAGTTCATATCAGGGGCCCATCTTTTGCATGTCGCCTTTTGAACAGCGCTCAAGAACCGTCAATTTTGATGATACCTTTTCATCGGACGTTTTCAGGTGTGCACTTCTAAGGTTCCGCCATGGCTGCCGCCATGATTCCGCACAAACAGAGCCCTCTCTTACCGCATTCTCCACGGTAACGCCTGTTTCAAGGCTCCACGACAACCTTCCAACATGGTTGTAGGTCTTAGAGAGCGGAAGATAAGAAAGAAGGTCACCCAAGAAAGCCTTCAAAAACAGACGTGCCTGCGAATCTATCTTGGGTAGCTTGTTCTTGACCGAAATGCAAAACCTGGGATCCTGATATAAACGGCATGAGGCAGGGAAAACCCAAAGCGAACTGCCACGCCTACGCAAAAGAAACAATGTTTGTTGTCTACCGCTGAATGAAGAGGAACATCGGGAAGCATAGCTTCCGAGCCCGAACGTCAGACAAACAACGCAAAGCCCTCTGAAGGATGCGGGAAGTTCAGCGACCCACGATGCCAAACTTTGCTACTGACCTTGCCATTGTCGAAGGCCCCGTTCACGAGCTCGACGGCCTTTTTGCAGGCAGCCGCCCCCATGGCGAGACAGCTGTCGGCCAGCGGCAAGGCCTGCATGGGCGACGCCTGCGCCCCGGTGAAGCCGTACAGCGCATTCGAGCACAGCTTCAGCGCCTTCTGCCGACCATCCAGGACCGCGCGCTCGGTGGGGGTGATGTCACGCTCGGCCATCCTGTCACGGGCCTGCATAAGAAGGGAAAAGACTGTTCTTTTAACCGTGCTTGTTTATATTGGGGAGGACTAAGCGGGTCCGATCCAGAAAAGCGACGGTACAAAAAGGACGGGCCCTCTTACGAAGCTGTCTCTTGCTAAGCCTAGGCTACTTGAGGACGCCAATAGTCTATTTGACATATGTGAATAATCCAGCATTATCACTTTCCCCACGGACCCCAAAGGGCAGGGCTGACCTCGAGACTAGGCGCCCCAATAAACGCCCCAATAGATCGCGGTTTCCAGTATCAATAGCCACCACGTCCTTCTGTGCACCAGATGCAAAGCAAGGCCTCTCGAGTCGAAGAAGTGCCTCAACATTTGCACGATCGGTACAACGACCGGAGCACAAAAGCACGCACGCACCTGCTTGCGGGTGGCGATGAGCGCGCTGCAGATGCGCGGCAAGATACCGTGGCGGACTGCGGTTCGGACAAAGTGCGCGCCCGTGGGCGTCGTGTAGACGTCCGTGGGGTCCAGCGCTGCCACGTCATCGGGGTGAAGGAGTGTAGAGTAGCAGAGATTGTGGCCGATGAACAGGGACGGGTACAGGCTGGCAAAGTCCAGGATCGCCTGCGAAGAAAAAAGAAAAACCCATAGAAGTAACCCTTCGGATGCAAATATATTGAATGGGTCGTTCGAATCAGAAGTGCAATAAACCAGACGCCTTTTATCCAGTTTGCGCTTACTGCTTTTAAGCTCTGCTTGATAACAATAACGAAAATTACTGGAACTATGTTTGGAAGTAGGCTTCAGCGAACGGACAGTCAACCACAGTCATCGAGGAAAGTAACTCTTGCGCATCCACGTAACGGGCTGCCGAAAATGATAGTAACTTTTCACAGCAGAGCTCCCAAGGGAATTTGAGTTGCCAGCACGTTGTGGGTTCTCTCCCAAGCCGTCACTTACAACGGGGTCTTGATACAAGCCGGCAGTCTGCCTCTCCTTGGGGTGCAACAGAAACGGGCTCTCTGAGAGTTGTCCCCCCAGGGGCGGGCCGCCTAGAAGGCCCCCTTCTTTCCCTGCACTCCGCAGCAGCAGGCTCTGGACGCGGATCATTTGGGCTTTGTACAGGACGTCCGAAAGAGTGAGCCCGGTCACCTGCAGGCCGGACGAGCGTCCCCGTGACATCAGTTTCCATACTTCAAACTATAATCGAAAGGCTTTTCCTTCGATAGCACCGCGTTTTCAGACACAAGACAGGTAAGATTGGGGGCGTGGCCTTCACGACGATACGGAAATAGCAAAAGGAGGAACCATTATGCTTGCGGCTTCGAAGGCCACCTTGCTTCGTTCAAAAGATCAAATACGCGGTGTTTTAGTTAGAGGTTATGGGTTACAAAAAGCGCACATCGTCGCCTGTGAATATCTTGCCTTCTCCTTTGAATCCGAAAGGAGGCGAGCACAAATCGGTGGAGAAACGGTCCCTTACCCTAGCCATCTCGAGCGTTTCCGTGATGATTTGCAGCTTATCCAGCAGCCGCAAAGCCAGCTCCGCCTCTCGCAAAGAGTAGACGGCCAGCCGAGAGGGGCCCCCGTGCCGGCCCGCCCATAGTGCCGTGATGGCCGCTGCCGACAGCACCTCCTTCGTCTCTCCCAGAAACACCTGCGCCAGGAAACGAGAAGCGGAGTGTGTCAAGTCCGCTTGACAGAGATGGAAAAAAACAGCAGCTGAATCCTACATCTGGAAAGAGAAGGTTTGGAAGTTGCTTGAGCTCAAGAGGGGGCAGAATAGAGTACATTAAGAGAACCGGCTGGATCAGAATCAAGTTCGAAAGAATGATGATATGGACTTGCATAGGGTAAAATTTATGTTTCATATTCGCGGAACGACCGTATTATACGTTCGCCCCAGAAAAAGATGTGCTCTTCCAACCAGGCCACTTTGTCCGAAACGAAGCCGGCAACCTTCATCTGCTACGTCATCGCCATTTCCAATTGACTTTCTCATGCCGGGGAGAGTTCCGTACCTGTGAGCACTCGGCCAGCGTGAAGGTGGACAGATTGTGCGCGATCGTGATCGAGCGCAGCATATCGACCACGACCCGCCCCTCGACGGTCGCCCGGTACGTCTCCAGGTTGGACGTGGCCGTCATCCGCTGCTGGTTCTTAACCCAATTCTTGCCGTACGAAACCACCGACTTGACCTCGAGCGCCTTGTTGGGACGCCGGCCCAGGTCGAGCGACCCCAGCTTCAGATGCTTGAACCGCTCGTTCAGGTACCTTAAATTTGAGGATGGGTATGGCACGTAAGGACAAATAGTCAAATGCCGTGCCGAGGGGTGTGCTTTGAGAACATTTTGGGCGACGTTGCGCCAGAACGTAGAACCGCCTGGGCTTTCGGGCGTCCCTTTCCGCGAAAATGTCAGGAGATATTACCGCTGTACGAGGACTGCAAGTTCGACCAAGTAATTGGGGTGGATGTCGACAAGCCCGAGGACGCCAAGCATGCTTGTCGTGTGGCGAGGCCGACGAGACAGAAGCTGCGTCGAGACAAGGGGCAAGGATGCAAACGCTTTCACACGTAACGTCTCAACGTGTCCGGAACCAGAGCTTCGAGAGTCAAACATTTTGCACAAATCCTTGACATATAAAAAGGGGCAGCCCTTCCAGTCCCGTCAGGAATGTTTCAAAACTTTCAAATGCCTGCTCTTTTGGTACTGCACCAAACGAACACCACGAACGCAGCGCTTGCGCTTGCTCTCACCTCAGGCTCTCCTTCAGCTGGAAGAGGCAGATGACGTCAGGGTCCGCCTCTTCGGTCGCGAACCGCTTCCATGCCCGTAGCATCTCGCTCTCGGTCTTGAACACTCGCCCGTCCACCCCTGGCGGAGCCACGAATCCTTCCCGGAACGTGAACACCACTAACTTTTGCTTTGCATCCGGCTCTGCCGACCGTCGGATTCTGTTTGAAATCATCAGAACCGGGTCCCTGTTAGGCAGTGCCACCCCCCCTCCTGCCACGTCGCTCCCCGGCACTCCCTCCAGCACCTCCAGCTCCGTCGCAGTGGATGACGTCATTGCAGGTGCGGCTGACTTCGAGCTCTCGGGGCTGCTCACGGCGGCCTTGCCTTTTGCCTTCGAACCCCGTTTCGAGCTCTGGGAAGAAGGGGCCGAATGCTCGAGCCCGACTTTGCCATGGGAATCCACAGATCCGCGCCCGGCCGTCTGTACGTTAACCGCCAATATCTTGAGCGGCGCAACCGCTAGGCCCTCGGAGACTGACGCACTCTCTTCCAGCCCTTGCTTGTCCGCACTTGATCCCTTCCTCCCCGTTTGGTTTCCAGTATCCGATGCAGTTGCGTCTTTCAGAGGTGCCGCTCCTGTTTCTGACAAGGCCCCCTCGCCCTCCTCCAGAAGCGACTCGTCCTCCGGGCTGAGCAGTGAGGCCCTGTCGTCATGCTCTCGGACTGCCGCGGCAATGTCAGCAGCAGCGGCCGAATCTGACTCTGCGCCCGCTGTCCCGCTTCCCGGCAGTGCGTGTTCGAATGTCATCCCGCTGGTTGCGTCAGGCGTAAGGCCAGTGATGTCATGCCAGCTCAGCACGTTCATCTCGAGGCTGCACCGGGGGGCCCTCCTCTCGGCGAGGGGAATGGGGTCCAGCTTGTCGCGCGGGACTGTGAGCCAGGCGCCGCCGGCAATCTTGGTCTCGCACATGAAACGCATGCCAAACTGCAGATGAAGAAAGTTCTCAAAGCTCATACTCAAATCACGCCACTGCTAAGAAAACCATATTGCATAAGATCCGACCTACTGGGGCATTATCAGGTGTCTAAGTATTCCTGTCGAGAAGGCAATAAGAGGATTGACAGGCGACGTTGCTGACAAATGTGAGAAGACGTCTATCGAGACCCAGATGGAACTGGTTCACGTTTGAAACCTGCCCGATGCGCAAAAGCACGTCTCTCTAAGCAGCTGAAGTCGGAAGTGACGATACAGTGTCTGATTAGCGTACAACAGCCACCACTATGCCCGACTTGATGGTTTAGCAGGTGTACGTGGTGCTCCGAGAAGCGACGCCAAGGCCTTGAATGAGAGGAGCAGAGATGCTGCAGTATGCGCCGCACCTTGATGTCCTCTTCATAGGCGCAGGGGCTGCCTATCCTCCATGCAATGCCTCTTTCCTTGAGGGCGTTCTCAGATGCCAGGCGGGACAGCTCCTTTGCAATGACACCAGCGTCCTTATTCCGCCAGTATTCCACCTGAATAAAAGTAAGTACGTAAAACTTGATCGCTTGAGGACTCACAAAGCAAGCATCGCGCAGAAGGTAGGGCTTTGACGGGCTTCAGACTCTGGCTTTTGATTGATGAAGAGGCTAACACGAACCTTCGCTGAAGGGTGGATACTGTTTTGTAGCTCCCAGTTGGACTGGAGGTCTATCACCAGAACGTTCATTCTCTCACCTTCAAAAAGGGGTACAAGCCTTTCGGGCGATAGTACATGATAGGCATTCTGTCCTCCTGCGTGAGTCGCACGATTGGCTTGTCGCCTCTCGACCCAGTGCGCTGCTTACTGCTGGCAACCTTCTGATTCAGGCGCTCTAACACGATGTCAAGCTCTGTTTCGCTTAGTGGGCAATCCTCGCCGCCTTCTTGGCTGGGGAGACTGATTGGAGCAGGAAACCAGAAGTACGGGGTAAAGTCTGCAATCACACAGAAAGCTTCGTCAACGTAAGTTGAAAATGGGCATTGAGATGCTGAACTGATTAGCCCTTCAGTGTCTACTAACGCGGAGACTGGCAGCTTTCTGGATACCAAGTGCAAGTGTGTTTACTTTAGTTGGGAGTGTGAGGGGCCCCATTCATAGAATGCTGAGTAACAGAAGAAAAGATCAACAAACGGGGGTTAGGCAACACAAGTAATCAAGTCAAACCTATGCATGTCCCTCTGTGAAGATGGTAGCCCATCAACTTCGTTGTCTTTGTATGTTATCAGGCAATCACACTCTCATCAGATACCAAGGGTGGATGGGAACTGCCAAGAAGCTAAAAGTCTACAATTTCTTCTCTTGCTCGGGCTTTCCTTTTACATGCCCGTCGTACATCCCCACCTGATACATGACAGCAAACGCTCTCGCCTTCTGCCGTCAGACCATACAGCAATGCACGAGGTGGTCTCCCTCCTTCCCCCCTTCCCCCCGTTGCAGCTACCCCATCTTCAACAACCAAATCTACAACCATCATCTTCAAACTAGGGCTTTCTGGTGGCGCCGCTTCTTCATATGCTCCTCTGCTTTTTTTTGACACAGGAGCCTGAGGGGACTCGCGCTTCTCTCCTTCCGCCACCGTCTCTTTCAGCATTGCTTGCCCCTTCAGCGAGCTGCTGCGGCCCCTTTTCTTTGACTGCATGTTGGCGCCCCGCACATCTGGGAGTGGAGAAGAAGGGGGAACCTCCCATGCTTTCTTTCCCAAGGTGTCCATGTTGAACCACCGCTTTCCTGTTCCTGATCACTTGCCAAAAAGGACTTCTCTTGTTGGTGCTTGAACAATGGCAAAGGGAAGATCTGTGACACAATGGAGGGCTTCTGCAAGTCTCATGGGACTCTCCAGAAGGGTTATAATCACGAATATCAAAGAAATGCACAATATTGCACTTTCAACATTGGACGAAGAATCAATCTCAGCAAAAAGGAGCTGTTTGAACAACGAAATTCAGAGGAGAGGAGGAAGCCCAATGCAATGTTGGACGGAGTTCTGATGCCCCCCCCCGTTGCTAGCTCTCGACGTTTGGTAGGGGCTGCCGCATGCAGCGCATGCAAACTAGAAATTGGCAGCCATGCCCCCAGTTTTTGACCGTTGTCAAAGAACCCTGGTTGAGGGTTAATCTGCTCTATTAAACCATACCTCATCTCAACTGTAATTTATGTACTTGTCAAGAAAGCGGCTCCTTAGATCAGCTTTCACCGGACCGGTGTGACGATTCTAAAAGGCATCCGAGTTGACACAGAATCTGCGTCGGGGTTAACCGAGCTTCTCATCTTGCTCTACCTCACTTGCTGCCTATAGGCCAGCTCTAGCCATTCTGCTGCTGGATACCAGAAAGAGCCAGAAGTCAGAAATGCTGATCATGTCTGCAGTGACGCTGAGAACCACGCCCTCAATTTGTGGTGGGAAGGACCTGGAAAGCTGCAAAGTAATGCCGATCCTATAGATTAAGCCATCTGTTGCTGTACGTGTCGAGAGTCGAGACGCACAATTGTCGCTGGTGGTTTTGGCTGTACAGGGTTTTGCAGTAATGAAGGTGGCTTCCAAGTAGCGCCGGCCGAGACTGTTCCTCTAAAATCCAAACAATACAATCTCTCCTGTTTAGCTCAGCCGCTAGTCTCCGATTGTTAAATGCTGTAGAAGCAAAGATGAATCTGCCGTTTCTATTGCGCCCAGTCGTGAGACATGGGAATAGTCAAAGATCTGTCCTTTTTGAGAGCCTTCCACTCTGTGGTGAAGGTCTGCTGGGGCTCGTTCAGGAGATTGCTGCTTGTTCCTCGGTCCACACACGTGCGTCCAATGACCTGTTGACTGGTAAGATTTGACAAGCAGCTGCATTGCTCTGCTACACGATGTTTGGCTTATGCCAAGTTAAAGAGAATTTGAACGAAGCTGCATTTGAGGGATTGTCTGAATATCTTGGCAGTGTAACTGCAGGATTTTGACATGATTCTTGATGGACCCGATTACTGAATGCGAGGTTGATCTCGCGCCCACTTGTTGTAGCGTTTGATGAATGAGGTTGTCTTGATTTCAGAAACATTGAAGCGTGCGCTTATTGCAATATCACGACCTGCAGTTAAGATGATCACAAGCAGCTCACTTGACCCTTGATCCGTTTTCTGGAGCAGGCTCACGTCGGAATGGGATAATCGGCGCAGCTTTTCTCCAGAGCAGAGACTACAGTCAAACGGGCATCAAACTGGTAGGCAATGAGGGGTTTCCAAGACCATTCTGGAGCAGCCAGGCTTGCAAGCTTACAAAAGGTGGCACCGTACAGCCTCTTGTCGGTTTCGCAGCTGAGGCTCTCCACAAGGCACCAGACCATCAGTTACCATTTTCCACCAGACAGCGATCGGGAGTTTCACATGAGAAAGGGGGACAGTTGGAGGGGCCAGATTTACGGTTTCAACGGCACATGTCGAGTGGTGTTCAACCACTGATCTTGAGCAAGGAGCCCGTGGTCTACATCGGTTCGATGTCAGGAACTTTGAAGAAAGTCAAACTATTGTCCATCTCCAGCTGTGTTCTGTCCTGCCTCGGAGCACCAGTCATTACTTTTTGGACAGCCCCAACACTCCCAATAGCTGTGAAGACTGTAGTTTCAATGTCCATGGTCCTCTTTGGTGCTGGTACTACTGCGCTGCTCCACTGGTTTTCCAACCCGTATGTCCACAAGGTGATTTGGAGGCAAGGCTCCGAGGAGATGGAGGTACATACTTTAACCTGGTTAGCAACCACAAGCAAGCAAGTGATCCGGCTCAAGGACGTACGGCCTGCAAACACCCAAAGACCTCTCGCTACCTTTGCTGTAAATGGTAGATTCTATTATGTCGATGGGGCAAATTTTGTCACTTCTGCGGGTAGAGAACTAAGAGAGAAACTCCTTCCACATGGCTACCAAGACTAGAGACCTCGGAAAGTATGTAAGAAGGTTATGATCATCAATGACGATCAATTTGAATTGAGGACCTGAACGGTGTGCAACCGCAAGTAGCATGCAATTACCTGACCAATTACAGTTGAGAGACGGTGTTCCGGGTTGGTTGCCCTCGGTGGTGGTCTTAATAAATGAATGAAGCCAAAGCTCTGGCCTGTCTTTGGATGCTTGGCACACTCATCCCGCAGGCATTGATCTCGGCACCCGATCATTACGTGTATCATCGCTGAACGGTGTCGGATCACTTCACATGCCAGTCCTTTGCAAATGATTCACTACATGAGAGCGGATCTGGCCACGGAGGCCTGCAGTTTGCATCTGGTCAGAATCGCTTGAACGATCAAAATTGGACAAATTGTATTGCGATGTCAAGATGCAGCCATACTGCAGAGACGCCAAGACTTATCTGTATACCGTAGTTTTCGTGATCTTCTTCCGGTCATATAACGTTATGTATGTTGCAACGCATATATCGCAGGCCAGTATATGGTCTATACATGCCTGTCAATATCACACTACATATACAAACCATGTACGGTACGTTCTTGTTCCCCCTTCAACGATGTCGGAAGAGACTGGGGCCGACCGGCACCATCATCACTGTTTATGGTATGAGACTTCGCAGCGCACAAATTCCAAACGACTGAGGTTTGAGAAAAAGAAGCTTAACCACTCAAGCTCAGTGGGAGGATGGACAATGGCACCGCAACATGTGACGAAGAACATGCGCAGATGCTGTACAACCATCTAAAATCAAAAAACTAAAACACTGCCAAACGATACAAGAGTACGTTGTCAGAGAGAATGCGCATATTGCTTCTTATGGGACATGTCCACAACAATCCGACTCCAGAGCACGCAATTTGTATCATTTGGCCAACACTCGGATGGTTCCAGAACCTTGCTCCAGAACAATGGGAAAACAATGAGATTGGGTGCGTTCCACAAGCTAACAAGCTAACAATACGCTGGGACATTGGCTCTTGCCGTGCTTCAGAAATAGCTCTCCGGAGCAATCATGGAATCATGCTCCCTCTGTGAGGCAAGTTGCAATCATGGCAGTCCAACGCTTATCAATAGGTAAGCTACTAAGCTGTGAAACCTGTGAAGCTGCAGTCTCATGGGCCCCGGACCATGCATAGGTATTACCGGTAGCATACGGTGACCGGTCTACAAGGATTTTGGGGCCGTGGCATACGGCATAACGGCCAAAGTTCAAACACTGATTTGGCATCCGAGAGACTCATCTGCTCAAATCAACGGCCAAGTGACCCTCGAAACAAGGTTCTACTCTTGACCCCGGGATCTTCAGTTCCATCGCTGATTCGCTGGCATCGGTCCCCTTCCAATCACCCGTCCAGACCTTCGAAGGCACTCGGGCAATACGAGCCTTCGCGTCGTACGCCGACAGTCATGGTCGCTATTTTGCAAAGTTGAATAAAGGAACGGTTAGGGCTAAGTAGGCCGCTACCGCCAGAGTGCAGCACTGACAGTGCCGTCACGGTTGCACGGTGTACTCATGCACGGGAATCGGATGCAGGTAAATAGTACCCGCGTACGGCCAGGCCGCAGTTCACTGAAAAGGGTACCGGTGGTATGAGTCCAGCTACGGTACTATGTATTAAGGCAGTGAGATTTCAAAGTTTCCAAGTGTGCGCTGAGCCTTCCTGACTCCCACCACTGCCAGAGGTTTTTTTGACCGTATCTGAGGTCAGAGGTAGTCAGTCCGCAACTGCAGGCTGTCTCGGGATGCCTGGCAGAGTCCGAGTCAACATGGCCTGGGGACGGTGGGCCGAAGTCCAATGTGGCTTCGAACTCTGTCAGTGTGAGTGGCTCACCTCAGCAAGCTGCGCTGACGTGATCGCGATGATGCACGGCTGTTGCGCTGACCGACTCAGCTCCTTGCTAACTTTGGTGTGAAAGTTTGATTGGTAAATTCATGCCAGCCAGCAGCCTAAGGATCAATCTACCTACGAGAGTTTACACTGAGCTGAATCTGTTGCCAGGCTGGTGAAGTGATGAAGGTGTCTTCGACCGTAACCAGCCGCAATGGCGGCCGTCTTACTTGTTACCGTCGTCGGTTAAGGCCTTCTAAGGCCTCGAGACGGAATTGACTCGGATGGTCAAGTCTTAATGATCAGCCTTCTTCCAAGCCTGACTTCCAACGTTGGAGAATCCGACATGAAAAATTCGAGGTTCAAGACTAGGTAAACGATGGTGCGTCTATTTCTATAAATAGATGAGCTGGACACTCGTTTGGGAGCAGCTCAAATGGGAGGTCGAGCTCAGCATACCCCGTGTTGGGGCCTCACAACCGCCTTCGACGACAAGGGACAGTTCTAATTACATAGGTAGGCTCGTACTAGCTCAAGGGCGCTATTTGTTGCTGCACTTGTACGCAACACGACTTTACAGCAGCAAGGTAGACCAAGACCTCATGAGGTGTTCTTGCCGGGCTCCTTTTGTAATCAAGCTGCAAGATCCCTCTTAAAGAGCTTGGTGTCACAGGCTGGGAGCTCTTCCAGGTGATGTGAGTTCCATTCTCACGAATTATCGTGCACTTTATCATTTTAATAGGTTGAACAAGCTGTGATTCTAGATTTCTCAATCAGTTCCTGAGCTCGTTGATGGATTCATGGTGCAATAGCTCCTTTGCAAACGTTGTGCATGGATTGCTCTGCACAAATGCATAAAAGATAAGCTGGCTTTTATCGATCTCCCACGAGCGATTTTGCACGATGCTGTCTTGCTATCCTCACTTCATCGTTCTTAGGAAGGAAGTTTCTGCCTCTGCAGACGGACTCTGGTGACATCTGACCGATGGAGCTACAAGAACTGGTTGTCTGCTGAGAGTGCCGTTACAATCACGGCAAGACGATGCAACAAGCTCTATGGAAAGGGCAAAGTCTGGCGGGGTTGGAGATCCCTCCACCTTCCCCTACATGGGGGGTGGCGCGGATAAGAGCCGGCGCAAGGGGAAGCGAGAGACCATCGCCAAAACCTTATAGCGAGTCCCCTCGGGGAACAAAAGCCAGTGACTCCCCTGGCTCGAAGTTCCTAAAGCTGCTTGCATCGCAGAGATTTTGGCTTGGGGCCATCACTCTGCTCAGTGTTGTGTTTCTGGGGACACTCTACAGCGACGTCTCCTTTGCAAGGCCCGCAGCCAGTCAGAAGGTCCAAGCAGGTGAGATGTGGTGGTAGGGATTCTGGTCTCGAAATAATCGTCTGGTGGAAGCGAGAACCACAGTCGCTTCTCAGTCAGGATTCAATTAGTGCATGATCCAGGAAGGTGTGCGTGAGCTCTGAGGACGCTTAGAAACCCTCACCTCAGAGGAACTCCTTCTAAATACAAGCAAGTGTCTCAGCTTTCCAACAGTTTGCAAGCGATGGTACTATTTAGACACCTTGGCTGACTATAAACCCTTGGTGGTACTTTTGCAGCAAGCTTCTGGCACTGGGGATCCATTGCAGAAGATGGTAAGTCAGGCTCTCATTCTCCAAGGCATCAACAGGCACCCAAAAGGTCGCCGACAAAACACAAGTGCTAAAGCGCAAAACAGTCAGTATATTTGCTCCGTGGGTAAAGTATTGGATCAGTGAAACCTCCTGGAATCTGATCAACACATGAAAGTACATTCTTTTCAAACGTGTTGACTGATCACCAATTTATTAGTGTTGAGGCAGCAGGGTGAAGGAGAAAACTCCATGATTGCAGCTTTGCAGTCCAAAGTTGCAGATCCCATCTTGCATGGCAGCTGTGACAGAGTCCATTCTGCAAGGTCCTTACTAAAAATCATATTTGTTGCAGATGTGTTTTGGAACCTGCTGAGCCGGTGGCATGCTGGAAGCTCAAATGGGGAATCGGAAGAGGAGATTGCGGTGCAAGGAATGCAAGCGCAGCATGTAGATCCGTCAGGGCTTGCTGCCAAGGAGGATGCAGAGAAGGAAGCAGATGAAGATCAGCTGGTCAGTGACAGGCGGCTCTCGTCAAAGGCAACTGGAACGCAAAAAGATGGACAGTTGTTGCAACGGAAACAGGAGGAATACGACAGCCAAAAATGGAGAAACTGGCCTGCCGTGGTGACTCCCGGAGCAGACTCGTACAGAACGGCACAGGCTATGCGGAATGCGTCCAAGCAGGTGTCGACGAGCCACAAGTGTGCAAACTACACCTGGGAGCAATCGGCCAGCGACAAGAAGCGGACCGGCTTCCGCCGTAAGTCGCCACATCTTCACTTATCAGACTCCAGTGTTTGCTGGAGATCTCCACCTGCACTCGGAATGGTTTCTAAGAAGAACCGTGCAACGAACCTTGAGGGTGTGTCTCGCTTCGCCTTCTTCGCGGAAGCGTCTTCGCTTTGAATCAGACATATTGAAAGGTAGCAGCGATTCACTTGCAAACTTTGCAGCCATTATCGACGTCGTGCAATGGCGTGTTCCTTTTTGACTTCCAGCCTGTGGGGTCTGCTATCTTCCCCCGGCGGAGGCCCTTGCTGCGATGCCCCAATCTCCAAGCCCTGAAGATTCCATCAGCGAGCTGCGCTTCATCGACGAGAGCCACCCGTCAGAGGCGGGCTATCCCCCCACGTTTGGCGGACATCCGACGTGGAGTGACCGGGAAGAGAGTTTCCAGGTCCGCGAAGAGATGGACGTGCACTGTGGCTTCGTATGGGGCGGGGATCCGGGCCAGGGCACGGGGTATGACGTGTCGGAAGAGGACCGCGCGGCCATGGCGGCCTGCAGGGAGGTCGTTGTGGCGAGCGCAATCTTTGGCGCGTATGACGTCTTGCAGCAGCCGAAGAACGTCAGCAAGGAGTCGGAAGGTAAGACCACCGATCCTAGATGCATGAAATTCTGTCCATTGGACAAACTCCAGAAGCCAAACACGATTTTCAGCTAAGTTATAAGCGCAGAAGCTGCCGCAACACATTGGTCTGCCCGGCAGATCGTACGAGAAGTTGCCGCAGCAAGTCCTCATTAGATTGATTCATCTTTTTCTTATCACGCCATAACTTTTAGGGTAGTCAAACCCCCTTCTATTCCAGTTGTCCGTACGACTTAGATCCTCCACTTGCGCACTTACTATTCATTGATATTCGTGTCGTCACAAGCCTCCCGAATTGTGCAGCACCCTCGCTCGACCTTCTTTGAGAATCACGCCCTCTTTCCGCAGCGCACGTGTGCTTTTTCATGTTCGTGGACGAGCCGACGTTGGAGGACCTGCTGCGCGACGGCTCCATCCCCAGCCCCGAGGCGCGAAGCGTCGGCCTCTGGCGCGTCGTGGTGGTCAAGAACATGCCCTTCGCGGACCCGCGCCGGAACGGCAAGGTCCCCAAGCTGCTGCTGCACCGCCTCTTCCCGCGCGCGCGCTACTCGCTCTGGGTGGACGCCAAGCTGCGCCTCATGAGGGACCCGCTGCAGGTGCGGTTTCTGAGCGGCGGCGAAGTTTGAGCGCGCTGAACTGAATGTGTCCTCTCAAAACGAAATCTGTTAGAAGCTGTCTCGAAGACTCGAAAACCTTCGCATCGTTTCCATCCCCTGGATGCTCCAGGGCTGTCAACGCCCTGGCCCTGTTTCAACGTGTGTGCGTCGTTGCTGAATGTTGCCTAGTCCACACCGGTCCGTACATCTGCCGTTTCTGACATTCCTGCTCGGACCCTGACTCAAAGCCCAACCAATAGGGTGACAGCAAACAACCCAACTTGGCATGCCTTTTATCTCCCTAGACGCTTTCCAGTCAAAAGGCTGCGTTTTGTCGAGCCCCAATTTTGCTGTGCGCGAGCTAGGGCCCCATGCACTGAAAACCGTTTCTCTCTGCAGATCCTGGAGCGTTTCCTGTGGCGCTCGGGCCACACGTTCGCCATCAGCAAGCACTACAAGCGCTTCGACGCGTTCATCGAAGCGGAGGCGAACAAGGCCCAGGGCAAGTACGACAACGCGACAATCGACGCTCAGGTGGATCATTACCGGGAGGACGGAATGCTGCCCTTCGGACCGGACAAGGCGCCCATCGAGAGTGGTACGGCCGGTCTTGACTTCCGTGACAGTTCGTCATTGTGCTAACAACCGGTTTCTTGAAGTTTTAGGTCGTCGCTTCTCATAGATAACTGCCATCAGCCCCAGCCTTTGATTAAAGAGCGCAAGCTTTTCTTTCTAGGCACACCTTTCTACGAACTCTGCAGGAAACAAGAGGTTTGGCGGCGTATGATGTCATATGAGCATCTCAGCAGACCTGCATAGAATATTTTCTCAGAAGCGGCCTTGCCCTTTGAGTTATTTGTCCATTTGCGCGCGTCTCGGTCTGAGAAAACTCGTACCGCACCATGAAATCTGCATCTGCGAATTTTCAGCAACTTCTGACTTCCGAAAGCGCGAAGCCTAACCCGCCGGCCCTCTCCCCCCTCAGACGTGCCGGAGGGCTGCTTCATCCTGCGCGAGCACACGCCCCTGGTGAACTTGTTTTCGTGCCTGTGGTTCAACGAGGTGGACCGCTTCACGTCGCGGGACCAGATCAGCTTCGGGTACACGCGCGACAAGATGTCGACGCCGCTCGTGATGAACATGTTCAAGGACTGCGAGCGCAGGGACTGCGTCGAGCAGGTGCGAATTTCCAACTCAACCCAGTTCCACCCAATCTAGACGTATTCACAGTCTCGCTATTCTAGCACCTATGGTTGAAGCTAGGACAAAATTTGGCTTGCTAAAATCTGTGACGAACTTCTCGGCGGTCAAGAAGGTCATTGGACGGAATCCAATTCGGAGACGGTGGAAGGAGCGTCGCGCAAGTGTCGGTGATGTTGATTTGAGAGAAAGTAGTTTCGGCACACTTTGAGAACTTTTTCCTTGCCTACTTGTCAGGCACGCTTCTAAGGCATGGATATGCGGAATAAGGTTTCCTGTCTCTTTCAGAACCAAAAACTGGCCGTTCAATCATTTTGTACGATAAAGATATCTGAAGCTTGCTTTTTTCCTGCCAGATGTACCACAAAGAGCTACTACTCAAGAAGATTCAGACCGAGAAGCCCGCGGTTCAGAAACAGGTGACACAGGCCCCCAAGGCTAGACCGCTAGAGACGCTCCCGCGGCAGAGGGCGCTTGTGGAAGACGAGTTGAAGCGCATGGTTAGAGGTGCTGGCAGAAAGACCGACTCGCCCCTTAACAGAAAGCTGGTGAGCGAGAAGAAAAGCACGGTGAAGAAGACGAAGAACCGCCGGGGGCATCCATAGCAATTGAGAGATCTTCCGAGCCCTGCCCATGCTATATCGTATTAGGGGCTGCGCACCTAACCATCCATCTATGGCCTAATCTAATGCATTACCTAAATTGACTGTATCCCACTGCCAGCTCGCGAACCCACCTAGATAGTACTGCTAGCAAGGACCATTACGATCGAAGCGCGCTGGCTGGCAAACGGCGCAGACGTAGGTTTAGAAATCTAAGCCCAACGGCGGTGCCCTGTACCGAGGGTCGTCACACCTGACAGCCGGTCGGCGGCCCAAAGAGTATTGTAGCGTTCAACCAGACTGTACTAATACGCCATCAATAATACCGCTAGCTACGGATTACCATTGCCCCGCTACAAATTACCATTGCCCCGATCGCCACGTGACGCCCTCTTCTGCATTGCGAGCGGCATGCGCAATTCGTAACAACTACCATAGGTGGTGGTATGCCACATGGCATGCTGTCAGGCGGACTGCGAATCTGAGTTCGAACTGAAACGCGGTCTTAATGCCTGGAACAAGCGGTCTGCTATAATCACCGTCTAGGTCTTGTTAAGGTCGATTCAGATCCACTGTCTTAACTTTATCAACTGGACGGTCCATGGCTCTGTACGTCGCCTAATTGCATATAGCAGAGCCTCGGAGGTACGTCCGGCCCACGCGCGGCCGGAACGGGTCTAACTTTGGAGAATGACTACTACAGATTGAGCCAGAAATGCACTTCCCCATAGACTGGCTTCAAATAGCCCTGAGGCTAGCTGCATGAGAATCGGATGCAGCCATCTTATAACAAATTTTGGCACGGCGCGAGAGTAATAGCAAGTCGTCGATCCGGTGCCATGACTGCATGCAAGCGGGGCGCGACAGGGGCTGATTCAATTCTGGTAACTCCCGTTTCACTTCAGGGCCATTTCACTCGGAGTAGGCGCCAGGGAGACGGGTAGGGTTCAATGGTTTGGTGGTCAGGGTGCGTAGCGGGTGTTTCTTTCGGTTAAAGGGTTTTCGTAGCTTGTTTGTCCGGGTAGCTCATATGTAGCGAATTATGTTCTTTGTAAGGCCATACCAATATGTGTATATGCACACAGACCGGACTGCACAAATTGAATGAACGGAACATACGGTACCTCTGCACTGAGTCCAATCTCACATGCAGTCGAGACCGTCAACCGTAATACGCAACCCCATCTTCAAAGCAGTTCAAATGGATGCTTCTTACGACGGTACATAGCTTAAGGTGATGGGTATAAGCACCCACTGTCAAATCCTCTTGCTCCCTTAAAAGGCCAATCCCATTTGAGTTGCCCCCATCGTCGCCACGACAAATACACTCGGATGATGCTTTCTTGCTGCATGGAATGCAACAGCGAAGGCTTGCTCTATAAAGCGGATCCCGACTGATGCCCTGGTTGTCTTCAATCTCAAGATTTCCGTACACAATCGCTTTGAAACAGTCGACCGGACCATATCCTTGCTGGACTGCCCGCTCTTGGCGCTGCTCGAGTACCACTCCTCAACCGCCTCTGCAGAAATGTACAAGCCTCGCTGATTATCACTTCTATTGCTGTACAGAACTCAAATGAACCGTCTAACGGCCATGTGCGGCCTCCAGTATGGAACTACAATTCGAGCTGCAGCCTCGTTCCCTCGATTCGGTTTCTACATGAAGTAGGTCAACTGCGTCTTCTGCCTAGAACCCCCTTCCCCGTATTGATCGTTCCACTGCTCCAGCTCGGTTGAACTAGCAGCGTCCGGGGAAACGCTGGCAGACACCTGCCAAAAACGAAAAGCAATCATGGGATGAACCAACGAAACGCTCGACTGAACATGTAAAACGTGGAGACTGAGGGGGTTTCCTGGATGCTTTTGGACGGAAAGATTGGCAGCATGCACCAAGAGCGTCAATGAACGCAAGCACTGAATTCGTCCGCAATTTGTACAGCAAAATTTGTTGTCAACTCGAAGAAAAAGGTCCTCATGTGACTTCCACTCAGCTTCAAAAAGGTGGCCCAACGGCGGGACTACGACCGGTTGATATCAAAGCCTTCACTAGCAATAACAGATTGATCCTTTCAAGCGCACTTACCTGCTCCTTGGCTAGCCGCATGTCGTTCATGTTGAGCGGTCGGATTGGGGGAGGCGCATCGCTGCTGGGGGCCACCCAGGGGCGGCCTTCCGTCTTCGCCTTCGCACGCTCCTGGAGGTGACAAGCCAGAAACACGCACGTCAGACATAAGTAACAAAGTGCGCTTGAGAGAACCTTGGAAGAAGCTCAGAGAGAGGACTGCCATGGGACTGACGGAGTATTGAAACTAGGCTCCAGAAACTGCATACTTAGTCTTACAAATCACGGCTGCAATCTTTGCTGGTTTTGAGGTCAGCAAGTTCACGTAAGCTGCTCTCAGCTTGCCAGCGGAGACTCTGAAGCCTCCTGTCCTAATCTAAGATGATCTGCATCAGTGTGCGCCGCGGCAGCCGTACCTTCTTCTCGTTCTCCAGGATCTCCCGGATCGGTTGGTACGCAGCTGTGACGCACAGGTTCTGCGAAGGGCAAGCAAGTGAATCAGAGGCGCCGCAGAGCAGCAGATGGAAAAAACGAACATGGAGCATACAAGCTGTGACGGACGCCTGAGAGGAAGTTTGCCAAAGCAACAGATTTGCGATGCCTGAAGCGGCGGCCGACTTGACCCCAATACTAGAGCTGAGCCTTTTCGTTGATCACAGAAAAATTACTCCCTCGTGGTTGACAGCAGCCTGCAAGAGCCACCCTTTTGCGTTCCCTAGTTGCCTAAAACCCGAATTGATGGAAACCCCAAAGCCCTAAACCCCCTTGTTTGACCACACAACGCAGCTCAACCCCGTGCAAGGCGGAACATCACACCTTGAGGTCGCTCCCCGAGTACCCGTCCGTCATTTGGCTCAGCTCTTCAAAGTCGAAGGCTGCGCTGAGCTCCTCTTTACCCAGGATCACGTGCAGAATCTTGCGCCGATTTTCCGCGTCGGGCAAGGGCACCATCAGCCTGCGAGCAAAGGACGGATCAGACCGGGCAGAAAAGGAAGCACCGCCTGTGCCACACTGTGCAGGTAAACGTCCTCTACACTGCATCCAGCTTCTCAACTCATCAGTGAACGGCTGGAGTTTGCAGTTACAGTGCAAGGCAACATCGTGATTATCCGGGTGGCGGGGCGCCGGAATCCTGGCACAGAAGAGCACAGCATCAGCGCTGGCAACAATCCATTGCCACATTCCGAGGCACCCAATCGCGCCTGTTGAGTAAGCCGACTAGACACCCACGTACAGCTGTTCACTCCCTCAAAAGATCCGAAATCCCGGGTTCCCGCCGTCAGGAGTCCCCCACAGCCTCTCCTGCGCAGCATTCCACAAAGGACGCTCCTGCATTTCCTGATCCACTCTGCTTCATTACAAACTTCTTTTGAGCCGCAAAAAATGGTAAAGAGGCCAGATGTCAGCTAAGCCCCAAAACCTCAAAACTCTTACCTGCGCGGCATCCTGCGCACGACGGCCTCGTCGAGGTCGAAGGGCCGGTTGGTGGCGGCCAGCACAAGCACCCGCTCGCGGTCCTTGGTGCGGAGGCCGTCCCAGTTGGCCATGAACTCGTTCTTGATCTTACGCATCGCCTCGTGCTCGCCCGGCTTCTCGCGCCGGCCCAGCATGCTGTCCACCTCGTCGATGAACACGATGCTCGGCGCCAGCTTGCTCGCGAGCGTGAACACGGCCTTGACGTACTTCTCGCCCTCGCCGAACCACTGCGGGAGAGGGATTTGGAAAGAACGTCAGAGTGCCGTCTCAGGTGGTTCTGGTACCGGCAATCTTTTGTATTCCGACTTCAGGGGCCTAAGAGGAAAAAGCGGGGTCTTGTAGTTGAACCATAAAAATGTATCGTGAGGGGTGCTGAGAATTTCGAAAAGGACCGTGTAGGGCATGGTGTCAAGGGTTTCAGGAGCTACGGACCGAAAGCAGAGCTCACCTCCGGTACGATCACTTGGAGACGGTGTCACAACGGGCAGGTGATGATACCGAGTGTTTACGCTTGACACGCTCGCAGTAAACATTTATCACATAATCTTGATCTTGCAGAGCGGGTTGTTCTTGTTGGCCTAATTGCAAACCCGTAGGTCGTCCAGAGCAGGTGGAGGAAGCGGGTAAGCAAAGCTGTTGGAGTTGACGCTATAAAGCAGTTGACGGCAGCGAGTCCCTCGGCCCCCCGGGGAAAAGCAAGGACCGTCGGCAGGTGCTTCGCCTTTCTTGGCGCTACGCATCTCAGCTTGAACAAAGTTCGGCGACCCAGTATGTAAACGTCCAACTCAACTCCAAATCTCCTTACTTTCAACCCTCCTAAGAAACTGCAACCTTGTAATTGGAAACCCCCGACGCCCCCGACAGAAGAACCACGCATCTCAAAACGCTGCTCACCTTGGACGCGATCGTCGCGACCGAGATGTTGATGAAGTTGGCGCCCGCCTCGGTGGCCACCGCCTTGGCGAGCATGGTCTTGCCCGTCCCCGGGGGCCCGAAGAGCAGGATCCCCTTTGTGGGCTTAGTAAGCTGGCCCCGGGAGAAGAGCTCCGGGCGCTGCAGCGGCAGCATCACCAGCTCCCGTAGCGTCTCTTTCACGCTCTCGAGCGCGCCAATGTCGTCAAATCCGACGCCGATCTCTTCCGCGGGGATGACTTCGGAGAGGAGCCGCTTCTCAAAGTCGTCCTCGAGGACGATGTCCTTGAGCGACTTTTTGAGCGGGGAGCCGTCCTCGCGCAACGATCGCAGCAGCTCCACGCCCGAGCGCAGGCTGCGGAGAAATTTGGGGTGTCAGTGTTGCGACCGGAACAAAGCTCACAGAGGGCGGCGAAAGGCGACGGCAACGGGAAATACTGGCAACTTGCAGCTCTTTGTTGGTTCGTGGCAGAACACAAGAGCTTCAAACCTTGCTCAGAAAGCTCGCAGCTTTCGAAACTGCCAATGCTCGGCGGCTTTGCCGAGTCTCCTAAACGACGCTTCTGCCTCCAGGTCACCAGAAGGGATGGACAAAGGCTCAGACTTCGCACTCCTGACCATGAGCAGAAGCGGCTTCCTCGGCTTTTCGTACAAAGTGTGACAACAAGCCCAACCCTCAGCAGCCTCGAACCCAAAGCCAAACCTCCAAAAGGCCCCAGGATACGCACCTGTCCACTGTCAGCTGCAGCCTGCCCTTCTTCACGGCGGGCTCCTCTGCCGCCATCAAGTAATGACTAGCGGCCCAGGCCACCACTTTTTGGGCCTGATCCGGCGACAAAATTTGGTCCTTAACTTCCAGCGCCGCCAGCTGTTCACAGCCCACGTTCGACTCGCGGAGCACCTTTTGGATGACGCCCCGGTTGGACTCGGCCTTGAGCGTCGCCACGTCCTTCTCAATCTGCTTCTTCCACTCGTGCAGCTCGCTGTCCTTCTGCAGAGCGGGAAACATAGAAGTTGGGCTAAGTCACAGTTGCGGGTCACAGCTCAGCAGAGGGAAATTGGGAAGGTCTAGGACGAGAGTAAGGCCGACGCAACAGAACTGCGGCATTCCTGAAGGGGAAGCATCCAAAAAGATAGAGAGCAGCAGGGAGGGTTTCAATGATCGAAGATGGAGCCGGATTAGGCGGCATACTCAACACAAGTGAGTGCACCACCCTGACGCTTTTCGCCTTTATTGCCTTTATTGCAAGGTTGCTGCAACCGAGTCCATATACTCCTTCGATCGACCAAGCACTTGCGCGGGTCTTGCTGCCTTGCTATCAACAGCCTTGCTATCAACAAAGGTCTTTTAAGAAGGTCCGAAAATTCCATTTTAGATGACCGCTTCAAGGGGCCTGAGCTTTGTGTCTGTATGGCAATCTTCGGCATCAGTGCTCTGTACACTCGAAGAGCTTTTTCTGGTGACGTTTCACTGTTTGCTCACCTGCGGCGGCTGAATCTTGATCTTGGAGGGAAACAGTTTCTCGAGGACCTTGGCGATCTTGGGCTGCTCTTTGCCGCGCTCCTCCAGGCGGCTCAGCGTGTTGATGAAGCTCAGCTCGAGCAGCGACGTCTGCTGCCCGCCAAACTTGTGCAGCGTGGACCCGCCGACATGGAACTGCACGAGCGCAAAAGGCGGGACTTGAGGCTCGAATCTAAGCACTGCAAAACATTGTTCGGTTCTCTGAAGACTCAAATCACTCCCCTTAAGGAAGGATGGCCAAACCCCAAGCGCTACCCCAAGGAGCGCAATATACTTGAGGATCAAGAACAGAAGGGTTCCACAGGAAGGCGAGAATAATAACGAAATGGACAGCAGCGAATCCGCCAGAAGCCAGAAGTACTTCCTCGAGAGCAGACACGATTGTCTGCACAGGGTAAAACTGGCTCTAGGAAGGAGGAGGAAGAGACAGCCCACAAGAAACAAACGCCTTGAGGCCTGGATCTCGCCTGGCCCTAGCCCGCTAAAATTAGAGCTGAGACAACACCAAAACCTTTAAGCCCTCAGATTTAGTGCCCATAAAGATGACGAAACTGCTGCAGACTGCCCAAAGCACCCAACGAGATCCTTTCTTCCTTTCAAAAAATCGACCCAGCCGCGCGCACCTTTTCTTTTCCTGCGTCTGGTATGATGTAGGACGCGATGGCCACGATGGGCCCCTGCAGGCCCTCCAGCTTCTTGCGCAGTGCCAGGTACTTGTCCAGGTTGCCCATGATCGACCGCTCCGCGTCCGGGATGTACAAAATGACGGGGCCCGCCGCGCTCGCCTCGGACAGAACCTGCTCGGACAGAACGGGACATCAGCGCTGGTGCCGCGCACAACTTCTTTCCTTTTAACGGAGATAGTTGCAGCGACAAGCGGCAAACTATCGCACTCTTTCCTCGGTCACGAGGGCTCCATGATGCATGAGAACAACAGGGGTATCAAGGAGAAATTCCTCCAGATTAAAATCTATATTAGCAGAATTTTGAACGTCTTTTTTCTTACAGGGAGTGGCCATAACAATCTTACAAGTATACAAATTGTCTAGATAAGTGGGCGACCTGTTGCTAGCATGCACACGCTTATCATTGTTCCTCCAAAACAGACTCAAGGGGCTATGGTTTTGGCTGCGCTCACCTCAAAAAGGGCGTCCATGCGCATCCCCTCGGTATCGACGCCTTCGACTGTCTCGAGCAGCTCTAGGTTCGCCGCTGAAAAGAAGGGGGCACACACGAGTCAGGACAACCCCAGCAAGCCTTGGACGTGAGTTTCAAACCCGCCACGGCCCACTTGAGGCCAAGATCGGAATTGAGTATCCCCACATTGGGTTCTTCCCCTGTTAAACTGGCGTACAGAACGTTCACAAAAGACGAAGGGGCAAGTAATGTGGACTCAGGGCTTGGAACGGGAGGCTCTTACAATCCGAATCAATTTTGGATAACCACTATTCTTTGTGTTGACCATCAAATACTGCATCGAAGCATTAAGTACAATCAGCTAACAACGGACGTCGTTTCACGGAACGCCTCGCACCAATTTCCCGTTCATCAGACACTGAAAAGTTAGTTCTGCAAAGTAAATCCTCCGTTTGCTGGAAAACGAAGACGTCTACTCCTGCTCCAAAACAAACAATCAAGAGGCACAGAAACTACCTCAGGCAGCAAGCCAGTACGTTTTCCTTACGTTCCCCTTACGTGCCTTGTGCCCCACACGCTGCCCACCACCTTCCAAAACCCTTCAATCAGCAGCACAAATTACAAAGCGGGCACGTGTTAACCGCTTACCGTTGCACCAGAAGCCGTGGCCGTCGTCGCACTGGTTGCCAAGGTTGCTCCCGCCTGGAACCGCCTTGTCGAAGCTGATGCCCAGCTTGTGGCTTGGGCTGTACACCAGCTTCACCGTGCCGCGACACCCCACGCACGGGCCCCTGCGCACGAGTGTGAACAGGCTCAGCCCTCGAAACTTTCACAGTCTTACTTAGTTTGGAAGCGTACAAAACAGTCTGCTATACATTCTTTAATCAAGGATACGGGCTCTCGCAGTACGGCCTGCTGATCCGGACACCAGACCAGACATGTCCTCTTCTGTTTCTCTAGCGTAACTCTCTGCCATCTGTCCTTTTCCTTATTCCAAACGACAAACGAGTGCGTCGCCTTAGACCAGAAACTAAGCAGCATACAGAACAGAGAATCAACAACGGCCGGCTCATTGAGAGACTCAGACAGCGGGTCCCTCTCACCTTATCGGTGGATCAGTTTTGAGCTGCTTCTCGGCCGCCAGTCTGTCAGAAGCAACAAAATGTCGTCGTTAAGAACTCCTGGCTCTTTCTTATCGCATCCGCCCCTTTGCAGCCCAACAGCTGCAATTCAAGCCGAAACCGGAATTGACGGATGAAGAGAAGCAAGAACTGGACCGTTCAAGCCTTCGTGGTCCAACAAAGAAGCCCAGACCTTTTCACATTGCCTTAGCTTGCCCGACTTCATTAACTCACCCGCACAGGTAGGTGTGCAAGCTACTCGACACGTTCGCAGTCCCTGGCCCTCCCCGGAACCTCACCCGATCGCCTGCACGTGACACGACAAGACACGTGGCACAGGTCAAATCAAGCGATCCAGCAAAGCGACCACCAAAACGGTCACTTGCACCTCTTGCAGATTACGATGATCGGCCTCACTTCCGAAGACAATCCACCGGCTCGACTGGCAAGTTTGCAGCCACGACATACCAGCACATGGCCGCAGCAACATGCAAAAACATCATTCCGGCAATCGTGGACCGAAAGGCTATCACTGCGACAAGAAACTTTAGAGGCCACAAGCAGAGCAGCGTTTGTAAGTTCGTAGCTCCAGTAACAAACAATGCTCTTCGACCTGGCAAACATTAATCGAACACACCAGCTCCTACCCCAGCCGCCTGACCCCTCACCCCTTTTGAAGAACTGCCCCTTCTTGCCCTCCTTCCCGCGCGCCCCCTGTTCCCCCCGCCCCCCCTCCGGCCTGCTCGTCGCCAGAAGCACCGACAGCGACCGCTCAATTCTATCCATCTTCGCATCAGACCGGCCCCAAAAGTCCTCTTCCTTCTCGTCTTCATTGTCTCCCTCCAGGAGCGCGTGCACCGAATCATCGTCCTTCTCGCCACTGCCCGGGGGATCCCTCTCACCTGGCTCTCGGGTAACTGCTACCGAGTCCTCGAGCAGTATTTCCTTTCCCCCGGGCTCTACCTTGGTTTCGCCTGGCTCTAACTCGCCCTCTTTTCGCTCTAGTGCAGCTTTCCCCGACGTCGGCGCAAGGTTTAGGTCGGGCACTTCTGCCGCATTGTCGGTCCCGTTTTCTGACGAGCTAGGCTGCGCCTCTGTCTCCATTGGCTCCAGTGAGTTTGCTTCGGGGGTTTCTGCCGGTCGGGTCGGGTTGTCCGTCTCCTGAGTAATGTCCGTTTCAGCAAGGGCTTTGGCCTTAGCAGCTTCTGAAACGCGCTGTTCTATTGGTCTTGTTTCGGTCGGGGTGCCTTCTCTTTCCAAGACCACGGGAGCAGGGGGCTCTGATGGGGTTGCCTCGGTTGGTTTCTCTTCGTCTACCACCATATCTCCACCCTGCGCAAAGATGAAGAATCAGGACGCAAGAAAAAAGCCGTCGTCTCAAATTTCATGAGTGGTTTTGCAAACCGACTCAATCCGGAAGAAGCGCGTTAAACGAAGCACCTGAGTGATCTATCCAGCGTCTGATCACTCGTGAAGGGCTTGCAATCTTCCTGACGCTGATGTCTGTGGGCTGCCTTTGCTAACTTGGGAACAGTACTCTCATCGAGGAATATCTCTGGGCAATTTCACAAGGTTTCAAGCAATCAGGATAGAATTACTCTTGAAAGGATATGGTTGCTTCGCTACAACGTGCTCAACACGAAACTCTGGAGGAGTTTCCAAACCGTCTCACTCAGAACAAGGCCTTCAAACTCTTTACGAGAAAATGATGAGTTCACTGACTTCCATTCTTTAAGTTCGTCCTCTTTGAAGTGGTTAGGTCACTTTTTACCTCGTCAGTTGCCGCCGGTGCTTTCTTTGGGGGATCGCCAGCATCCGCATGATTCCCCGTTTCGGGAACCGTTGGTTCCTCGGTCGACATTGCGTCCACCTTTCTTTCCTCCTCGGGAACAGCCTCAACTGCAGGCTCGACCACCTCCTCCGCTTCTTCCGTCGGTGAAGGCTCCTATCACAGACTCAGGTTTACAGTCAAATCAAAAGACGGGAACAACAGCTTCGCCGCGACCAGAAGAGGACTAAAAGCGCATCGCCTACGCTTTCTTGTTGCACAGAAAGGTGCATCAGGACAACAAATTGAAAGATAGATCGAAGGCCTTGAATAACAACCAATGTTTGCTGCTCCAGAACAGGTAGCCCGAAGACCAGACACCTCTGACGTGGCAACTATTGAGTGAATCAATGAAAGTGCGCAACAATTTTCCGGTTAACAAACAAACGAACATCTGGCCCACCTCGTCCGTCCCCGCAGCATCCATGACCATCAGCTTCGCGCCAAAGTGCGCCGCAAGCGCACGCACCAGCGTCTCCTGGTAGATGTCCGTCCCGCTGCCGCCCGCGAGCAGCATCCGCGGGCTCAGCGCCGCGAGCTCTTTCGTGTACTTCACATACTCGTTCTTCTTGAGGTGCACAAACGCGGAGCCGATCAGAAGCTGCTTCGTCGTCTCGCTGAGATAGTACGGGAAGTTCGCAAACGAGACGGTTGCTCCCGAAGGATCGACGAGTGCCTTGGCAAAGGACTCCTTGAGCGCGGCCCGCTTGGCCGCGACCGCCCCCTCTGCGGCTTTGGTTTTTGCGTCAAGGTCTACCGGCTCGTCCTTGCCCGGGTTTGGAAGGCTCGGTGCTTCTCGCAAACCCTTCGCCTCGCCAGCCTGTGGTTCCTTCGAAACCTGCGGCTCGATTCTCGTTCCTTCCCCATCTGTTTGGCCCGCTTCGACTACCCCTCCCGTACCTAGATCCGCTTTCATCTCACTCTCCGGAGCAGCTTTTTCTGCTTCACCGCCCCCTTCATTCCCGTCCTTTTCCTCTCCGACGGCTTCCCGGCCCTTCGACGCCTCCCCAGCAGCCTGCAGCAGCGCCTCGAAGCTCCGGGCCCGGTTGAGCGCATATACACCCTCTTTACCCGCAGCCTCCTTGGGTGTGTGACCGCCCGCTTTCTCCGCTTCTGCCGTTTCGCCCTCCTTTTCCCTCCCCTGGGAGCTCTCGGGATTTGACACCACAGAATCCTTGGACGCCTGCCACTGCGACACGTACCGTTCGAGCGCCTCTTTCTCTGCCTGAAGGGTTCGCATTTCCGCGATGGCAGCGTCACGAAGCGAAGTCGCAAAGGCCCTCGTCGGCAGCGGGGGTTTTGGGTTCGGACCCTCTCGTGGGCTTCGTGCGTTTGGCAGTCTGGACAGTGTTTCAATCATGAGGTCGCTGACGGGAGTAGGGGACGGCCGGGGGATTTTCAGCATCACGCGTTCCATGTTGTCGTCAAAGTCGACACTAGGGAACGCCCCTCCCTGCCTCAGGGGTAGAGGAGTATCCGTTCGCTGCTGGAAAATCTGTTGCGGAAACTCGGTCAAGGAAACACCCAGAAGCCGGTGCGCAATGAGACGCTTACTCCAGAATGACGTTTTCGTTGGAGAAAAAGGCCAATGCAGGAAAAGAGGTACACAGGAGACATGGCTCACGTAAGAGCTGCCACAAGGTCAGCTCTCAGAACCGCAATTGGGAAGCATAGGCAACTTCAGAAGATCTTCGTCCCGCAGCTAGAGAACATGGGCACCTCCCGAGTGACAGGCGAAGGGGATCCTGTTCATAAGTTGGTCCAATCTAAGGAACTACCCCCCTCCAACAACATCTCGGGCAGCATATGGAAGATGTGCACAACACAAGGACCGCGCTTTTGGAAGGATACGTAAGCGAACTGCTTGGAGCCTGAGAACGTCAGCTCGTCTCCGCTCTTGAGCACTGCCTTGTCCCCCCGCTTGGCATCCCTCCCGTTCAGGCTCACAGTGCCAGTTCCCCCCAGGTTTTCAAAGTACACCAAGTTCCCCTGTTTTGAAACCAGGAAGAAGACCATGAGTCGCCAATCATTAAGCACAGGATCCGTGGATTGAAGACAAAGGAAGGCGTCTGCAAGTGAAATCGTTCACTGAGGGGGCGCGAGCTTCGAACATGGTTATTACTCCGTGGGCAGCGGAATCCATGGAAGCAACTAGGTGATCTTAGAAGCGCAGGAAACGTCCCCAGGATCCATCGCAATTATCCAGAGATTGTGCAGGTGAATGAAACAATCATAAATTGCGCTTCACATCATACGTGATCTAGGGCTGGCAAACGTTTACACCGTCCGCTTGGATGCAAATTCAGGGTCCTCAAGAGTCAGGCCGCCTCACCTTGAGGAAAATCCTGGCGAGCATCCCGCTGACCTCAGCATCGGGCAAGCGCAAGCTGCACGACTTGCTGCGGCCGATCGTGAAGCAGACGCCAGACAAAACCGCATGCGGATTCTGCGGTACAATACGAGAGACGTGTCAAGGCTGCGGGAAGGATTCCGTACTGGACTCAGCGAATCGCCACAAGTTGCTTAATACTAGATGGCCTTGTAGAATCGATTTTGGTAGCCCTGCCGGTCTTCCACACGCATTAGAGAGCGCCATGAGCCCCTTCACATCCTACCAACTAATGTCACCCTCCTATCTCACGCTTCAAGCTCCTGTTGTTGAGTTCCAAAGTCCGAACCCCGTCCCTAAACGTTTAAGATTCATTTTGGCTTTGTGGCTACGTACTTGTCGTATCTTACATGGGTCCAACTCAGATCTTGCGCAAGGCAAGTACGGCCAAATCCAGACGAACCCGATTCTCAAACTGCCAAGACGTGGCTCACACAAAACACTGTTGCAAACAGCGGCGCTTGCGGACTTTCGTGTACTGTTGCAACTTACCTCAGGGAACTGTGAGATGAGGTCTCCCCACTTCTGTTCAGCAAGGCTCGACGAGGGGGCCATCAGGGGCGTGCGCATCGCCTCAGCCTCTGCCTGCTGCTTGGCCCGCATCAACCGCATCCGCAATTGAAACTCCCCATAGTTGCCCAACTGGGCCGCAGGGGACCCTGTGAGTCAGCGATATCAAAGCTGGTCAAGAGTAGTTGGCACGTTTTTCTGCAAAGACAACTTATTTTTGCACTGGTGAGTCAATTTTTCACTGACTTGCCATGTTTGATGTTGGGGTCTCACGACGTTCCCGACGAAAGCTTTGAACGGTGCTGCTTACGACCTGGTTCCTCCAAAATCGTTCTCCAAACACTCATGATAAAATACCCTCTCAACGAAGGATGGATTGCAACCTTGGAACTCCACTCTGTAAGCCTTCAACTTCAAGCCCCGCTCAGACTAAGTGCCTCTTGTCTCTCAAACCCTTAATGACAAGGCCCATCTCAGGACTTATCACCAGTCAACTACAGCTGCAGAAAACTCCAGGGAGGGCGTGAAGCGAACCTGTTCCCAGCCGCCGCTTGCGGCTCCTATTCCAGAAGAATTTGACTCCGATCCTTCTCACCTGCAAGGTGCTGATTGGGCGGCCGTGGGGACTCCGCTGGCGGCAACCCTTGCGGCGCCTCCTCTTCCTCTTTCACCTGCGCCCCCGGCGCATCTTCGACAACTTCATCTTTCACCTCCCGCAAAGGGCTAGTGGGTTTGGCGCCCTCCACCGCCGGAACTGCATCCACTGGCTCGGCCCCCTTCTCTGGCTCCAGGGCTTCCGTGTTGTCTGCCGCTTTCTCAGCTTGCTCCCCTTCGTCAATCTGTCACAAAGATGATAGCCTAAGCAGTTGTACGGATATGCATGTTCATTGTCTTAGCGGGTGCTTCATTATTAACAGAGGTATGAAAAGTAGGTACTTGGTTGCTACAGGAGGAGACCTTGTTGGACACTGCACTGTTCGTAGAGCCCAGCTGCCAGAGCCTTGCAACTCGATGATGTCTGATCTGTCTCGAGACGTAGGATTGATCAAGGCCGCGGTGCAGGAGTATAGACGAGTCCTGAGACTCCAATAGCTTTCCTGTCAGAGAATCCTTGACCTACAAACTCCATGATGTCAACCGCCAGAGATGAACGATTGTACTCAAATGTGATTGACACAGGGCTCACTTGACAAATGCCAACAAATTTCAAGCGCCACACATAAGACAACTCCCCCTTGCGCTCTTAGTATAAGACCCCAACGTCCACTTGTGAACCAGCGTCTCAATCCCACCTTCTGCCTCTTTGCACTCGTGACCTCCGGCAGCTCCGCAGGGCTGGCACTCCTCTTCCCGCTGTCGGCATTGCCTGCGGACAGCCGTCTCCCACGCAGCTTCCGAGGCTCCTCCTGTCCACCAGTGCTCTCCTCATTTGTGTCACTTGGACTCTTGCCTGCTGACCCAGACCGCCTGGTCGCCACCATTTTGATCCAGGGGAAGCAATGCTACGTGCGGTTCAGCTGGACAAGGGGAGCTGCATGAGATGCCTGCAGATGAAGTACTGAATCAGAGCGGCGTGTGTACTGTAAAAGCTAAAGAACTGTGGTTACGCAAGCTGACAGAGTGACCTGAACTGAGTCTATGAAGGGCACCGGCAACAGAAAGCACTTCCAGAAAGTGGTAGGGCCAAAGCCAAGAGGTCTACAAGCACACATATGCCAGCCACTGTTAGTCATGGAGGCCGAGATAAACAAGCTCAGCAAGTCCAGTTAGGCCTGCACTATTGCACTCAAGCAACCTCAGTTGGTCCTTATTCAAACTCAGAAACCAGCACAGTCTGCTCCACATGAGGCAAATTCTTGAATTGCAAGCAACATTCACAGACTTCCTTCACATTCCCGTGTCCAGAAACACAAAGTCAAGGCTTAGGTTCAGCCATCTAGGGGTGCGACACAGCATTCTATGTCCAAAAGGATCAGGCATGGACCCAGCTGTGCTCAGAAGAAAGCGCCATAGAGGAGTAATCTAAAGGATCAGGCACACGGCTAGTAGTCACATTTGAAGGATTCAAGCTGGGATGAAACATGGCACAGCCAGCACAAAGACAGCACCACAACAAACCAATGCAAAGCGTACGACATGACCTTACAGCCAGCTAGCTCACAGCAGAATCACCCACATCACATATGACAAAGATCAATAAGGCATCAAGATTGTCCAAACGCTGCCAAGTTTCAAACCAACACCCTTACAGCTCTACAGCAGAAGTCTCAAACGCAGCAACAACTTACACGAACCGTGCTGGCCTTGACACGCTTTACTTCACGCCATGCTGACCATCATTGGCATCATTCCTGCAATCCCTCAGAACTGCCTAGCAGCTCCTTCTTGGTATGTGCTAACCATCACGAAAAGCGTCTAACCTCCCCTCACAGGCTACAGCAGGCTAGCGCCAAACAACATGTCCATTTTACGTGGACCTCCATGGCTACCCAATGCTGGGCGTGACGAAGTGTTCAGAGCCTTACCCACCCCTTAGGCCCTTCTTCCACCTAGCGGTCGGTCTTCGTAAATTGGAAAAACAAAGACCAGCTAGAAAGACCGGAGGACTGTGAAGGTAGCCAATAGGATTCCAGAGAACTGTAGACCGACCACCGCTTGATGGAAGGGGCCTCCGGTCTTTCTTCCGGTCGGTCTTCGTTGTTTAAATGGAGGCACCAGTGCAGACAGGGTACCCAATCATTTGGTTTCGAGCCCCCACGGTGCACCGTCTTCTGATTGGCTGAAAGCACCGATAGCTTCGGAAGACCACTGGGGCATTTTCTCTACCGCTGGAGTCCAGCGGTAGCGAAAATGCATTTTCTTGACCGCCGACGTGGCACTTAAAATTCGGAAGACCGGTCAGTTAAAGACCGGTTCACCGCAGAAATACGGTGTTTCAGCCAATGGGAATTTAGGGAACGAAGACGGACCGCTAGGTGGAAGAACCCCCTTATTATTAACCCACCCTAAAGCTATACCTAAACTCAACCCAACCAAACCTCTTCAACTTGTTGGTGTCGTACACAACCTCACAAACTAAGCAAACCGTATTTGGTTTTAGGTGGCCGGTGGAAGCTGGCCCAGTCTACCGGATAAATTCCATTCTTCGCAACCTACGGTAGATCGAAAATCTATAGCTGCCCGGTCACATTCCCCCTGTCTAAGCCCTTCTGAACCGACTTCACTGGTTGGATTTGACGCGCACACTATCCAAGCTCATTGTCCAAAACCCATCCAGACCTCATCAAGATAACGAAGTTCAAGATCGGATTTGGTGGTTGACGTTCTGGCTCGAGATTGCACTTGGGAGTCCTGCACTTCAACTTCAAGAGCACTTCAAGTGCAGCCATTCTGAAGGGCAACAGGAAAAGCTGGGAAAAGTTGGAGGACCCTAAGCCCTCAGTATGGCGCCACCTGCTCTCCTTTCAGCGCTTGCTCTTGTTACAGGTGGGGTTGCTCTAAGAAAGCTGTTGGGAGCAAGAGCCGTGGAAGATCAACCAAGGATGGGAACTTCAGAGAGCACGGCAGTTCGTGAGCCCTTGTCAGCATCTGGAACAGCTGAGGGCTTGGAGAAAGAGCTGGTCGACAAGTTCAAAAGGAAGCTGGAGTCTCGAATAGAGGGTTGGGAGGGGCTGAAGACCGATCTAGAGCACTTTCCTTATTACCTAAGGTATGCTTCGCTTTCCCCCTACTGAAGCTGGTTTCCGGCAGCATTGGAATAGGCACCTTAAATGGCGTTGCAGGTGTTGTTGCAGGCTCTTAACCTGTTTTTGAAAGACAAGAGGTTCTATCCCAAGGGTTTTTGATCCTGGGACTTTGCTGTCGGTCGATTGGTCTGCAGCTCTTTGAGAGATTTTTGTGAGATGGTGTGCTTTGTCGTTTCATTTGTGTGAAACAAAGGCTTTCGCTGCTCGATCAGAAGCGAAACCTTACAGAGAAACTTTGACGGAAAAAAAACACTTTCCCTTCTGTTTCTAGAAAGACTTTTCCGAGGACTTTTTGAGTTACAGGCATTGAGTGGTGTTTGAAATAAGATCAGTGTTCTCAGTACTTTTTCCCTACTAGAGGACTACTGGAATCCTCTAGTGATCTGGGTTATTCGTGATGTGATTGTTCCTCTGGTGAAAGATAAAGCTGGCTTCATCTCAGTTCCTTTAAGCCATTGAAAGACAGGGCCGGGCTCTTTTAGAGATTGATTCAGGGGACCCTCTTATACTGTCCCACTCCACGCACGCAACTTCAAGTGCAAGTTGCTTTAGCTCTGATCCATCTTTCAAGAATATATGGTCACTTGCTTTGGGTTGGGGGGACTTTCTATAAAAGGGTGGTAGAAGGTAAGTTTTCACAATCGTGGTCAGGTGCCTTATGTCAAGAAGATTGAATAATCTTAATGCTTCCAGTCTGATAGCAACTGTTATATCGAAGTGAGGCAAATCGAGGTTTTTGGTCTGTGCAGTGAACGAACCCGGGAACTTCTTCTGCGCTCGATGTTTGTTTACCTGCAAAAACCAGAGTTTATCAAGTACGCCGCCGACTTTCAAGCGTTAAGCAATGCGATTCTTCTAGAGAGCACAGAAGGTGAGGGCATGAATGAAGCTTTGGACTTGCGATCTGAAAGTTCTTGTAAGAGTTTCTGGTCCAATTTGTTTGACAGTTCTTTGCACTACAGGTAAATATGACGATACTGTAGGTAGCTCCACTACTGTTCGAACAGATCCACTAGCATACATGCATTACTTCCTGAGCATGACGGAGCAAATCACTTACGTTTGTACCTGCAAGTTCGCCAGACGCTCGGAGTGTCAGCTATCTTTGTTGCAACGTTCAGCGCCTTGACGGTAGGGACGTGAGTTCTTCAGTTGCGTCAGCTTGAATTGCTCTCAACGGTCTTTCATGTCGCAGGCTCTGACCTCTATCAGCTGAGGCTGATAGAAGCATTGGCCCGGCACTTCAAGGCACGCCTGCTGGTTGTGAGTCATGCAGATCTACTACCGGAGGTGAGCCCCCCTCTCGCAGTGGATGATTTGCCCTGGGAACTAAGAGGATTATACTCGTCTGGTCTGGTTCAGACGGGTGTTGTGGGGTCACTTTGATGGTGGAACATGCTAATCTTTCCCCGATGGATGTGCGTCAAATGATTGGTTCGGTTGAAAGCGTTTCTACGTCATGGCTATTGTTCTGAGCCTTCCATCTTAGACTACTCGTATCTTCACCCTATTTTCTGTTAACGTGTCACTGCAGGACGAAGTTGACAAGGTTCCAAGGCGAGCAAGCATATACAGAGCGGACAGGGGGGCTGGGGCCTCATCCTCAGTACAAGCCTACACAAAAGAGACCTTGGTGAGGTGCTTGCTTGTGGCCTTTTCGAAAAAGTGATGGCATCTGTGCGCTTTCAGAACATAGATTTGAACAGTCTCAGTACTTGTGGTTCTTGAAGCAGGCTCACGGTTTTCAATGGTGATGAGCCGCGACCTTATCTCTCTCACTTCGGAATTGCACTTTTCACAGCCGGCTCTTCGGAATACTCCCACCTGGATATCCACATCGAAAAGTGCTACGGAGATGACTGGACGCATTGTCCACCTTTTGTAACGGCTCCTGTCTCACGGTTCACCACTACTACCTATCTTCTCGAGCGCCTTCAGAAGTTTATTGCACGAGCTGCATCGTTGCATAAAGATCAGGTTTCGAAGCAAGGCAAAGCCGTGGATGTTTTTTTGACCATTTGAGAATCAACCGAAAGACAGAGTTCCACCACACCGATTGCACGCCTCTGATTTTTTGAATTCTACCATCTTCTGCAGAACGACAGCATCGGCAAGAGTCTCGTAGGTTTGACGACGCTCTTAGCCGCTGCCGTCGCTGCCAGCCATGCCTCCCCGCACATGCCCAAAGACCCTGGAACCTCTGCCGCTCCTCCCCCCTCGTCGGCCATCCGCATCCAAATGGGTGTGCGGCCAGCCGGTGCGAAGGGGGGGGTGACGTCAGCGGTTCAAAACAACACGGCGACGACTATGGCTGCGCCCCTGTCGAAGAGTTTCAAGGTCGGGGACAGGGTGGCTTATATTACACCTCCGCAGGACGACTATCAGTGAGTACCGCTGCGTGTACTCTCCAGTGCTCTCCTCAAAAGGACTGAAAGTTTTGATGGGACTTGCTTGTGCACATACTTGAGTCTGATATCTCTCGAAGTTCTTGCGATGAGGCGGGCAAGGCTTTTTCTCCTTCCCTGTTCTCCTTGAGGCACGATGTAGTTCCAGGGCTCTGTTCTGATTGACTTTTGGCGCACTGCACTGGTTGATGCGTGAAGCACTGCACTGATTGATTGTTGACGCATCGCAGGCAGCCTGTTGCGGGGACAACCGGTCGCATCCTGGCTTCGTACGAAAGCCACGCAGTGCGTTTCGATGAAGAGGTGCCAGGGGGAAGCGATCTCCGAGGGATGTGCGAGCCTGGCCGCGGTCAAGTCTGTTACTGTGAGTAGCACTGGCTTTTCGGTCGTCGACTCTGTTAGTTTGTCCCTGCAATTTGTTAGATTGTTCGAGCCTTCTCTTGCGGTTCCTTCCGATTTCCTTGCTAGCCTGTGTTTCTCGAGAGGGCACTGGAGAGGAGGCACGTAGTCCAAGAGCGGTCCAAGAAAGCCTGTCCTATGATGAGTCTTTATTTGGTAGCGAGTTGCAACTTAGTTGACGTTGTTTTTCTTTTGCAGCAAGTGATCTTGTCCCTGCATCAACCGCTGGAGGAAAGGAGACGTTCCCAGCAATATCAGCCTTCTTCGAGGTAAGTCCAACTAATGAACATCTTGGACAGAAGTGATTCCAAGTTTGAAGTACTCTCGAGCAGCTCAGTGTAAAAGATCCGAATTGTGCAACTTCATTCGCTTCTAACATTCACTGTCGCAAGGACGGGAGTCGGTTTGTGCGTCCGATCAAGTCTTTTCTCCTTAATCTCTTCCGTGTTCATTGATGCAGGTGGTGGCAGATGCCAGCAAGATCGGCCCACTGATTGTCTTCATGAAGCATGCCGGCGAGGTTGCAAAGAACCAGAAGGCGTCGCTCGCATTTTTGGGCAAGCTCACAACCATGGGAGAAGCACCTGTTGTCATCATCGCTTCCAGCACTGATTGCGACGAAGACGACGAAGTTGTGAGTCATCAAGTTTTCTGCTTCGTTGAGAGCGGGTGTTGGGGCCTTGCTTATAGCACTTAAAGCCAGCACCAAGCTGGTTCAAAACTTGTCCGTTAAGATGTAGCTTGTCTGCGGCCGTAAGAATAGAGTCGGATGCCTTACGGAACGTTCGGCAGTCACCGCCACTCTCGTCTTTGCACGTTGGTCACTAGTATTTGTGAACAGAGAGCAAACACGATTTCGGAGTCTAGCGTTTCTGCATGTTTTTCACAACCTTCAGAGCTTAAAAAACCCCACTCAAAACTTTGCCTCAGTGCTTTGAGGCTGGGTTTTGGGGGTTTTGACAAGGTTTTTAGCACGCGAGGTCCATCCGATATACCACATGTCTCCTCTGGTTGCGGGATCTGCCTTTAATCAAAGTTTGCTTCACTCAGAGCTAGCTTCTGCCTTTCAGGACGCCGCTGCTGACGTGGGAAGCGACAGCGCGTCGAACACGGCGGTGGACGAGGACCCTCTGCTTGACTTGTTCCCCAACCTAGTTACAATCCAGCCCCCGAGGGTGAGCATCTCGAGTAGCACTTAGTAGCCTCCAGTGCAAACGTCCGCCTAAATGCGTGCTTGATCTGCAGCAATGTTGTGTAGATTCAAGCACTCAATTCGTCTTTAGCACACAGGTGAATGGTTTCAATGAAGCTATGCAAACGACTAGATGATGTTCTTGAATTTGACTTGGCCGTTTCGGTGGTAGCCGTACAATTCTAGTAAAATCATTCTGGTCCTCTGATTTCCATTTTGGTAACGGCGTTTTTGCAGGAAGATGCCTTGCTTGCGGTGTGGAACCGGCAGATGGAGAAGGACGCCAAAGAGTTGACAGCAATCGACAACCGGTTAGTTCTGGAAGAGGTGGGTTTGCTTTACACCCGCTTCCTCTGAAGAAGCGTACTCTTTGTGATGTCGGCCGCAGCATTTCCCTGTCGTTTGTTTCTTTGCTAAAAACAGCCAGCCTGTTTTCACATGTAGACCGAGGTTTGCGATCTTCGGCAGAGTGCCTCTAAATACTCCTTTTTCTTGTGCAGGTCCTTAGCTACCTGAAAGTCGGCATTGAAAAGCTGGAGGATGTCAACATCGACGACCGGTTCTTGACGGAAGATGGTAAGAGTTTGCTACTCGTCCCATCCCTCTGCGGACGACGAAGGCTTGCTCAATATCAAGCCTTTTCAGAAGCTGTCCCTGTGGACACTCGTGTTTCTTTCTGCAGACGCCCCATTAGGGTTTGTGTCGGTTGCAAACTCTAGTACGTGACATGTTCAGCAGATGTATCGCATGTATCCCAGATTCGCGTACACATCAAGATGACGTGCTTATCCTTTTACAGAGGCCGAAAACATCTTGGCCTATGCTACGGGTCACTATCTGCGGGAGACGGTTGAACCGGTGGTCGTCGAGAAGAAATTGATGCTCTCGGCGAAGAGGTGGGCTTCCCCTTCCAAAGTACCGTACCAATCGTCCGGTTGGGCAAATTTTTGCCCAACGTTCACTTTCGTGTGCTATGAAACCTGGGCAACTATACTACGAACTTAATCTGTTATCTTACGGGGCAAAATTAGCTGCAAATCTGAAGTTACAAATTATTCTGCATTCAACATTTTGGGCAAGTCAAAATGATACCTTATTGTTGTCCAACCGGGCAATTGGTAGCTTATTCCCTCAGTTTCCCTGAGCGTAGACACAATCCGCACGTCCAGGTATACGAAATGCAGTTCCGAAGGTCCAATCTCGAGGGACCTCGAGATGGCAGAAAGTTGCTACAGTTCTTCGCGCCAATTGCTAGGCCCCTTGCTGACGCACCGCTCCTGTGCTCACTCTCGGCTGCGCTCAGGGGGCCTCTAATGTTAGGTGCTTTCAATCCATTTGAGCGACTCGCCCTTGCTGCAATGAGGACGGTGCTGAGCGTCTAACTTTTCCTTTGCAGCATCGAGTACGGGGTGCGAGTTTTGGATTCCATCTACGACGGGACCACTAAGGTGGAACCAGACAAAGTGGGCCATCTTTACTTCGGGCCGTGCTTGTCGCTTGTCTCCTTCATCCCTTCATCAGCCGGTTCTGCTAGAACGGAAATGTTCGAGTCGAATGCAAAGATTTGTCGAAGTGAAAAAAGCGCAGGTGTTCCGGTGACCATCTTTCGCGCAGTGCCTCATCCTGTTGCCGTCGCCAATCAGACATGTCCTATCGAACTGCCATGTCATATGTTTCCAGCATCTACGTTATTCGTTTTTCAGCCGTCACGGCTGCTCAAATTGCTCGGCAACCTTCCGTGAGGCCAGCTCCGCTCAAAACGGTCCGCCTGGCATTATTTTGCTTGAGCATACCACCTTCGAAAAAGCACCTTGTTTTTGGTTGCTCCCATGCTACCTTCCGTCAGTGCTTTCGTCGAACCCTGTTTTTGTTTTTGGTCAGCCGGCAAGTAGCGGAGTGGCGGATGAGGAAAGAGTCGCCGAGGAGGAGCTGACGAAGATGCAGGCGCTCGTGTCCAAAAAGCGGCTCAAGGTACGTTGATACTCAGGCGCTCGTTGAAGGTACATGCAACCAGACTTCCGAGGTTGGCAGCAGGTGCAGTGGTATTCCCTCTCATGCAGCGGTGATTCCTCTCGTCTGTCTCAAGCGACGACTAGATTCTAACTGTCTGCGTTGGACAATCTTCGAGATACTTCCATTTAGACGACACGAGATGTACTGTATTTGTGAGTTGCATGACAACCTAGGCCCAATCCATTCTCGAGGCGAGAGCCCGCCGCCAACGTTGGCAAACCCGTCTTTCACTCAAAAGTTGCTTCCCAGCTAGCTTCAGGGCAGTCTTCCGTCGATTCCCCTCGTTGTCATCGAACTCTCAGCCCGATCGACACCGCTCCTTCTCCCATCCGCAGAACATCGTCACCGCCAACAAGTTCGAGGACCAGGTCCTGTCGGAAGTCGTCCCCCCTAGCGAGACGGGCGTCACTTTCGACGACGTGGGCGCCCTGGAGCACGTCAAGGAGACGCTGAAGGAGCTGGTGATGCTGCCGCTGCAGCGCCCGGAGCTCTTCACTAAGGGCCAGCTGACGAAGCCCACCAAGGGCATTCTGCTCTTCGGGCCGCCAGGGACGGGCAAGACCATGCTCGCCAAGGCGGTGGCCACGGAGGCGGGCGCCAACTTCATCAACTTGTCAATGTCGGATATCTTATCCAAGGTGCGTTTGCTTGTGCGACTTGCAATCAGGATGGCGTCAGGATCAAAAGCGCAACTGATTGCTAAAGTTGAGCATCTTTTTCAAACCGGACGTGTCAGCGTCGGATTCGACAAATCAGCTTTCCGATTTGAAAAACGTCCGATTTCCTCCTGGATTGCGAGGCTTAGAGGGAAGATAGGCGTTCCAGGTTAGAAGGACGCTCGTCGTTGGCTCAGAGTTCTTTTATCGTTGTTTTCTACTCAGTCAATGAAGGTTCTTGAAGCTTTTGAATTGCCCCCACCTTCCGAAACCTGAACCCTTTTCGCTCGTCCTGCACGTTGGTGAGCTGCCAGAGTGTCTTGGGGAAGTCCCCCCTTTCTGAAGGGGGTTCGATTGAAGCACAATTTGCACGGAGTCAAAAAATTTCAACTAGCAACGAAGGGCACAGAAGCTGCCGACTGCAGAGCATGGCAAGCCCACCATCAGTCATACAATCTCAACCGACCTCTTTTTCTCAACTCCGCAGTGGCTGGGCGAGGCGGAGAAGAACGTGAAGGCGGTGTTCAGCATCGCGCGCAAGATCGCGCCCACGGTCATCTTCATCGACGAGGTGGACAGCCTGCTGGGCAAGCGCGGGCAGTTCAACGAGCACGAAACAATGCGCAAGGTCAAGAACGAGTTCATGGCCAACTGGGACGGCCTCCGCACGCGCAGCGACGAGCGCGTCCTCGTGCTCGCGGCGACCAACCGGCCCTTCGACCTCGACGACGCGATCGTGCGGCGGTTCCCGAGACGGTACGTCTCAACGAACTCTGTCTGTTTGTTCGCATCCTTAATCACCCACCACTGCTTTTGCTCATGCAATATTCCCTCGAGCGTGACGAACACAGCGGAATCCATTTGTTTTATTCGCAATTTCTAAAAGAAAATGCGTGCTCAATGCAGAGGTTGCAATGTAGTCGTCTTCGCACCCGGTACTCCAAGTTCGAGAGAAGCGGCAGCACCAGCAGCGGCCGTTCGCTATCCGGCGACCACCACATATTCCTGCCCTGCATGTTGTACGCCAAGAGATTGCCATTCGAAGCTTCTGAACCAGCATCAACACAGTTCAAGTCTTCCAAAGTAGTAGAACTGGAACTTTCCGTCTCTTTTTGTGCAGGCTGATGGTGGAGCTGCCGGACGCCGCCAACCGGACCCAGATCCTGCGGGTGATTTTGGGCAAGGAGGACCTCGAGCCGGGCTTCGACTTCGACGAGCTGGCCAACATGACGGACGGGTACTCGGGGAGTGACCTCAAGGTTAGCGACAACCCCCATTATTTCCCTCGTCAGGGAGCAAACTGACAAGGATGCTAGCAAAAGCAACGTCTTTCTCACCGCTTCTAAAGGAGGAACGTCTGGGTTGTTTCTCTGTCTTGTTTCTCTGCCTAAGGCACAGTCACCTTCTTGTGGCTGTGTTTGGATTTCCCTGGCAAGCGAAGCCTGCGACATGGGTCTGCTTGATTGGTGTTTCTGACAATGCGTATATTTCTGGCAGAACCTGTGCGTCGCGGCGGCTTACCAACCCATCAGGGAGCTCCTCGAACAAGAAAAGAAGGTACGCTTGTGATCCCTGCGCACTCCTTGTGATCTTACATATCTGTCTGCCAAGCCCTAACTCGGAAATTAGTGCCTGCACACAAGGTGGTTAGCGGAGCCCTGGAACCCGGTCCTTTTGACATTTGACAATTTCCTCGGGTCTTGAAATTTTGGGACCAAAAGAGCAGCAGCGCTCCGCACCCTCGAAAGTAGGCCAGTTTGGTTCTAGACGATACGAAGTAGGTTCCTGAGCTCAGCTTAATATTAGGCCAAGGAAGCTTTTGCGGCAGATGTGAAGAGCTTGATCTCAGACATCTCACTTCGATGATTAGATTGACTGCACGCCTTCTGCCGTTCTGCAGGCAAAGCTCGAAGCAGCGGAGCGGCGGAGAGCGGCCTCAGCCCAGAAGAGCACCAACGCTGAGGCAGCCACAACGGAAGCCTCTTCCGCAGCTGCAAAGGAATTAGTCCCAGCAGTGCCCGTAACTGATTGTCTTCCACCTTCGACATCAGACGACGCGGCAGAGCCACCAGGGGTGGAAGCGGACGAGGGCTCGGCTGACGTTGCAATGAGGCACGTTGAAGTCGAAGCGACTGTTACGGAGCCGGAGACGGAAGAGGCGGTTGCCGGAGCCATACCGGAAGAGGCGCCCCTTGCGGCTGGCACAGATTCGAACCCCCAAGGCTCTGTGTCAAGCCCTGAGTCGGAGCCCGCAGTCGAGGCCGAAAAGATAACCGTTGGTACCACGCACAAAGGCCACGATCGGATGCCGGACGCTGCGGAGACGGCGACGTCATCGACGGACGGTGAGAAGGAGCAGCCCGCTGTTACGGGCGTGTTTACATCGGAGCCCACTGGCCCTGCGGAGGCTGGTGGCAGCAGTGGTGTGAAAAGCCCGGTGGGCATGCGGCCCATGGTGCAGCTTCGGGCCCTGACGATGGACGACATGCGAAAGGCGAAGGCGCAGGTGAGCAGACTGCGAAAAGGGCGGTCCGGCAATTTGGATAGGTGGTATACAATAGTTGCTGCCGGTTAGTCTGGCGGTTCGTTTGCACCTTTATGCAGATACTGTTGGTTTGCTCAGGATCATAGTCAATGTTGGTGTGCTGTGTGCGATGATTCAGGATAAGTTTGCCTGCTTGGTATTGTCGTGTTATGATCTGCACAGACGCGGTGATCATGTGGTTGTTTTAGAACAATTTGAAGCGTAGCTACCGCCAATGGCAGGTACTAATCAGTCGGGGACCTTTGCTGCAGATTGCCGCCAGTCTTGCTTTAGAGAGCAGCAGTGTCGCGGAATTGAAAGAGTGGAATGAACTTTACGGGGAGGGAGGATCACGAAAGAAGGTGTCCTTGACGTACTTCATGTAGACCTGAAAGCAAGACCACCTGGACAGATTGGTGATTGATTTTCATATAGAGTCTAATTGATCAAGTCCGTTCAATTCCGTTCATCAGATATCAAGTTCTCGTATCTTCTCAAAACGGTTCAGTGTGCACCGTCTTTCAGTGTTGTGGTAGGTAGTCTGGATTCAGGTCGGGACATTTTCATTGGCATACATTGGATGCCTTGCTGCACTACCTTTCATCCTCGCGCACGTAAAGCAACGAATGGCAGACTGCCAAGAAGAGTAATATGGAGATTGAAATTCCCTCGGCCCATAATTACAGCTTTGTTATCCAGATTTGCTTCAGTCCGACCAATACTAAGGCTGGCATGCGGTTTGGGCCCATAGTAACCTGCATCCTGCCTGGTCGTATGTACAGTATGTCGTTTCCTAATTTTGATGCATGATAATCTGACCATGCATGTTCATTGCCTACCGACTCCGACAAGTGGGTATAGGCGTTTTAAATAGGGTGTGTACGCGTGCAACTCAAGCCTGCACACGTGAATATATATAAGCGCGGTAGCTGTAGGCTGTAGTATGGATGTATCTGGTAGGCAACATACAAATTTCGATGCACGTTGAGGGCTAGCGACAAAGGTAACTATGATGGGACACAATCGAGTCAGCCATACGCCACAAGCCTGATGTTATATCAACTTGACGTCCATGGCCGTTTTGCGCATACATCATGCAAAGAGCGATAAGACACTGCATGACAACACCGTATATTGGGTCCTCCATGTGCTTGAAGAATGACGCTATGTTTCCTTCTTTCCGTGGCCGGTGCGATAGAAAAAGAGGAACAAGATCGGGTGGAGGAAAGGGATTGTTGCTAGAGATCCGATGATATGCATCTTCGTGAAAGCTATTGGCTACCGATACTACCGTGGCTTGCAAGCTTCTGCCACAGGAAGCAAATGTGTGCGACTTCTGGAGATTGCCGGGTGCAGTCAGTAGGACTACCGCCATGGTACCTATGCTGCCAGGGTCAGGTGACGCTAGGAAGTATCTGACGTGGCAGCCAACTGGCAAGACGGTTTGTACCGACACGAGACTTCGGTGCGTACTGACCCTTCTGCTGAAGAAGGGGCGCGTACGTGCATCATGCAGCGAACCGTCTGCTGGGAACAAACAGGAAGTTCAAGAACCTGGTCACCTGGTGGAGAGCAACCTATCTAGTTGTAAGAACTTTCATGGCGAAGCTGGTCCTGGTGCTAGCGAGTCATGACAACAGCGCCGAGAGTGTCTGAAAAGTAAGACGGGAGTTTTGTGGTTATTGCTGTGATCTGGGCTTCATACATCGGGCGTCAGGCAATTGTGGTTCACAAGGACAATACAGGGCATCGTTGTGATAGTCTGCGCTCCAATGGCTTCTGCGGAAGGCGGAATGTGGCACCGCGTCAATAGTGTCCAATCCAAGAAGGCCAAAGACCGGGAAATAGTCTCGCTGCGCCGGCCAGCCGTTCTGGATTTGCCCTCTGGTTTGGAGAGCCCTGAGAGCTGTAGAAGCCCCCACGGTCACAAAACCCCTGAACCAGCTTTTTCAACTAACGCCCCCGTAGTCCTGCGCATGCACCCAGCGGCTGTTGTGAAACCCCCTGTCAAGGATTTCATCAACCCAGCACTCTCTGATGACTTGCTTGCCAGCGTTCTTTCGTGCCTGACCAACAGCAAAGACCGGGCCGCCTTTTCCCAGGTTTGCAAGCGATGGTGCGATCTTGAGGGAGCGCTGCACACGAAAATTCGTTTCCCTGGGGGTAAGCAGCTGGCGGAGCATGTGACCCAGGCCCTAACGCGGTTTCCTAACCTAGTCGAAGTGACGGTGGACGAGCGCGCAGTGAAGAAGAGCTTCTGGCGCAGGGGCAACGCGAGCAAGGGCGCGATGGAGGCGGCCATGCGCCAGGTGTCGCACTCCTGTGCGACTCTAGAGAAGCTCAACTTTTACAGCTGTACGGCCCTCACCGACAAGATGCTGCAATACGTGGTGGCCGAGTGCCCCTCCCTGCGATCCCTCCGCCTCGTGCGGTGCGAGAAAGTGGGCAAGTCGCATAAGAAGCGGTTCAAGTCGGGGGCGTCGGAGCCCGAGTCAAAGAACCAGAGCCCTGAGATGGTGTCTCCACACTTCATGACGGCATGCGCCAACAATCTGGTGCAACTCAATCTGTATGGCACAGGCGTGGACGACACCGCGGTTGCGGCAATTGGGCGCTATTGCAAGGGGTTGGAGAGACTCAGCCTGGCGGGCTGCCATGACGTCACGGACTCGGGGCTGAAGCTGCTTGGGGAGGGGTGCAAAAGGCTGCAGGTGAGAGGGTTCTTTGGGAAGGCAATTGCGCCCCCTGGAAACAGAGGGAGCGCCTTCGACCACTGGTTTAGAAGAAACAGGCACATATTTTTTCAAAAGGAGTGTGTGAAGAGCAATGTGCCGTTTTCAGAAAGTCCAATCATTGAGAGTGCGCACTGAAAAAAATTCGCTTATCATTCAGTTGGAGCAAGGCTTGTCGGCTCCGTTATGTTGGGGTCGACAGCAATAGGCGGATTTGTTTACAATGTACAAAGACTGGTTTGCGCGACTAGATATGACTAAGGTGCCTGTTAGTAGCTGCGGCCCTCTGGTTTAAACAGCAAACAGTCCATTATGAAGATGACCACATTGGTGTCATTGAGCCTGAAATCCTGCACACTTCTAGTTTCTGGGATCTGCGCATCAGTTGCGGGCACTGAGTGGCTTTTGATCACTTGCATCAGTTGTACAATAACTCTTGATTTATCGGGAACTTCAACGTAATCCTTTTTGGTTTGCTGTCCTCTGACTTTACTGTTTCTAAACAGAGCCTGGTGCAGTCTCCACCATACTTTAGTCTGTACTTTCTGTGTTGCTCGCAGTATCCAGAACTGGAGCAATACTGTGAGACCGCTCGTCAAGTCTGTGGCCATCTCGCCCTGAGGTCTGAATCAAACGTATCCGCAGTAAACTTTGACAGATGCCGCTTTCACACCCCCAAACTCCGTTTTCAGGACTTGAATGTTGACAGATGCCACCATTCACACCCCCAAACGCCGCTTTCAGGACTTGAATGTTGTGCGCTGCTGGCGCGTGACCGACAAGGGCCTGGCTGCAATTGGAGAGGGCTGTGGGGCGACCATCAAGTTCTTAAGCCTCGGGTTCCACACCGAGGTGCATGACCGCGGCATGCGCGCCCTTGCAACGAGCTGCCCAAACCTGGAGTTGCTGGCGGTCTCGGACTGCAACAACATGACGGACGCGGGAGTTCGGACGGTGGTGCGGCGCTGCAAATGGCTGCGGATCTTGAAGATTACGGCGTGCCTGCAGGTGAGGAGGGTTAAGCTCGGGAAAAATTGGGGGGTCAACCAGCAGAAGTGTGCATTGATAAGCATTCCTTGAAACATTGTCGGCACCCTAGACACTCACTGGAAAGGAACTTACGGGACTTCAGAACGATGATTGGTGTGATGGGTACTTTTGGGTACCGGAGTGGTGGGGATGTCTTGGGAAGTTATGCGTCCGAAGATAGTTCTAGTTCTGTCAGAATATGGTAGGCAGGTATGGTATCAAACGCTAATCCAGACCTGCGGCCAAGAACAGGGCCTTTTTCTACTGTGTTTAGTCGACCATGTCAGAATTGTGCTTGACGTTGGGCGTTGTCTGCCTTAGGCTGCGATTAAGAAGCAGAATTACCTTTTAGAAAGAGCTCAAGCTTGGACTCAGAAGGAGAAAGTTGATTCAGATCAGAGGCAGTCAAATGACTAGTGAGTAGTGAAATCGTGTGGGAAGTCTGTGTGGAGGCTGATGTCGTCATAATCGTCCTGAAGGGCTGATCTGAATGCTCGTGAAGTATTTGCAAAGCAATGATAAGAAAGCGATTTTCGGATTTTAGGGCTGCCCACAAACAATCTGGTTTGCAGGAACCTGTAAAGGCACAGTCCGGTCAACCAACTATCTGTTCGCTGACCACTGCTATACCATCTTTCGAATGGAGGAGACGGGTTGCGCGTTGCTTTTAAGGCCGTTGTAAGAATATTTGTCTCTTGAGAATTGCTTCTGTACCGGCGGCACCTTTGATGAACGTTGTATCTGATTACGACCAATTGACTTGTTGTATTTTTAAACAAATATTGGTTGTAACACGCCTTCAATCTTACTTCCGTGCCCCATCCGCAGGTCAAGGACGTGTCCCTGGACCTGATCGGCCGGCTGGCAACTAGTCTGGAGATTTTGGAGCTGCGGAGCCTGATCATCACAGACCGCGCGTTCTCACACCTGGCCGCCGCGGGGGGCAGCCCCGCCTTAAAGCGGATAGTACTTGCGGGGTGCCCTTATATAACCGACAAGGGCCTTATGTCGCTTGCGGGCCAAGATTCGTTCTCTTTGCGATCGGTGGACGTGCGGCACTGTCGGGAAATCAGTACGCCCGCGCTCGCGCGCTTCATGGTGCGGTGCGCGACGCTTGAGCAGATGGACGTGGACAAAGGGAGGACGGAGGAACTAGACGCGGAGCTGCAGAAGGTGCGGGCGAGCACGGCCTAAGGGGCGCTCGAAGGAGTGGTGGGATTTGAGTTCAATCTGCCCAAAGCCGTTGATTTAAAAGCGAGGCGGAATTGAGAGCTCGGGAAATGGGCTTGTACTTTAGGTTGACTGTGTCTGAGAAAGGGTGGAGCTTAACCAAGGGCTTCTGTAGGCAATCATCCGATGTAGTTTATGGGGATCCGGTGTAGTTTATGGGTCCGTTTCGTTTGTGTGACAACGAGTTAAGCCTTTCCTTGTAAGAGAAGGTGGAGAAACAATGAAACGTTTTGGTCTGGTTGCCTGTAGTTTGTTCTTAACAAACCTGGAGATACTCGGCAGCGGGTCTTAGATTCACGGCTTTCGGCTGGAGCTTCCTTCGTTGTGGCAGTTACATGGAGCAGCTACAAGTACATCGCATAGAATAATCATAGCACGTGTTGTCCAGAGCTTAAGTACATTTCGCCCACGCCAACATAAACACACTGAAGCTCTTATAGCTATATTTGAAAAGAACCAAAAACTGGATTTTCGCGAGCAAGTTTCTTGTTTAGCAACTCGTTGCACAACCTACTCATATCTTTGCTATCTAGGTTCTGCGCACGGAGCATATGTTTGTGATGACTTCTGCACGGGATGCCGGCGGCCGTTTGCTAACTTTTGAGCAGCTTGATTCTCTGATTTTCCTATTAGGTGTACTGAGAACAGCATCATTTGCCAGCCTCGACCAGCTGAGAAGCGAAAGTGCAGAACGTTTTATTTAGCTTGAAACCGACCCCGGCTCTAATGCATCAGCTGGGGCAGCTTACGCGCAGCATGCACGAGATTGCATGGCCAGTCATGCAGCTGCGGCATATCGAGCCCGGGGCAGCCCGGCGGCCCATGCATATGCCAGTTGGGCCCATGAGCACATGCACCGGTACAGGACCGCATGACCATGACTCCATTTTGCATGATCGGCGCATGATTGACCTATATTTAATCAGAATATCAAGGGCCGCCCTACTTTCCTGCGTTCCGAACAAAGTCGATCAACAGTGAACACTATGCGGCTATATTTGAATTCGTAGTAATTTGTCGCCCATGCCGATCACCCCGACAGGCTTGGTTGATTGCGCATAGTAAGTATTTAACACCGTGATAAGACTAATCGGAGACATGTGAACTTCTTCTTCAGATTACACTCTATCACCTGGAATCTTGTAGCAGCAAGCCTTAGCACGAAGCCGGCCTTATGGCCTCCATGTGCAACCACAAGCTCACGCGTATCGCCTTTTAAGTTGAAGCATAGATGTGGCTGCAAAGTGGCGGCAACAGCTGCAGCGTAAGCGCGGGTCGGTTGGATAGTCCTCAACTGCAGTAACTGCTGCTCTGATTTTGAACAACTCTAGACGGTCAAAGTGCAATATAAGTTACTGAACACGCTGCCTTGATCTTGGCAGAGCTTGCCTGTAAGCATCCTTGTATGCCTCTCCAAGAAGGCCACTGTCGGCTCCCAACACTTCTGCGGCGCCTTTTCCGGACATTTGTAACGTCCTCACCGTCCAAGCAACCGCGCCAACGCTGCGCGCTTCTTCACTGCGCTTCAACGTCGCGGAACCCTGTTTCCCTGAGTTTTCCTGATTATTTGCTTCAGCCCGAGTCCAGTTTGAATGTGCCTCGAGTGGAGGAAGGCCGACAGCTGAGGGGGCTGTTGTGAAGAACGGGTTCTTTGGAGCGTTGCCTTGGTTAGAAGCACGCCTTCCAAAGGTCGGGCCATGCGGTACGGGCTCCTCAAAGCCGCTAGAAGCGTCACATTGTCCCGAAAATATATCTGGACACACCATGAAAGAACAAATGGGCGGGTTTTGGGAGAACGAGCGACTCGTCAAATCCTTTTCAGCGTGAATAAAGCAGAAGTACTGATTAGCCATTCGAAAAATATTCTTATAAATGGTTGTCTGCTTCAACACAGGCCCCATCTTGTGATAACCTGGACAGTAGCAATTTGGCGAACTTTGGGAAAAGGTGGCGCCTCATCAATGTAAAAGATGCCAAAAAGTACCAGAGACGTGCATTTGGAACAAGAAGATCGGACGTCACAAACAGCAGCCACATGCGACCAGGGTTTGTATTGTCCGCATACCTGTTTCTGACGTCCCCCGCCGGCTGCGCCTGCCGTGCATTGGAAGAGGGGGGCGCTGCTGGTCGTGTCCGCACGAGCCACTGTCAATTGCCATTGGTGAGGCGCTAGGTGGCGCGTCCCCGGCCGCTTGCCGATCGGACCCGCCCCTAGCATTCTCATCCATTATTCCAAAGATTCGGACCCCCTCACTGTTTCTCCTGCCACTCAGTCTCATGCTCTCGTTCTCTATGGCGGCCGTGCTAGCCTCCTGATTGGCCGGAGTCCGTTTGGAGAAAAGGGCCCCCGAGCGAGTCCTGCTTGGGGCACTGTCAAGCCCGTTTCTACTTTCCAGTGATCCCTCTCCAGAGCCATAGGCGCCCTTGTCTGTCTGGTTGACCTTCCCGCCCCTCTCCCCATTTTCAAAGTACTGATTGAACACAACAAAGTTGTTGGTCTGCGGTATGTACTTAGACAACCCAAAGTGCTTCCTCAGGAAAGCCAAGAGCTTTGGGGAGGGCCGGTCGTATGCCAGTTTGGCTGGGTGTGCTGACTCTTCCAGAAGCATGCGGTCAAAGAGGAGGCGACCAACGCCCGTGCGCTGGCAGGTCTCGTGCACGTAAAAGTCAAGGACGCTCAGGGGCCGGATCTCTCGCAGCTGGGGGCTGCCCTCGCTGGTGACAAACAGGGTCTTGCTGCCAACCTGGATAAGGAACGAGCATAGTTGCTAACTATTTGCACGTTGGTAAATCCCCAAAGGACGAAGAGTCACGTAAAACAGAAGCTACCGCATGAGTGAGTAAGCTACCGAGTTATTGCTTTTCAAAGAGTTGCAAACTTCCTTCTTCCAAGCACTGTTTGGAGCGCCAGTAGCAATGGTCAAGTTCTGACCTAGGCTACAATTTGCGTCCAAAACAGAAGTACAGCTGACTTGCATCCACTTCTCAAGCATGAGAAACAATCAGCCACCAGCGGCTCTGTTATTCAGCAATGTTACTTTGCCTCAATCATGGCTAATCCTCAAACAAGTGTTAATGAGGTGAAGGAAAGTCATACCTTGAGAAAACCCTTGACCTGCACTCTGTTCCCATACCCAGCAGTTGCGATATACACACGGTGGTCTGCACCCAACATTTTCTCATATGTTGTGATGATAGCTCTCAAACCCTGCAGATTGGACAGCCAGGTGCACTTAGAGAGGGCTTATCAAACCTTGCAGGCAAAAGTAGGAGAATCCAGCTGCTGCTTCTATAGAAAGTCGCCGAGCGTCATGGGGGACGGCAATAGAATGATACAGGCTGAGTGTTTCACTGAGGCACAAAGTTGAGCCTTTAACCACAGCACAGAGAGCGCACCACGAGCGGACACGCAGATCTTGATGTCATGATTTCATAGTGTTGTCGCCCCAACTTGCATGTGTGAGAAGGATAAAGATGAAAGAAACCCTTTTCAGGTGTAGCTAAGGAGACCCCAGCTTGTTGGTATGAGGCAGCCAGCATTTCTGGTGAACAACCAACCAAGTGACTTTCTTTTGAAGCGTCCACATGACTGCGATGAAGTGAACCAGAACTTGGAGCCATCTAGGAACCTGCCTGTGCAATTGCAGAACTCCTGCCGAGAGCGTCCAGAATGGACTTCAACGGTCCTCTCTCCAATGCCGGCAGCCGGCGCAGGCTCTCTGCATCCCATCTGGACACCTGAACGCCGGCTAGAGAATGGAAGCTGTGAGGAGCAGAAGGCAATTCCATAGGCACCCAGTGTCAGAAAGGCCATCCCTCAGTAATCACTCTTGGTGGCTCCTCTCTGCTGCATTGATCATCCCTTTGGTGACATCTGTACAGCATCGCCTTGATAAGGCTTCGCTACATCTGGCAACGCTGCTTTGCTGGAAGCCAAACGCGCTGAAGGCCAAACGCGCTGATATCTGTCGAGCGCTGCCCTTATGCATTCATCTGAGAGCTTTGCTGCGTTGCGCTGCCATCTGATGATCTACCGTATGTTGGAAAAGTTTCTTGCAGAAGCTTGACCCGCTTGACTCATTGTTTTGCTGCAACATCATTATAGAACCGGTACGACCTGCTTCCTGCAGTTGCGCGCGAGGACTTCAGCAGAAAGGCCAGCAACCGTCGATGCTTATTGAGCGAGCTCATCGGACACTTCAATGTGATCCTTCATTCGCGCGTGTACTCCGTGAGTGACCGGTTCTTCATAAACGCCAAAATCTGCGAGCCAGACCCCTGGCCGACATTGCATCGATCAGTGCGATGACAGATACCCGTCAACTTTAATATGATGACAGAGACGGCCTCTGCACTTCTGAGGTCACTCACATACATCAGTGTATGTGAATGCTCAGCGGAAAGGTTGTCGTTGTTTCATTTCAGAGCAGTACCGGGTCATTGTTGCAGCACTTGACGTGCCGTAGCGCGGCGAGTGGGCTGAGCCCGACATCACTGTGTCTCCATAAGCTTGATTAGCAGAAGTTTCGAATGCACGAGGTTTTGTTGGATAAATTATTTGGATGCTCGAATAGCAAAGTGCCTGGCAAGACGTGTGGTGTCTATCTCTGTAGGCTGCAGGCAGGAGTTCCAAGCCGGAAAGTCACCAGCGATTGCTCATCTATTGTTCACAGAGCGAAGTTGGTACGCAATTGTAGGACAATTGCAGACAGTGGCATTCGCAGAGGCAGGTGGTTTAGACTCTGATGACAAATCAAGTTTTGTGTTTGAAATATAATGCATACCATCGAAGGAGGGGAACCGGCGCTCAGATTGGGCAATCAGGTCCGATCGTGGACGCAGCCAGAACGCCCCAGAAAACTGTGGGCCACCATTGAAGTAATCTGACTTTGAGCACCATTGAAAGTAGTGGTACATCTTTGGACGACACTGAGCACGGGCCGAGCAGCTTAGTCGTCTTTTAATTGCCACCATGGAAAACGCGCTGCTGGCCGAGGACATCAAAAGCGCTAGTCGACACCTTCACCTCAGCATGGACAACTTGCGGCATGAGATCAGCATGCAGTAAGTCGTCTCGAGCGCAACCGGCACATTCCAAAGTTCTGTTCACGCATTGGTAAAAAACGGTGCTTTGATGCGACGATTTTGCCTCTGCTGGTATGGACTACTGAAGGAAGGAAGGGAAGCGCTAGGTCTGTGATTCGAGCTCTGATGAATTTTCGACATGAAGAGGGTTTAGCTTCAAAAGTCAAACATGAATTTCATCCGGCGGTTTGAAGACAAGGAAGACCAACTCAGACAAACAAGTCATCCTCAAGAGCTGCTCACGAATAGCTAGTCGGTGAAGCGTGATCATGCAGCTTCAAATTTCCTGAATCTCATTTTCTTGGATCTTGATTTCCTAATTCTTGCCACTCTCCAAATCGAGTCCAAGTGAGTTGCTAACCCACTGATCTTGCTTGCAGATTCTCAGCCCTTCAGGCTGACTGCAGTGCAGCTTCACGAGCTCTGGTGACTCTTGCACTAAACCGAGATGCGGAAGGTCGAGACAGGAACATGTTGGAGCAGTCCTTACTGGACAAGGACAAATTGATTGCCAGTTTGCGTCACCAGCTCGCAACTGTGGGGGATCGAGCCAGCACCATCGCAGGGGAGAAAAGCCTGCAGCAGAGAGTGAGCCACACATCAATTTTTAGGTGCTAGGCTGACCACAACTCTCAGGATAGAGAGAACTGAGTCGACAATAAACAGTTCGAGAATGTGCTCAGGAGCAGCTACGAACTGCATCCCCCCACACGCGAATGAAGTAACGACACTGGTGGGTAACATTTTCAGACGAATTGACGATCTTGAGGAGGAAACAATATGACCAGACATAATTGCGAAAGAACCAAGTGAAAGATCGTAGATTCTGCCCCTGTAAATTTTAACACCAAACCGACTGAGATTCGGCTACCAGAGACAAGTGTGTGAACCTTCGCCAGCGTTCCCGTATCTGCAAGCACCTGCAACCCCTGTTCTGATTCATAATGACCAGGCTCGAAGGCAATTTTAATTCCGATTCTGTTTCCTGTCTAGCTGGCGGCCGCTGAGGCCGTGAGGCGTGCTCTCGAGGGCCAAGTTGAGGAGCTGCTGGATGAGAAGCGGTACTCGAGTGCCAAGGAAGGGCGATCCTCGCAACCCCCGGTTCAGAGCGCGCCCCAGCATGACGTCAACCAGCTCAGTGGCCGGTGCGCAGCCCTCACGGCGGAGCTCAAGCGACTCCAGAGCGAATGGTAAGCGCAGAAGCAAAGTGTCGAAGCTGCGGTCTGTAGCAGGGTACGTCGTGATAAGACGCTGGCGAGCTTTGCAAAACAGAAGGAAGGAACGAAAGGGTCCTAGACAAAACAAGAGCAAGGGACCGCCTTCTTAGAGTCTGTGAAACTCTGGACTTCAAAAATAGAATAAGGGGCACTCTGATCTCAACAAGCCGCTGTCGGAGAGAATGGGAACAGTTGCAAAGAGTCTCATGTCATCCGTACGACTTTCTGCGAAATGGTCAGTCACCCGCCAACTTGGACCAAAATCTGTCGGCCCTTCTTTAGTCGCTTCGCATCCCAAGCAGGCAGTACCATCCCTATTTTCTAATGGTCTGACGAACCCCCTGACTAACTTCGACTCGTTTGGTTCTCGTTCAGTGCGACCCAAACGGCAGAGTACGGACAGAGGATGCTGGAGATGGAGGAGAACTGCCACCGTAAAGTTGCCGACCTGCGTAAAGGTCACGAGGCGACCGTCCTAGAGTTGCAGGCGGACTTCGCGGTTCGGATAAGCAAGGCGGAGCAGGACGCTGCGAACCGGTGAGAACGCCCGACTTGAGGTTCTCCGTGCTTCTCACTACTGACCAGCTTTGAGTCCGGTGTCTCTCGTGGGCTTGTAAAGTTCTCTGTCATGTTGAGATGATCAAAACAGGAACGCTCCCTGCGCAATTCAGGTAGTCAAGAAAACATACGACGTTGAAAGGAGAAAGCAAGAACTCATTAATAACGTCGAATTATCGGAATTATCCGTCCATTGATCAAAGCGCTTATCGCAATGCAACCCACGAAACGTAGATTGAATTTGACGGTGGAACCAGCAGCAGAGGAATGACCGTCATGAACTACAGCAAAATGAATTCTTGCCGGCCTTGCTGACCGATTTACGTGCGACTGCGGTGACAGGTTGCGAGATGCTGAAGCTCTCCTGGAAAGGAAGCGTCAGGAGATGGAGCAAGCATACGAAGACAAGTTGCGCGTGCGGGACGGCGAGAGGGTTCGTTTGATTGAGCAGTTGAACGGGTGCACCGCCACTTGTCGTCAGCTGGAAGAGCGGCAGGTGGGCTCGATCTTCGCTTTACTTGTAGCGTATGCTTGGCCATCGCTTCAACCTTTGGATGATTTCGAACCATTGCATCGTAGACGAAGCAAGGTGTTGCAGACTCGAGCTCGACCTGACCAACACTATCTGACGATTGCCGTCTGCCCTTTTGACGCATGAAGGGACTACCCATCATGGTGCGAGAAACTTTCGAAGCACGCCTTGCTGCGATTTGAAAGTCGTAGAGGCTTACTGCAGAACGTCGAAACCGCTCTAGTTACTTCCGTCTGGCAAATCGCCTTCTCTAAACCCTTGCCGGTCACGAAGTGGTTAAAATCAAGCACCCAGTTTGTTCGAGGGCCTCTCTAAGAGTCGTTGCCCTTGCTTGCAGGTGTACTTGACGAATAGGGTACGCGAGCTCGAGTCGCTTCTTGCGTGTGCAAGCCAGCAGGAAGTGTGTGACATGATGGAGGAACGCCTTGTCAAGCTCAGCGGTTTGGTGCGGACGAAGGAGGACGAGAATGCGGCTCTCAGGCAGGAGCTAGAGGTTGGTTCATTCTCCGCTATTTTTTGGAGTGACCGCGTTCATCGTCCAGTTGCAACGGCAGGGCTCCTTCTTACCCTATGACCTTTGCCAGCTTGAAGTGTTTTAATAGTTTCTTTCGTCGTTGAAACCTCTTGCAGCCTTTTCCAACAACCGATGCCCTTCGCAAAAAATCAATTGAACAATCTCACGATGGTCGCCCCAGAAACCAGCTAAGGCGTGATGCAAGTCGGGACGGCGCAAAGCGAGTCACTCATGCAGGAAGATTGATCCGTCCATATCAGTGGCCATCGATGAAGCTACCAAGTTACACGATATGGCTGGACTTCCTAAGCTTTCTGATCTTCCTGTGCGCGCAGAATTGCCGGACAGAAGAGACTACCTTAAGAGCGGCGCTCACGGAAGCAACTGCTGGTCGGTCTAGCCAAAGCCGGAGTCGTGACTTTGCGCCGAAAAGAACAGAGTCAACTAACGTCAGTCCCTCCGAGAACGCCTCAACATTAATTAGCAAGTCGACACGATCTTCCAAGTACGCTGGTTCAGATACGAGAGGTGCTGCACGCAAGAGTCAGTCAAAGAGTCAGGTCTTGAAACCGTCCCTGCAGACCTTCGCCTTTCAAAGATAATGCTTGCATACATATGTAGAGGGGCCCGGGGATCCAGACGTAGCCCGATAGATCTCCCTTCTTGTTTGCAGCGCTGGTGGGCATTATGCGGGAGGTTCACGACGGTATATACTTCGCCAATCAACCACGATCACGTTCATAATTCTATGCCTCCTGGTCGAGTAGCATCATGCATATCTGCATGAGAGCTACAGTCGAGCGATCGTATTGATTGCAAATTTGCAAGCCGCTGCAATTGCAGATGCAGACTAGTACTATGAAACCTTACCGGATGGAGCCTTCTCCAATTCGACACAACCACCATGCATGGCATGCGCGATGTTCAACTCACCATGTATTCTGTGGACCCTTTCGTAAGACGCATGCCTTATATGGCGGCGTAGGGCGTCCGCTGAAGACTGAAGCTAGTCCAGCTAGAGGGACGGATAGAGTCGTGACTACATAAAGTCCATGGCGGCAACGCAACGTACGTAGACAATATGGGTATTGATCCTTAATGAATTACTTGGTGAGAGCAACCTCGAGTTATACCTGCTCACTGGTTTGTCACGGGATCCGAGCCACTGGTGATGACGGTGTGAACATACGTCAAACGTTGTGCGCGTTGAACTCGGATCCATGCGTAAACAACAAAAGCTAGAAGTCTGGCACATGGAATTGGCCTTGGGCCGAGACATTCTCAGAAGCGGGGTCGTTCGCGCAGTCTCGCATACTGAATCATCTTCTGGAAAGAAAAGCGGATCTAGACGTTGCCATATGCGCTCTGGAAGGAATTTTGTTGCTTACTAAAACGCGGAATATGGAACTGATTTCACGAACCAGAATCATTAAAAGGTAGATTGGAGTGTCACAGCTTAGCACCCCGAATCATGAATCGTGCGAGCTTGACAGAAAAGCGCCCATGCGCTGCAAATTGCTCAAGCCCCGGTTTCCCAGTATTGAAGGTCCTCAGTCCCACCGTCCATACGTTTGTGTACAGCTTCTGAGGCTAGGATTTGGTAAGCGACATTGCAAGATCATTAAAACTCGGAAGAAAACGTCAATAAAGCAAGAAGTTTGCCTTGAAACAATCTTGGCTTGTCAACAGCCTTTGGTTGTTGATCAACAATATTGTACAATTTTACAATGATGCTACACTCTTACAACGGGTTTCCGGACCAAAGCAGCTCAGTACAGGTTGTTGGAAGCACACTTGCCCTTCTCCTTGCCTGCACATTCAGTCTTGAGGTCTGCAGAAAGGAACTTGACATCCTGCACAGGGTAAAGAAGGCGGCTTAGAAGGCGGCTTAGAATTGAGCCGCATTGTTTCATGCTTCTTAGCATCGGTATATGGCAAACAAGGTAGAGATGCTGGACACAGGCTCTTGAGAATTTGATCGATAGTATTGATGTGTGGGAGTAGGTATCGCTCAATGAAGCCTTAACAATGCTTGTGACAGACTACATAAGATTCTCTTTGGTGAATCGGCTCCAACTTTCAAAGAATCCATGTCGATATTGAACATCTAAACGATTTAACTCGCACTTTGCTCTCAGGAGTCCTCACCTGTCTCCTGGCGAGATCCTGGCAACCCGTGAAATTGTCTGGGAACTTGCAGGTACCATTCTGGACTGTGTAGGCCCGGCCCTGGTTTGCGTAGCTTGTGTTCAGTCTAGCCCTATCGTTTGCAGCCTGCATGAGAAGGCAAGGAAATTGATGCAAGACCCAGACACTGGTTGAACTGGTCACTAATAGCAAATTGCATAACGGAAGGCTCTGACAGAATTTTAACTTTCAAGAAGCCATTATTTTCCCCCACTGATGCCAACTACAGGTAGGAGAGCTCCTTGTGACCTAGCATGTTGCTCAACTGATGGAACAGCTTTGCAGTGTCCCAAAAAGAAAGCTGCTGTCAAGTTCAGGGGCATGGAGGCTTCCTTCATAGGCATTGCTGGTCGTATCAAGTATCTGAGGGTTTGAGGAACTAAAGGCTGTCAATGACCTCTTTCCAAAGTCTTCACCCATCTGAGAATGGAGAAATCTTCTCTTAGTCACTTGAAGATTTATGGATTGCAAGCTATCCAAATCGCGGGATGTTAAGGGCACAAAGGAGGTTTGGTTTGCATACTTCCTTCCAGAGTGCATTCACAACCTGCCCCAAAGGTGCCACACACGCCTTAAGTTCACCGTTTGTCCCACAAACTCGTACTTACAAACTTGCTATGGCTAAGCTACTAAGCAACTTCTATGCACATCAAGCTCTCCAACAAAGCCTCTCCCCTTCCCCCACAGTGGAGGCGATTCTGTCAAATCTCCAGTTCAATGTTCTAGCCGGTGGCTTTTTGTGGATTCCAATGGCATCCCAGATTTGGCCATCCTTGACTAGCTTGTGCAGAAACGCTGGCACTAAATTCAAGGATTAGTGAAACTCCTTAGAGAGAGCTGAACAAAAGTGGCAATATGACTTCAGGAGATTGATATACCCGCAAGCCCTCATTTGGAATTAATACCTACCTTGTTCGTCTCGCTCTTAGCCAAGAGGCTAGCAGTCAAACCGGTAGCTCCTTCTGCCAAAGCCTGCTGTGCAGTCAGCGCGCCTGAGGCAACAAAGATTGCCGCGAACTTCAACACGTCCCTCCTGCTCTGCTGAGCTGAGCAGACGATAGTCCGCGGCTGGCTTGCAGCCGGGAGACTCCTGGTAACCCTCGATTGAGGTGCAACAATCAGGGAAGCACCCTTGAATGCTGATGCGCAGAGCGACGAGGAAGCCATCTCGACTCGAGTATTCGGGCTGATTGATGAGGTACAGAAGATAGTGCGGGCGCCTGACCTGCTGTGAAGAAGAGCGAAGCTGGCAGTGGCAGCAGGAAAACGAGGAACAAAGTGCAATGTGGGAGAGATTGAATGCACCGTCACGGAATTCTGCCCACCTTCATGAACTCTGCGAAGTTGCGCTGGACAATGCAGCGCGGCAGGTGCTCTGCACAGTGCAGTGCATTGGACTCTGGAGTACCTCTGACTCCTGAGTCGATGAGTCTGCAGTGCTGACTCGTGCACACTGCAGTGCTGACAGTGAGTGCACACTGGTCGTGAGTACCTACCGTACCTACCTAGTGCGAGTGCCCGAGGCAGCGCTCGCCCGGGCATTTCAGCAGAGTTCTCAAAGCCATTGTTATAGCCCGAGCTGGAAATTTGCGATGTACCGGGGGCGAGTGCCCTCATTCATGCGAGCTGACGTGGGCGGAGCAATAGGAAAGCACCTTTCAGATCTCGTATATCTGTTTCACTGAAAACTGATTGGGTTCGTTTATCGGACGGCCTTCGAACTCCAATTGGCATCGACTCCTTCTGGGACTTTGGATTGAAAGCAGATGCTGCCGCCGATAATCTCATCGACGGTACAGTAATCTTTTTGTCGGTTGGCTTACTTTGAGTCAGGGCGGTAGTTGGATTTCAGGAAAGCCAGAGCAGTCTATGGCAATCATCTAGCCGCCGTCGGCGCGCTGGGGCTACCAAACATTCATTACCCGAGTCTGACGTCACTTAGTAAGATGGCAGTAAGATTTTAGAAAAGGACCAGCCTAGCAGCGAAAATTAGAGTTTTACTTATTAGCATCCAGTGTTTGTAGCTGGCGGGTTGTGTTGAAGGGGTGTTGAACTTGTTGACTCGACATGACTAATGCTGCGATCTGCTCAAGAGCCTGCAGAAAGCCTGCCAATACTAAGATTACCATGCAGGGCCTGCTCGCCAACTCTGCCACGTATCCGGCTTCAGAACCTGCATGGACAGCAGTGAGCACCGGCTTGGAAGTAAGTTAAGGGGCGCGAAAGGACTATGATTATGAACTTTAGATGATGTCCTTTTGACTGAGCAAAACGGAGCTGGCCGTCAAAAGGCCTTCAAAGCCACTGAATCATGACCGAAGTTGACCGGATACTGATCCTACTCGTGTAACTAAGACCGCCAATTGGCCCTCAGGCGTTGTAATTTTGCTGTGATCGTAGAGTGACACTGCCTCAATCTGGATCCCCTGCCTTTCAAAGCCCGCCGGCTAAGAGATTGAAGCTAATTTTGCCAGGTTAGCCCGGTCAGAAACCAGTCGTTGTTGCATTGCAAAGGACAGCATTGGTCAAAGTTGATGCTGGTGACGTTTAGGCAATTTTACGAGGATAAGGAGAGAGGAGGGTTCGAGGAGAGGTTGTGGCAGTTGCAGTCCTTAGGTACTGACCCTGTGGCGCCAGCAATGTCCCAAGAAGATACAAATTCTGAAGAGGGGCGATCGAAAGGGCAGTGACATTGAAAGAGAAGGCGTAGGCCCGCAGCATAGACGTGGCTAAATACGAGAAATATAAAGCAATGTCTAAAGGACGAAGCATTGCGTCCAAGGCGTAACGCGCTGAGATTTTAAGTGCAGAAGGAAAGAAGATTACAGGCCAGGTGATGGCTGAGCAGGCAAGGGGAAACGGCATAATGGCTGGCACTCGTAATGGTGCGGATGAGATACGCAGAAGGGAGCGATTGCAAAAGATCCTCCAGAAGGAACTTGAGAAAGATGCATTACCAAACAAGGCGAGTGTTTCGTGAATTTCCCTTGCCTTAGCAAGGACGAAGATTACCACGAGCTTGTCGAGCCTGTACAAATCGTGGTGTTGGTAAAAGCGAAGTCCATGCTGATGTCGGGATATCCAATGTAGTGCAGAATGGACGCTGTTCTGAGTTGGTAAACCTCGTAAAGCCCCTATTATTGTCCAGGTACAGAAAATTCCACAGAAATGAGAGCTTGTAAACAATCAAGCGTTTAGCCAAAAGCTTACGTTTATGCATGTACTTCCCTTCCTTCTGCTTTCGTCATTCGCTTCTGCCTTCGTCCTCTCCTTGTCAAATTTGTACTCAAAGAGACGACTGATTGCCATGCTGATACATACTTATCGTCTAAAACAAAAGCTGTCAGCTTTCTAAGATGTTACAAACAAATTTGGAGTAGGTCTTACAATTATCTTGCTACTTTGTGCAGGTGTATAATACAAACCAGTCAGAAGCGAAATTCAGATCTCTCATGCTGAGCAGCCATGGTTCCCGGGTCGAAGCGTCACCAAAATCCCCTGTCGACGCCATTTCACCTCAGTCAGATTCAGGGGTTGGAGAATGGAAAGTGGTGAAATCTCGAAGAAGATCATCAAAGAGCAATACGTTTGTCTCAAGAAGCGTAGAAGCCTTAACTGATGAAAACATGGGTCCAACCGAGAGGCATACAGAGTCCGCACTTACTTCGCAAGCCTTCGCAAACCAATCCAGCTCTAAGTGGGGACAGGAGTCAAGGAAGATTGGAAACACCGCAAAGATGCCATCCAAGGCAACACTGGCGTTGGATCTGAGCACTCTGCACAAGCTGGAGAACGAGCACGTGCTCGACATCCTCGAACGTGAGCATGGAGTCACGGAGAGCTTCATTTCTTCCTTCGACTTTTGCAGATGTAGACTACCACGAAGCTTTTCAATCTTAGGATCAGCTTCACCTGGTTAAAGGCGTTCGACAGCGAGCCTTAAGAACCACTGTGATGAAAGCTTTCCCCAGGTCTGCTGGGCCAAAGCTGCCTCCATATGTGCTAGCTTTTCGTTATTGCTGGCATAAGGATCTTAAAAGGATTGAGTTAGATTTTAAATTCCTTCTGTCATGCTGCCTAAGTCGCAGGTTTCAACAGCAAGGAGAATGTTTTTAGCCAATACCATTCTGGTAAATTACGTGCTTTTGAAGCTCTTGCTTTCACATCGCATCCAAGCATGCCGCGAGGTAAGGGGTTTGGTCAGCTGTTTCACGGTCACTAGCTGCTTCCCCAACATGGCCACTCAACCTCGTGTGCTTATCACCTCCTATTTCATTTTCAGCAAGCGGACTGCCAAGCCGACGCACGGTCCAGGTGATCAACCGTACGAGCAAAGCGCTCAGCGAGTGGGCAGCACTTTCGGCGTACGACCAAGAGGTGTTTGCACAGCACAAGAAAGCCTTGGCTGAGAAGCATAAGACGGCAACTGACAAGCAAAGGGCAATCCTTGATGAACAGGTGCGACTTCTCAGCCTGGAGCTTTCGGCCTCTTGAAGTTCGTACGTCAAAAGCATGGATTGTTTTCAGGTTTTACTAGTTGTGTCTCGTGCCATTTGCCAAGCTGCTCCCTTCGTGGCAGCCATTGCCTTTCGGAAAGCCTTGAGGATACTTCCAATTGCAGACACGATGTTGGCACCACAAAAACATCTTCTGATGTTTCTCATTCTCCTCAGAGGCGAGAGCTGGAGGAGAAGCGGCAGGAAATTATTCGAGAGCGCGGACGGGAAGCGCAGCGTATCGCTCAGGAGTTACAGCAGCATAAGGAGGTCGAGAAACAGAAAGAAGTGAGTTCTTCTCTCAGTTTCTCTTCCACGGCCTCTTTACATTGGAAACATTTCCTCTGCTGTCCACGGTCTTTCCATAGCAATGGACACTCGATAATATTTCCGAAGCTTTGCTTCAAAAGACAGAATCATATTGGATTTTTTTCTGTGAAATCAGGTCACAAACGTGTTCCTCTGATTCGACTCGACAGTGCAGTTAGATCTCCTGTGGTGTTGCCTCATGCCCTCCAAACATAGTGCAGATCGATCGGAGGAGAAAAGCAGAGCTTGAGAAGTTGGATCGAGACACTCACCTGGCAATCACCAAGGTAAGCCAGTTCACTTTGTGATATCCACGTCACTTCCACTTTAGTACTGAGCTACTCGCCATCCATCTCAAGTATGATATTTTGTGTGACCCGGGTCGTTCATAGGTGCCTCTCAAAACCAGGCTCTTCCCTACATCAATTTGATTCTTAGTCTGTTGCTTTAGATTATCTTTCTCCTGAAGTGTGCAGTTGGAATGATATGCAGGCCCAGAGACAAGCAGAGGTGGAACAGCATAGATACGAGGAGCAAGAGGAGATTAGAAGAATACAACAAGCACTCGAAGTAAGAACCCTACATCCATCACCGCCGCTTCGAAACGCCGGGACTGTCCTGCTTGCCACCAAACCTAGTCTTAGGGGGTTTCATAGGTTTTTCTATCCGTACGAAGGATTTGCAAATTCTTCAGTCGACGCCGTCGGCTTTTGCAGGCTTTGAATTGCTGAGATGCGTGGAGGTCAGAGTGCTTGTGAGAAGCTGTCGAGTTTTTCATCTGTTCATTTCAAGACGGTATATCTCTGAGACAGGGTACGGTCCTACCTTAAAAGAAGACAAGCTGCATGGCACGCAAAGGAACCTTTGAAACACGATCCTGATACAGTGCTGTAATCTGCACAGGAGGAGAGGCTGCGTGACTCTACAAGGAAGGAGGCGCAGCGGCACCAGCTGCAGCAAACACAGTTGGAGAACGAGGCACAGCGCGCTGAGGCGCGCCGTCAGAAGCTGATTGAGGGGGAGAAGGACAAGAAGCTCATGGAGGATTACAACGCACTTCTTGAAGCGCAGGTTGGGATAATCTACAGATACTTGCGTACAAAGTAATATCTGACTCAAAATTTTGTGGAGTTGACACCAGATTCTGTGGAGTTGACATCATTTTTTATAGCTCTTATTCTTCTTTACCTGCTTCTCATAGCGTTCAAAACAGAGACATCTAACCACCGACTACGAAAAGGTGAAGGGAAAACGTGTTTGCCCCCGTTTCTTGTGATCGCAGGACCGAGCGCGTCAGCAAAGGTTGAAAGAGCAACAAAATATGATCATGAAGCGCATGCGCATTGGGGAACTGACGCAGAAGCAGAACGACGAGAAGATGAAGCAGGTATATTCGAGGTCTTGCCAGGCTGTCTGCTGTACTTGAATTCTGCTCACTGTACGACAATCTCTTAGGGGGCTTGAAGGAGTCTCTTTAAGGTGCTCTTTGATGGACCTGTCTGCATTTCCTCTTGCTGTGGAATATCAAGAGCAAAGAGCCATATGGGGTAAAAGGCTGACTGGCTCCCTTCTCTTTGTTTGTGCAGCTGGACGACCAGATTGCTGAGCACGAGCGACGCCGCGAGCAGATGGAGCGCGAGAAGGAGGCGGCGAACCGGCGCAGGCGCCAGAATGACAATACGAGAATCCTGGCGACTCTCCAGCAACAGAAAGAAGAGCTCCGGGTATTTATTTGCCCTCGACGTCGATTCTGATGAGGCTTTCTGAAACGGCGCACTCCGGAAGGTTTTCTAGAAGCGCTAATCTGCAACTTCTGACAACAACTGTCTTTGTGACAAGCGACCGCATGGTGTACCCACGAGGTCCGCAAGTTTTCCTGAAGTGGACCCAGATTGTAACTTGGCAAAAAGAAGCTGAGAAAAGTTGCTTGATTGCTGTTCACATAGTAGTTTTAATGCTTGATCCAGTCTCTATCGAACGGAAGACGCGCCACTTTATTGCATCGGCGGTTCGGTTCCGTCGGAGAATACAGACGGAGCGGGTGAGCATGAGCCTAAAGAGTGTTGCCCACGTGTTCCTCTGCAGGATCGCATCGACAGGGAGGCCAACGAGAACCGGAGGTTCCAAGAGCAGGCTACCGCTGAAGCCGCACAGGTCTTGGCAGAGCAGGCGCTCAACAGGATCAAGAAGAGGGAGAAGAGCCTGCAGTACAGGCTAGAGCTGGAGCGCCAGATCAGGTATGCTTTTGAGAACATAGAAATGCGGTCAGAGTGAAGAGATTACAACATCGCTGCGGAGCGTTCTACCTCGCTGGGGCCTTGGAACGACACGTAGGAACTTATGCCTCAGGTCGGTTTGAGTGCGAAAGGGTTTGGGCTGGACTGTTTGAGAAAAACGCCGTTCCGAAATCGATGGCTTTGGCCACAGACATTCTCTCCGAAGTCCTCCACGTGCGCGTTCAATGATTCTTTTATCCTTTAGGATAACTTCATTTGCGAAACTTCTTGGCTTCAAGAATTGCCAAATGCAACCGAGGTGTAGAACAAAGGGAGATCTGAAGGCAAAGCTTCTAACACCGTCTTGTCGCCCACAGGGATACCGCCGAGCAGCACGCTAAGGACGGAATCTTCATGAGCCCAACCGAACGCACGCTCAACTCAAGGCTACTGCACGATGCTCTTCCGATCTATGAGACCAAATTGCACTCTCCATAGGAGCGTACAATCCAATGCACTACGACAAAAGTTTGTATATCAGTATAGACACGGCTGGCAAAGTAGTGACGGACTGAATTCTATATTACTTTTGAGGGAGAATAAGTTGGATGTGAAGGAACATCTTTATCCTGTACAGATTGTAAGCATATAAGGGCCTGCATAGTAAGCATTTTAGGGCCTGCATAGAGTTAGGCAGTCGCATGCTTTCATCCCACGCCATGCGCTGCCTACTTTGAATCGAAATGATTCAGAAAACTATCATGACAAGGAAGTCACGAGTAGAGAGAATTTGGTGCCCTCTGTTCGTACCAAGGCAATGCTGAACCATCTGTTGTTAAAAGGACAAGACGTTCTGATTCTCGAACATGGACCTGCGTTATTGAATCCCATTGGCGTGTACCATGACTTTGACCGTTGAACGTGAAGCAGGCCCATTTGCGTAGAAGTAAAATACAAGCTCTCTTCGAATCGAAGCACCGAATGCATTTATCGACGAACTTGGGACAGCTGCTCAACTGTCACGCTGCCGTGCTGCGCCCGATGTTTCCAAGTCGAATGTAGGTAAAGCGATGCACAATATTTGAATTTTGAAGGAACGGGCTACTCGCTCCGGAAATCCAACCAAGCCCAATCCTGTAATCAAATGGGTTTTTGCTATGCGGCCCAGCCTCGTACGTCGACCACCGTACGGGCCCGCCGCCACTTAGTTGAGGGCGGCCCGGCCGGCCGGCGCCGCGCGCCGGCTGCGAGCCCGTGAGCACGGCGGCCCGGCCGCGTTTGTCTGGTCGGACGGCCGCCGGGGTTAGAGGAGGTTTACTTTTTGCAGTAACTAGTTCCAGGTTACCGGGTAACCGGACTCATTTTCTGCACTCGGTACATACCGTATGTATACCGACCACCTATACCGATTACCGACGGTACCGTGGTCACCGTGCGACGCGGCCGCGGGCCCAATGAAGTCGCGCCTGTTCGTCTTCCCCCAGTTCGAAACGTCTGCCAGTGCTTCCGCCGAACCCTCTGCGGGGTGAGGCTGCCTTCACTAGTCACGCGTCATTGTTGTGATCCGCTCCCAAGTCCCTTGGAGTCTGGTACTATACTGGTCCTTATGCTCGTCTGCTTGATTCACGGCTCGGCTGATTGGACCCTGTCACTGTGCAGTAGAAGGCTTCACAAAGTCGTCAGGGCTGAATTGCCGACCGAGGCAGCTGATTCATCTTGACACAAAAGCTTGTCATGAGCGGCAGCTGCCTTATACATTCTGCATCATGCAGGCCGCTCGGCGGCCTAAAGCAATTGCTATTCTCAAGTTTCCGCACATCCAGCCTGACAGGAACACTCAAGATAGGAGCAGCAATGCTGACTATCTTGATCATCCTGACAGTGGCAAATGGTGGAGCCTCCGCGAAAGTCGACCGGGAAAACGATCATACCGCAAGACGCAAGAAACGGTTTTGCCCAGCGCTTCGAGATAAAGAGTCTGTTAGATGCATAGTGCCACCATAGCTTTCTTCTCCAACATTTTCACGGGGTGAACTTAGGACACATCCAGAGCAGTCAGAAGCAAAACGCCGAAGGTCTTTTTTAGCGGGACAAGCGTGTTCTAAGTCAGCACTGAAGAATCTCATCCTTCGGGTTCACTTGCAGATCAAGTATTTTCAAATCTTAGAAGCCGCCATCAAAACGTAGAGGACGTAGGTTGGTGACAGCATTGCTGAATCTGCGTTTTCGGAGCCATGGCCGGCCTTTGTAGGCCACTGCAAATCATATTGCTCGTAGGTAAGATCCCTCCGAGGCCATTTTCAGAAAGCTAGACTTGCTGGTGAATGGAGCGAGTGCAGCCCATTTAGATTAGCGGTCATGACGAGAACAAAATGTTGAAGAGTACGAAGGTGCCAGCATGTAACGTGAGAAGGTCCAGCGGAAGCCGAGCTCCAGACCACAATACCGTACTCTTAAAAAGACGTCACTTGGAAGCTGCTCGAGGTGTAGAAAAAACTCCATATGAACGAGATTGCTTTCGTTGAGTTTAGAATCGCGTGGCCCCCCTTGTGTTCCGCGAATCACTGACCTCGACAGAAGAAGATTCATAGATGCCGATGTGTTTGCAGCTCTTTTGGGGGGGGCACGTGCCCAGTCGCTGCTCTGGCAGACCCGCACCCCCCTGCTGGACAGTTTCACAGCCGCCCCAGTGGCGGGCCCAGATGGGCAGGTGAGAATACGCTCGCAAGCAACTTCGAACTCTGAATGCGGGACAAGGTTCATTCGCTAATGGCCGCAACATGCATCGAATCCACCAAGAGAATAGTGGTAGGCGGTTGCACTGTTGTAGCATTGAAGCTGCTGTCAAGAATCATGGTGCTTCTAGCGCTTTGAGAATGGATTTTCAGTGCTCGAGTGAAAGTGTAAGTGGGCTTCTGTGCAGGTATATGTTTGCAGCGGTCGGTCGCTACTGGCCTTTGACACGGATGGGCGCCTGGAGTGGAACGCAGCCCTTCCAGGGGGGTCTCAGTGTCAAACCCTGGTGGCGCCCTTCCCGGACAGCCGAGGAAACGTGAGGATTGTAACAGAGGGCTTCGCATTATGGACTTTGAATAAGAATCCACACGTAATCAGCGTTCACTGAGCATCAATTCGTAACGCGGTCAGATTCGCTTAGCTTACCGGTCTGCAGAGACGACAATCATAACGAGAGATCGTGCCCCTTCCTGACAATGCTGAGCTCCCCGCAAGAGGCTCGCATCCCCTTTCCTCGATTACTTCCACAACCGACGCCGCCCAGAGATCGTGCCCGTTGCTGACAATGCTGAGCTACCCGCAAGAGGCTCGCATCCCTTTCCCCAAGTACTTCCACAACCGACGCTGCACCTGCCTCTGTCTGCCCAGCCGCACCGAACTCGAGTTTGCAAATCCACAGTATCTTGAACGGACCGGCGTCTTCAACCGACCGCCATTCCTCCAGGTCTACGTGGCAGCCGGGGCGAGCTTGCTGCAAGTAAGTGCGACCGGGAGAAGTACTCCGACCGTGACCACCGTCTTTACAGTGCCCAACGCCGGGCAAAGAGGAGTCGGGGTATTGGGCGTCACCCCGAGTGCGGACGGTTCGGTTCTGTACATAAACGGGGCGACGCAGGGGCTGTTTGCGATCAGATTGGACGGCACCCCGGTCTGGAAGAATGCAACCGGCAGGTAAGGAGCGTCATAAGAAAGTATGAAAAGAAAAAGAACTCATCCCAGAAACTTATGGCGCTGGATTTCCGGCAGGTTTCTGATCTTCGTGGAACGCAGGTGCTTCGCAACAAGGGGTTCTACAAGATGAGGCATTTTGGACGATAACTAGGCTTTTGCGTTGAGCGGATCTCCCATCACTCCGAAGGGTAACAAGAATCTCATCCAAGATCAGAATTATGATTCGGGTCAAAGCAACCTCGCTGAATTGGGCGGTGTTCATTACGGAAGGGCTTAAAATGGCCGCTTACTGCAAGGAAACTACCAAGTTCCTGCAAACGAGATGTGAAAGCACGGACAGGAGCTGCGAGCTACCACTGCTGCCAGCTGTCATGTAACGAAGTTTAGCGACATCGGATCGAGACTCCACCGGTTACCGTGCTTCAAGTGCCTCCCTTTCATCATAAAGTAGGGAAACTTTTCATACAAGGATTCAGCATTTGATATCGAAGGACGTTCTGCAACTTTTGCTGACGTTCCTCTTGCCTCTCTATTGGCAGCGCGCTGCCGTTTACTGTGGCCGCGGACGGGCGGGCTGACGTCACCTGCGGAAGCGCCGACAACCCGTGCTACTTTTACAGCTCGCCGAGCGTCGACGTGTGCACGGGAGACCTTTACGTAAGCAATCTCTTCACAGCTTTTATTAGCAGCTCTCAAAGATCAAGAAGGTTGCCAAACATAGATCAAGAGGTACATGAACCATACAATCAGCTTACAAGCATAAGGACCTGGCCACCGAAGCGTTGAAAGCAATGCGAAGTGTGAAACAAACTCGGAGTTAAACTCGCCTTCTGTCAGTCGTTCACAAGAGTAGAAGCTACTTCGCTTCGTGTCAGAAGCAGGTTTCCCGCTTCATTTACACACGGTGTTGAATCCAACTCTCGCTTGAACTCAACTCTCACGACAAGCTCGCTTTCTTCCAGATTGCCAACTCCGACGGCTACCTCTACAGCCTCTCGCTCGCCGCGGCCGCGCTCCGCTGGCGCGTGCGCCTCCCGCTCGCGAGCGCCACCCAAGTCGGGGTGACCGTTTCGGGGGGGACGGTTTACGCGGCCGCGGCGACCCCCGGGCGCATCATGGCCTTCTCGACAAACGGGGGTGCTGCCTGGACTCAGACCGGGGGGTATGCCTTTGGCTCCCTGGACTATAGGAGCCCCGCCCCGATTGTGGGGCCAGGAGGTAAGGCTCTTGAACAAATGAGGTTTTTCGACACCGCATTCGCTATGTTCTTCTAAAAACTCTTGGGAAAATGCTCGTTGTCCGAGCAGAAGCAGCTATTGTTGGCTTTTCATATCGTTAACAAGAAAAGTTTCGAGAATGAAACCATCGAGATCTCGAAGATCACCGATCAAAATAAAAAAAATTTGCAGGAGGAGTTTCTTGACAGGCCGGAGTGAAGGGGAGGCGCTGGGTTTTCAAGTCTTGCCGCAGGAGCCATCATCAAGTGTCACGCCATATATTTCTAAAAGGTGCACGCAATCATGAAAATAGCGCAGAAAATTCAAATTCACTTCCTCCGGAACCATATTTCCAGGTACCGTTCTCGTCGGCTCTTCGGACGGTAGTGTGTACGTGGTCGACGCGTCCGGTTCTTCCGTTTCCGCCTACTCCTCTGTGCCTGGCGGAACCAACCAGGCCGGAACTATAACCTCGCCTCCCGTCTTGGACTGCTCGGGGAGCGCGGTCTGGGTGGCTTGGGCGGCGATCAACGGCGCTGCGGTGACCGTTGCCGCCATCGACGGCTCTGGCGCGGTGAAAGTTGCGCTCCAGTACAACGCATCAGCAGGTAGGGGAATGTCCCTTCTGCATACCCCTCGATTCGTTCTCGAAGTTGAATGAAATGTAAAAAAGCAAGCTCGTTCAGAGAGCATGCCACCTCTTCTTCCGAGCGGGTTATGAGAGCGGAAGCGTGGTTCAGTATCCTTATCTGAGGAAGTGCACGGCTTTTATGGGAACGAGGGGCCATACACCGGTTACGGGTGAATAGTCCTGAAAAACCCCTGAGTAACTGGGTTGTAAGGCCTCAACCCAACCACTAACGCCGTTCCTTTTTGACTTCCAACAGCCGCACGGCCGACCGCCTTCGCTCCCAGCGGTTCCCGCCTCTATAGCGTCGACGCGGGCACCCTCCAGGCATTTGACGTTCTGGCGGGCGGGGCCGCGCAGGGCGGCAGCGCAGCCGCGCGCGCGGCGTGCGCGCTCAACGCGAGGCAGCGGCTGAGCGCGGGGTGCCCGCAAAACCTGGCGGCAGGGGGGGCGGGCAGCCGGGCGGGGGACATGACCGTCAAGTCTGGTGGGCGGATATGGTTCGGCTCTGTTGATTTCCACCTTCCTGGAAAACTAGTTGGCTTTGAAGTGAGAGACGGCAGTCTGTCGCAATCACCCAGCCCATACCTTACCAATCCCGTAAGGATTGGAGCGGAGAGCGCTAGAGCTTTTCTCGCCCTCATCTCCAGATTTCGCTTTTATTGGTTTATGTTTTCGTTGGTGTGCCCTCTATACTACGAAGTACAGAGGAAAAGGGTTTCCTAATTTTGTTGATAGACACGCAGCTTTCTGGGGCAAGTCTGATCTTGGTTCTGCGGAAGGGCTCAAGCTACGGAAGCCATCGGCTCTGCCAGCTAGACGACTCGAGATGCATCTCGACTTGAAGCTTGCCCTTGAAGTCATCAGCTCTCAACGCCAAAAGAAAGCAGTATGGTATTCTACTATAGAATGAGCTTTACGTTCCTACGGAGATGCCGAAAGTGGCGTTCTAGCACATTGCTATGCACCCTGCGACCGGGATCCGCACTTCGATCGGTCGACTGACAACCAAGTCCTTCCCGAAGCAAGTCTTGCTGTGAGTCTACCTTCTATCTGGCAGCCACATTCTTCCACCAATGGTTGCTCCGCTGCACAATATTTTCTTTACATACTGGTATAATTCCCGTGACCTAACGGGCGTTTGACCTGATTCCCGGGTGCGAGGTACCCGGGTGCTAAACCACAGAAGTCTAACCCAAAGTCTGACGCGCTCCGCTTCCAAACCCACCCTGACCGTCAGACTAACCCCACCCGTCTCCGGTTGCCTATCCAAAGTCAACACCTACAAAGTCCATGAGATTTGTCAGAAGGTTCTCTCCTCGTACAGCGGGCGGCGGCGCTCCCAACTTTCTTCCGCTCTACCTCGTCGCCCTAACCCAACAACCTACGCGCTCCGCTTCTGAACCCACTTTAACCGCCATACGAACCCCATCCGGGTTCCTATTTGAAGCCATATGCCCCTAGATTCCGTAAGACTGATCGGATTTTCTCTACTCTTACAGCGGGCGGCGGCCCTCCCAAGCTTCTCCCGCTTTACATCGTCGCCCCGGTGGCCGTGTTTTTGGTGGTCGTTCTAGCCGTTGCGTATTTCCTGTGGGAGCGGCAGCAGCGGCGGCTCGTGGAGGCGCAGAAGGAGGAGCGCCGCAAGAACAAGCGGCTGCACCAGCAGGTCAGCGCGGCCGCGCGGCGGGTTTAGGTTTAAGCAGTGCTAAAGGATTATGATGGAAAATAGTGTGTGTAAGTTTTAAGGAAAGCGTTTTGATTGATTTGAGGTTGTGTTGAATGTCACGTCGAGTGCCTATAGGAGGTTTGAGAGTGACAGCACCGCTTTCGGAGAAAGACGCATCGTATGAAGCGGTCGTTTCGAATGTTTTGCGGAAGGATTCTGCGAAGGGTACTGATTCGGATGGCGCTTCTCTTCGCGGTCATTGAAAGGATCGAGAAAGAACTCTTCTCGAACCGGTGCGCTGCTCGTAAAATTTTGCGAGCGATTTTACGGCTTCGTGCACGAACGGTGATGCGGAGGGTTTATCCGAAGGAAGTTACTAACAACAATCAGATCTTCCACGTAGAGGTCTGCGAGAAGACAGAACTCAGAATGCACCGAAGATCGATCCCGCTCCATAGGCTAGCGGCCAACAAGCGTCGCATCTCTGCAATAAATACCTTTGGCCAAAAAAAATTGAAAACATTATGTACCAATTGCCGAGAGGCGTGCTCTCAGAGGGACAACCAGTCGACCGCCTTCTACTCCTCACCTTATAGCGAACCCCTCCTATTAACCACTCAACCATCAATATAACCTCCGTCCAACCCACTGATTCCTCTCCTTTCCAACAGGGCGAGTTCGCCATGAAGAAAGTGGCGTGCGAGGAGGCGCTGTCTCAGCTGAAGTACGACCTGCAAACCAGCGATCCGTCCGCCCGAGACGACCTGATCCGCCGGAAAATCAGCCTGGAGGACTCCCTGCGGACTCTGGTCGACCTCATGCAAGACGAGGCGCGCGAGCGCGCGAGCAGCTCCCTCGGGGGATATCCCCGGGCGGGGAGCCAGATTCTGCCCATGATTGCGGAGGGAACCGGGGAAGAGACGCTGACTGCTCTGCCCAACGAGTCGCTTCAGGGGCCAAGATTAGATTTCCGGTGAAGGGCGAGCCATTTGTGTTGGTTTTTTGTTTTTTCTAAGAGCAACATAGCTTCTCAGCCGGAACTTATAGGCGGCTCCTCAAGGTGGGTGACGCCTTGACATTGGTGCGCGTGTGGTACAATAAACACGCCAGGACACCATGATTCCTGGGCGAATAATACAGCGCAAGGCAGCAATCTGCTGCGGTAGATAGGAGGTCAACCTTACATTCACGGCCAACAAAGAGCTAGACAGCCTTAGACTGCCCGGCCGCATTTTGCTGGCCGGAAGTCATTGACATTGTCAACCTGCCTGCCTCGGTAGATGGATCTTGCAGCAGGCGGCTATATAACCTTGAGCCTTATCGATCTCGTTGCAAGCGACCGACACTATCCATGTCTAACCATCGCAGTTCAGCTGACGCAATTGCTAGCCTAGAACGCCAATCGCTAATTAAGTTGCCGCTCAACTTGACACTCTTTATTCGGCCAATAAATCGGAATTAAACGCCCTGCGAGCATGATTAAGATGGATGCGGTGAGTCCATTGCAGGCCACGGTGTTCACGTTTACATGCTCCGTAAAATGTGAAGCTCCATCGAAAGCTATTGCATGGATCTTTATCTGGTATGTCATGTGCGCCTTTGCCGCTATATGGGCTACATTCTGTAATATCGTGCGAGACGGAAGATTAATGCAGCCGCCACCATGTAGCATCTTACCGTTCATGTGCAATCGGTGCCAGCGCGTTGAAAAGCAATGTAACATGAGGCGCGGCCCTGCACATTTATACTGTGCATGTACCGCAGGCCCCGCCTGAAACAGGCATTTAGCAGAGCACTTTTGTCACGAGTGCAAACGCCCTAACGCATTCTGCCGATTGGTCAACTGTCAATGTGCGTTGTCATACGAGGAAGAAACTAGGATCCTCAAAACTTCGCCAGAGCAGGTCACAAGGATTTGTCGTTGAGGGGTGATTGGCTTGATTCGACACCGCATGTACATATAAATGCCTGCAAGAATGTGCTGGTACTTTTGACTCTACGATGCATGGAGGTGCCAATGAATCGCTCAAACAATGTCTACAGACTTTCTAGACACTATGCAAGAATTTCAACACGCAGCAGTCTACCGTGGCCCATCATGTCACCCACGGAGGACCTCACTTCCCATAGACCTTGATCCTCTGCACGATCGCCGTCCTGCACGACGGGCAGTCCTTGTGCCCCTTCTTCTCGTGCTCCTCGTTGCACTCCTCGCAGAGGACCTGGTGCGCACACGGCAGGAACACCACGCTCTGCTCCTCGCTCATGCACATCACGCACTCGCGCTCCCGCCGCACGCTCGCGCCCGCCAGCCCCGCCACCTCCCGCCGCAGCCGCGCGTTCTCCTCCCGCAGCGTCACCTCCCGGGGAGGTGACGTCAGCACGTCGTACACGGGCGGCGGCGCCTCGAACCCGTACACCGTCCCGTGCTCCGCGAGCTTGAGGCGCGCGACCTCCCGCTCGAGCCGCGCGATCTCGGCGCGGAACTTCTCGGCCGCCGTGTCGGACACCTTCTTCGCGGCCGCGTCCTTGCGCTTGTGGTCCTTCTCCGCGAGCTCGCGCGCGCGCTTCTCCGCGGCCGCACGGTCCCCCGCCTCGCGCGCCGCGCGCTCCTGCCGCGCGCGCACGCTCGCCTGACGCGCGCTCTCCTCGGCGCGCTCGGCCGCGGCCGCGAGCCCGTTGGCGCGCGCGCGCTCGCCATTGATCTCCTCCTGCATCGCCTTGCGCTGCTTCTCCCAGGCGGCCGTCTTTTTCTGGAGCACTTTTTCCGCCTTCAGCGCCTTGGCCTCACGGGCTGCCGTCTCAGACTCCTTGAGAAGGCTCGCCTCTAGTTCGGAGCGCACCTCCTTGAGGTGCTTCTCCAGCATGAAGAGCTTCTTCTCCAGGCCCTTGGCGTAGTCCTGGGTCCGCCTGCGAAGACGAATCAGGGGGTTAGGCACGCAGTTGGCAAAAGATGCCCCGTGATTATGGCAGAAGTACAGTACCTGAGTTCACCACCCTTTGGCTGGAAACGGTTTGGTTTTGAGGCAATCCATGCCATCCTCCTGCTGCCAACTTCGTGAAAAGGCTACAGACAGAGCTTTCGTTCAAAACAAGCACGTCTCAAGATGCATTCGATCCTTTAGAAGATCACAATAGATGATGCTGCAAGCGAACCAACAGATTGGTGCAGTTGAGAACCGGCTAGAACTAAGTCGTGAACGAGTTTCGTCAGAAAGGAGAACATGACGGGCGACACGGTCCACCGGAGGACTCAATTCAGTACCCCTCCAAACTGTCACGAAACGTAGTCTGCAAGCTTAGCCCCCATAACGTGCGGCCATCAAGTGCTTCCAGTCGCTACAAAAGAACAGTCGCTGACAACTCGCCCCATCCAACTTCCGCAACAACCGGCCCAGGCAGACTTCTCAGCAAAAGCTGCCCGCCACGATCCTCCTCCCCACTCACTTGACCATGTCCTCGCTGTCCCGCAGCTTCTTGGTCAGCCCCCGCTCCCGGTCCTCGCCGTCGCGCTGCCGCTGCTTGGCGGCCTCCACCTCCGCTCGCAGCCCTTTCAGCTCCTTGCTGTCGTTCTGGCCCTTGCGCGCCGCCTGCATCACCTTCTCGTGCGCCCACTCGGTGCTCTGCCGCGACTTGGCCTCCAGCTGCTCCGCGCGTGCGGTCAGCTCCAGGATCCTGAGCGCGGAAACGGACGGCTCAGAGGATGGCTCGAATATCTTGGCAAGATCGGACGGCTTAGAGCACGGCCCAAAGAGCCTGAACGAGTTCGGACGGCTCAGCTTCTAGAATGAAAGCTGGAGCGTTGATGCCCTACTTTTGTTTTCTGTGCACATTGGAAAATCGATGCAGACAATTTACCAGGCGTAAAACCGCTAATCCCAGATCGGACGTAAATTAGGGGCCTATGCTGACAGTCCGTCCCGGATACCTTAAGACTGGAAGGACCTGATAAAAATAGTTGAGACTTTTGAAACTGATCGACTTTGGAATGCTCATCACGCTAAACTCGAGACACAGCATCAACGCAAGGTTGCACGAAAGCTGCGACGACACTCTGAAGGCAGTCTTCTTAAACACACCTGGCCCGAAGGATGTCCGGGTCAGTAACGGTCATAAAATCCTGCCGCGGAGGCGGGAGCTCGTCCTCGCTTTCTTCCTCCGACCCCACCATTGACGGCGGGCCGTCCGAGTCCTCATCCGCTGCGCTCGCCACACTGTCCCCCCCCCTCTCCAGCGGGTTAATCTCCATGCTAGGCACACCTCCTGCAGCTGGGTAATCAGAGCCGCGGGTAGGACTCCCGTCAATGTCTATGAAACCCGCCGTCGGCGTGTCTTCCTTTCTAGGGGGGTACGGAGCCTTCGCCCCCCCCTGCCGGTGCGAGATGCCCGGGCCCAAGCCAAGGACCACGTCCCGCTCCTTCTCCTTCTTGTCGGAACCGTGCGCGGGCCCGGCCCCCGTTTTGGGGGGGTGCCCGTGCGACGTGGAAGGCTCCGACTCGACCTCCCGCACGGCGCTCGCGAGCTTCGCCAAAACGTCCTCGACCGACTCGAGCGCCTCCGCAGGCCTCTTCCGCCCGGTCATCTTCTTCGAGGCACTCCCCCCGCGCGCCGTTACCGCCGCGCGACCCACCATTGCCGCTCCTCCCGACGCTTTGTCCTTGGAAGCGTTCCTCTCCGGCTTGGAAGACGGCGCGTGCGCGTCCACGGGCCGACTCTCGAGCTTTCTAGGCGACTTGCTCCTGCTAGACCCGCCACTCTCCGAGTTTCGGACACCCCTCTCGCGAGTGGATGCGTCGCTTTCGCTGTCCTCTTCCTGCTTGAGCTCCTCCGCTGAGTCCAGAAACTCGGCTTCGGACTCCGAGTCGTCCCCAACCGCAAGAGGAGGAGATGACGTGTCGGTATGGAATTGGCCGCCCCCTGACTGCTTCACTTCCCCGATACTGACTTCGAGATGGACACCACCGGGCGTTGTGACGTTGTCAAGGTTGGAACCACAGCTCTCCAACTCGAGGAGTGCCTGTAATGCGGTCAAATTGTAGCTTGAACGTTGTTGCACGCTTTCAGGTCCCCAGATGGCGCTCACTGATGTTTCACGGCGACTTCCTTGAGAGTCACAACATCGGAGATAAAAGAATCCATGGGTAAGACGTAGCGAGGGGTCCGATGCATCTCGACACCGTTCGGCGAGCATCAGGGGACCGTCCTGAGCGCAATCGTCATCAAAGCGGCACAGCCCACTAATAAACGCAGTCCTGCTACGTTCTAAAGACACAGCAAACTTATGGCAAGCAGCAGGATCCGCCTGGCTTATATAGTAATATCAGAAACGAGGCATGCTACGAACAGTGGCTCACCTTCGACAGCTCCTCGGAGCTGCACCCCTCCACCGGCCGGAACTCCACTTTGGGCTCCCCGGCCACGTCCATCTTGGCGGCCTTGAGCCATGCGCTAAGAGCGTCCCGGTCAACCACCCCAGGCTTGCGAAGTCGCTCGCCCAGGTCGTGCTTGATTTTCTCAAAGGCGGTGATTACCACCGACCCCAGCTCGGCGTCGCCCTTCTTGAGGGTGACGCGGATGGCCGTCTCGGACGGGTCCCGGAAGTCCCGAGCGGAGATCTGCGCCCAAAGAGACGGCGCCTGTCAGGAATGGTGCACTGATAGAAAGAGGAGACGTCACTAATAGCGCAGTGCGCTGTGCTATTCACAAGGAGGAAAAATAATGACCTGCAGATCCACTAAGTACGAAGAGCGTAAATTGAGAGAGAAGTAAACTCTTCGTAATGCAAAGCAAAAAGGATCGCAAAGGGAATGCCAGTGTGTCAAACAAGACAGTTCTGGTGAGAAACAGAGAAGATGCCAGTGAGCAGCAAAACAACGCGCACACTGAAACGGACAAGGGATTCCATCGGAGACAACGACGTCACCACTAGAAAATCCCCCTGAGATGACAAGATGCCCCGCACACACGCTTGTCCTGCCTCACTCCTGACACAAACGAGAGAACTCGAGCCTGGATGTCAAAGATGACATGGTGCCAGTCTGCCTCTTGACGGACGAAGAATCGCAGCTCACGCTCTGCTGTACATCGGAGACTGCAATGTGCTGCTGATCAAGGCAAACCAGGGACTTTGATTCGCTTCAATCGTGGCCACATGGCGTAGGAAATGCCCGGGTATCGTCTGGGTCAAAGTCGTGCAGCCAACGCGGAATTTGTGTCACGCCTAACTTCCGCATGCCCTCTGTGGACAGAGTTGACTTGAACTCAAGTACCAAACCGGCCTCACCTTTCCAAAGACGGCTGTCCCCAGTCCTGCCAACTGGCGTGCGACCGCAGCGACAAAAGCCCGCGCCTCCTCGCCTTGGGCCGGAGCGATATCCGCAAGTGCACGGAAGTAGCACTGAGAGGCACTTGTCCGCTTGAAGAGGAAGCACCCAAAAGGCCTCTTTGCAAGCGGGTGCTTGTCATTTGATGGCGGATGAGAGCCGTTCTTAGAAGAAGGCTGCAGATGCCAAAAGATGACGTTGACAAGAGAAGCCTTCCAGCGACTTGCGCATGACATTGAAGAGCGTCTTGCCAGGCGCTAATGTTGTAGCAGAGCACATTAACCTAGATAACCGGTGCAAAAGAGCACTGTCACCTAATAGCACGTACAGTAACAGCTATTTGGCACCAAGGAAAAGTATCCCACATCCTTCCTTTAAAGGGCCAGACAAACATCTCCCGCATAAGGGAAGTCTCCACAATGACTGATTTTCCAACGTAACTGTAGAGCAAAATGTAAACTCTGAATCGGCAGACCATGAGACTCACCGCCCCCACGAGCAAAAGAGTGGCGTCATTCCCCAGGAGAAACTCTTCCACCAGGACCTCTGCAGCGTTGAACGGGTGCGGACGGTTCGACCTGGGGCAGAAACCAGACGGGACTGAGAAAAAGGCAGAGATTTGGGGTTCTAACAGGGGACTGCATATATGCATCAGAGAACGTGAGGAGCATCTCTGCCAGGTCTGTCAACCAAGCGCAAGAGCTCAACCATTCGGTGTCTGCAATTGAGAATTCCATGCCAAACGAACCAGAGCAACAATTGGGTATGGCGTCGGTTGACCTAATTTGCTGTGTAGGCCATTTTTAGTGCCCCCCCTTCCTACATTACCTACTTGTGAGTGTGATCTATATTGTCCTGTACAGTTGTAACTCACCCTGACTGTTTCTGTGCCCGTGCTGCCTTCAATGTGTGCACAATCGACTGAAGAGAAGAAAGAACGAGCAGTTAAGTTCAATGAAGACAAGGGCATAAAACATGTTCCCACTGTCCTAAAGCACGTTAAACAAACGTGCAAAGTCTCGGCTCTTGTCTACAACCTTCATGCATTTGAAAGAAGACAAACGTATGATGAGATGGTACATCAAGAGGGCTCTCTCTGGAAAAGAACAGCATGCGCTCCACACGCCCTCTTTTGGATTCATTGAACAATTCTGATGAGGACATAGATATGCAACCATGATCCCAGAAACCAGTGCCCTACTAGTGAGCGGTTCAGTCCCCCAACCAAGCTTGTCACAGAGTGTCGATGATTAGCAGGATAATCGAGGGAAGAAAAGGGGAGTCAATTTTGATTTTCACCAACCTTATTTATCCTTACTGACAGACGTGGTTTCTATCCCAAGTGAATTGCACTCTTCCCTTCACCCCTCCACTTCAACAATCTGGCAATTTGTTATAGGCAGAACAATGCAGACGCACCTGATGCCCCTCCGCATCACCATGAGAAGCCACCCAGCTGCTTCCAAAATCTGTCAATATAGCGGTGAACGCTTCAATAGAATGACGCATGCCTCGAGCTTTTGGCAAGCGTCAAAAGAACTACAACCGCAGACGATCTGGCGCACTGCCAATCCTGGGAATCCTCTGGAGGTCAGTCCTTCCAGAATGAAGCTTACCCAGCTAGGGCATTTTGTGAGCGTTGTCGAAGAGAGGAACTACACTAGATAGTAGATTCTTGGCGCATCCTAAGCATAGCAACCACTGGAGCATCATGCCGCAGGCATTTCACAGCGCCGGTTCCCGAGAAAATACAAGACGTGCATGCAACAACTGTGCAAAAAATGGTCCATCTGATGAGTAGAGGCTGTCTCAGAAATCTGCCCCAAGTACTTCTTGCCAGATGTAGAGTAGGACAGCCGGTTTCCTTACCTGACTTTGTGGCCTCGTTTAACATGCCCTCAACACAGATATTGTGCGCTGCCATGTCCCCCGGTGCTTCTCTGTATGTCACATGGAAGTCACCAGCATTTTCGTGCACCTGAGAACAACAGCATGCGCCATCATTCAGGGCCATCATTCAGGGCCATCATTCAGGTGAGCAAGACTGGTTTCAGAGGTATCTGCTCAAGGAGTCAAGTTCGGGATCGATCTGGCTGGAATGCTCTAACAAAGAGCAAGTCAGAGGACTGTGCGTGCAGCGTGCTTACTACGTACCAATCTAATCAAATTGATGAAGAAGTGCTTTGAGGTCATGTTAACATTTGCTCTACTGCTTACCAATTCCTGGATGCTGGAATGGATAGGGCCGAGTTATGCTTATTTAAAAACACAATTTAGGCCACACTTTTATATTTCCACCTCCTCCTTGGTCACACGATACAGATACTCAGTTAACGTTCTTCTTCTAACGTTCTTCTTTCTTCAGACTTTTACGATAGCTTTTTAACTTCAAATGAATAAACTTAAGTGGCCGCATCAGCGTAGAATGGTGCCTCTATGACCCTAAGCAACTACGTAGGCTTATCCAAGGAATTTAAAACACGCAGAAGCTCAACTCGATGATGAGGAAAGGCAATGCTGAGAGCGCACTGCTTTTATTCTTGCAAGAGGGACCTCCATTTCTTATGCCTCTTGCAACAATGTGCAATCATCTCACGTCAAGACGCCCAAGCGACGCAACCAAGATACACTGTTTCATGTCTATTCTGACACCTGCTTGCAAAGAGCGAGCGAAGCAATGCAGCTGCCAAAGAAGTGCTAATCAAAGCCCCATGTGCATGATGCTGACTGAGGCGTCAAAAACCCCACCATCTGCCAATCCGCACCAATATCTGGATGTGGTCGAACATGAACACAACTGGTCATCTCAATCGAGAACGCAAGACACAATGTGGTCAATGCAAAAGACCTCCAATATCATGCTCCAAAATGGCAGCATTATCCAGATGCACTCCACGGCAAATCACAGCAAAACACCAATCTTCTATCTAGTCAACCTTGACGTAGGTCAGTAACCTCCTTTGCTCAGTCTCAGAAGGAACACAACAGGGTTGCGACAAAAGGCCTGAAGACAAACCTTCCACTCGCTTGCCCCGGAACCACCGCTGACATCAGCAGCCCCTTCCTTCCATGCCACACCTCGCAAACCCTCCAGGAAAGCCCAAACCTCTGCACTTTTCTTGTCAAGAGCAAAGGCCTCCTTCTTGGTTGAACCCTGAGCGGATGTGCCAGGGGCACCTGCTGAAGCCCCGTTTCTGACTCGGCTTTCCTCGACCAGTCTGCATATCTGCTCTTGAGTGCGCAGACCAGAAGAATACAGGGCCTCATCGAGCTGAGCTCTCGCAGCGTCCATGGAAGCAACGAGCGCAGACCACCTGCCCACAGCTCTTAGAAACCCAAGCTTGGTTTACAAATAGGTGAAGTTGTTTGTCAGGTTTTCAATACAGAGCAAAAGATTGGTCAAACAAGGTGGTCGGGAATGCAAAGAGTCACTCTTTAGCAACGGTGCCACAAGTTTGACATTTGTCTCTCCCCCTTCACATTCTACTGAACGTCAGGCTTCAAGGGAGAAGGAAACCCCTGTAGCAGAGCTTCCTCCTTGTTGAGCCGTCCACCACTCTACAGCCAACAGAACCTTCTGCAGCAAAGGTGGCTGTGAAGAGCTTTGTGCTTCTGAATCTCTTCTCTCATCTCCATTTCTCATCTGTGGCTGAAACTGTGTGTCAATGGACCGCAGAAGTGTGAATATGTCCGGAGCTCCCTCAGGCCCTGGGAGACCCGCTCGCGCCTTCGCATGCAAACAGAGATGTTTCAGAGCGTGTTCACATTCAGGGATTATAGTGCCACGCAGCTTGACCGTAAAATCCTGTGCGAATACATCTGGTTATGGACAAAGTGGTTGTAACAAAGCGGGTTTATAACTTTATACATGTCCGGCCTGCGGCGAACCTGCCAGCATTACCGACAATTCCCCAATATAACCCTTGAGAAACGTTATATACGAGTTTCTCGCAATAGGAGTTTAAAAGCGCGCGCGTAGAAGTTGGGTCACGTGATTAGGAAAGGCGACGTGGTTGCCAAGAAAAGGCGTTAACGGGTCTGCTGTAACGTACCCAATCCTTGGACCATTACCATCTTCTTTGCTTCTAATAGGTACCGTTACGGGCTCGGCATTAGGGTTTTCTGAAAGCAGCTTGTCACTCACCAGAATTTGCAGGGAGGCTGTCATCCCAGGTCGTGGTTCCTGCCCTTTCCTTGTTCTCCCCTCCATTCTCTTGCCCGCATTCTGACAAGACCTCTCTCTCGAACACTGATCATTTGCAATGGCAGGTGCCGCCACCCGGTGCGGTCCGGGCCTGACTGCCTGGAGTGGCAGCCTGGAAAAGACGGTTGGCGCGCGCAGGACTGCCGTCGTCTCGTCTCTTCTGCCCCCTCTCCGCCCAATTGTGAGCAACCAGTGCCTGAGAACGAGGCAGCCTGACGGTTTCCCCCATCAATGGGGGGGAGAGGCGAAACCGGAGCGCACCCACAGCGTGCGGTGTTCGGCGGCCACTCTCGCTGACGCCCCACCTGCAAACTCTGCGGAAGACGGCTCCGGTTTCTGTGGGGAGGAGGGCACCGTGCTCCAGCGGCCTGCCGTGCAGGAGGGGGCCGCCGACAAAAAGTATCTCATCCACACGTTTGGCTGTCAGATGAATTCGGCCGACAGCGAGCGCATGGCGGGGGTGCTCGAGGGCATGGGCTACAGCAGTACGGATGACCTGGACACGGCGAATGTGATTGTGTACAACACGTGTAGCATCCGCGACAAGGCCGAGCAAAAGGTGGGCGCCGCAAGGCCCCTAGATTGTCTTCGATGTAACCCTTACTGCAAGTCGAAGCTGCACGTCAGAATTCTAGGTCACAATGTCATGATGTCGAGTTTGTGAAGGTGGTGTAAGTGCCACACTGAAGTTCGTGGGGTCTAGGCCCTCGAAAGCTGGCATGGCCAAGGTGGTACTCAATCACCTGTAGTATGGGCCAGCGGCACATCGTTATCAATTCTGAACTGTTGCCCTCACCAAGTCGCAGAATTGTGAAATGATGGGGAGCACTCCTTGCTTTCGACCCTCAGCCTCGCAGAGGAAGTGCACGCACTTGCAGCATTTCAACCACCTGCACCCAATCTGCACCCACATTGCCGCTATGCCCCGCGGCTCTCGACTTTGTCCCCCCAGTCCACCATCTTCCATCGCGCCACTTTCTCGACCCCATTCCTGCCGAGCAACCCCTTCTGCTGACCCTCACAGTCCTCCATTATGCTGCTCTTTGCCCCCCACTCCGCCTGAACCGACTTCCGCTGGCACTCACAGTTCTCCATCATGCTGCTGTCTGCCCCCCACTCCGCCTGGAAATGACTTCCGCTTACCCATGAATGCCCCCCATCTACCTGGAAACGACTTCCGCTTACACCCAAATACTCGAACCCTCTTTCCCTCAGGTGTACAGCCACCTCGGGCGCGTGACTCCGCGCAAGAAGACGGACCCGAGCATGCGCATCATTGTGGCTGGGTGCGTGGCGCAGCAGGAGGGCGAACAGCTGCTGCGGCGCGTTCCGCAAGTGGACCTCGTCATGGGGCCGCAGCACGCCAACCGCCTTCAGGAGCTGCTAGAACAGGCAAGCCCGCCGCCACCCCCACGCCCGCCCGCCTGCGTTCAGAATTTAGCAGTGGGGTGGCAGTAACAAGCCTCTGCAGTAGGGTGATTGAGGGCACAACTGGTGGTATCTGCTGTTTTTAGTTGTTGAGACCTGGGGCTTCCTCCCGATTTTCGTGTTCATGGAAAAGTCTCGTTCGAAAATCCAGAGAAGCCTCTGCGCAGTATTTTGTCTCTATAATATTGGGATCCGTGCTCTGGTGTTACGACCTCTATTTTTGCATAGTTTGCGGTTGGACTGTGAAAGGAGATTCCGGTTTCAAAGCATGTGGTTTTTCTCGCATTTTTCGGTACTTCTGAAAGTGACTAGCGGACTGAGTGTTATCTTCAGGAACATATATATACAAAGGGTACCTTGTTGCCATCTGCTTGTAAGGAATCAAGATCCGTGGGGATTTTAGTGCATGATAACGCCTACCAGAAAGAGGCAGCTTTCCTGCCGACTTTGAGGCGCAAACCTTCGTGTTGCAGGTCGACCTGGGCAGTCAGATTTGCGCGACGGAGCCCATTCACATCATCGAGGACATTGCCAAGCCGAAGCGCGACTCTGCGGTGACGGCGTGGGTGAACGTTATCTATGGCTGCAACGAGTGCTGTACCTATTGTGTAGTGCCGGGGGTGCGCGGCAAGGAGCAGTCACGCGAGCCCGAGGCCATCCGGCGCGAGATGCTGGCGCTTGGAGAGGCAGGGTGAGGCCAGCTTTACGACCTTTTCTTTCTGACGTTCAGAAGCTGACCCTCTTGCGTAACTTGAGGGTATGCAGATGAAGCCTGAGTGGGGCTGGTTTTTGGTTAATGGGTGCTTTCGTTTGGGTGTCGTCAAAGTGTGCTCCTCTGCGTACAGCAGGGCTGGAGGAAACCGGTCTTGAAACTCCATTGCCTGGGAGAACGTGCGACCGAGTCTATCACTTGGATCAAGCAGTGCTTGTTCAGCGTTGTTCTCCCTGACTCAACCGGACGAAGTGACGCGATAAGCTGGTCTTCGACTGCAGTCTCACAGAGACGCTCGCTGCGAGCATCGTCCGAGCGGATTATTGAAGCTCTGCTGTACCAAAAGAGGACAAGTCGCAAGGGTCCAAATTTTGTGGAAGGAGTGAAAGTGGGGGGCAATATCGCTGGTTTATTTTTCCAGAGGCTGACCACAGATTGTGGAACGCGCAGGTACAAGGAGGTGACGCTCTTGGGCCAAAACATCGACGCGTACGGCCGAGACTTGCCGGGTCTCGCGGAGGACGGCTCGGGGCGCCGGCGGTGGACCTTCACCGACCTGCTGCGATACGTGCACGACGTGCCGGGCATTGAGAGAATCCGCTTCACCACCTCGCATGTGAGTTCAGGGGCTCGCGATTTTACGGTTTCTGACGAGACGCCCTGACGTTGATTCGGGGGTTATGGCGTTTTTATGGGCTTGGTTTGAGGTGCAGGGGACTCGATCGTTATCGAAAAGTGCATAACATGGTCCGGAGTACTTAACCGAAGCATCTTTCCGGCCCGCTTTCAAGCGCTGAAGTGAAAGTTTCACCCACTGCGCGTCCAAACCTGATCAAAGCCTGTCGAGGGTTCGAACCGGAGAGAACGCCACGAAAGCTCATCCCGCGCCTCTATGCCCCTTCCAGCCGCGCTACTTTTCGGAGCGGCTCATTAAGGCAATCTCAGAGCTGCCCAAGGTGTGCAAGTTCTTCAACATCCCTTTCCAGTCCGGCGACAACCAGATCCTTAAGGTGAGCGCAACCCATGATGACCCTGCCGCTTTATTTTCCTGACAATTGATATTTGTCAACCATCATTTTTGGCTGCTCAGCGTGATACACCTTATCGAACGTATCACCGACGAAAACGTCACCGTCCTCCAAAAAGTTTGATGGGGATGGAGTGTGGCTCACGAAAGTCCGTTCTGGCATTGTGGGGCCCTTCTCCTCATTGCAAGATACATGCTTCTTTGCCAATCGCAGACTTCTTTCTCGGTTTGACTCCGCTGACGGTTTCTGTTGCGCCTGCGCCCAGGACATGAAACGCGGCTACACGATCGAGCGGTATTGCGAGATCATTGCCAAGGTGCGGCGCTACATCCCGGACGCCTCCTTCAGCACTGACATCATCGTCGGCTTTCCGGGTAAGCTTTCGAAACCATCAAACCACACCCACCAGATTCTACGAGCCAGAACTTATTTGCCGGCACGATCGACGAAGTGTGTAACCACAGCTACGGCCCGTATCGCTAGAGTGGACCACAATCTATCTGGGCGACTTACGCGTATCACCGTCCAATCGGAGTCCAACTTATCGTTCTCAGTGGCAAACCCCGGAGAGCATTTGTTGTTGTTGTTCCCTCTTTTGGCGTTTTTCAAGGAAGTGACCTTTCGGGCCTTCCGAGGAATCTGTTCCGCGAGCGACTCATCTTGAGGTCACCGTCGCAACGAGCGGCAGCGGCAGCCTGGAAACTGTCCTTTTGTGCGGCCAGCTTCTGAAAGTGCTCGGCATCCTGAGTGCGTCCCCGCTCATAACCATAAGCCTCATAAGTGATAAGGATCTCAAGACTGAAGTGCTAGATTCCTCGATTTAACCAACACTGAAAGGTTAAGGACAAAATGACATGCTCCGCACCCGGACCCGCCCTGACCACCGAATTAACCCCGCCTGCCTTCCTGTACCTCAACTTCCTCGTTACTGTTCAAGTGTATCCTCATCCCGCCTAAAAGAACGGCGCACGATGCCACGGCTGAGGAGCGGTGGTCTCGCCTTCCTTTAGATCAATATCGGCGCTTTATACGTCCTTTCATTTCATATTGCAAAGTTCTGTACTTTTGGCTTATAAGGAAGATTCCTCGCCCCTGTGTGCAGGCGAGACGGAGGAGCAGTTCCAGAACAGTGTCAAGGTGGTGCGCGAGCTCGGCTTTGACACCGTCAACACGGCAGCCTACTCCCAACGGCCAAACACGCCCGCAGCGGATTGGGAGTGTCAAGTCGCGGACCTCATAAAGGCCGACCGGCTCCAACGGATCAACAGGTGCGTGCGGCTGACCAGTTTGACACCACAACATCGCAATGCTGTTGATATACGTACTCGGAAGTAAAGCCCGCAAGCTTGGTGAGGTTTGTTCTCTCGGACCCCAATTGCCTTCGAAAGAGAAGCCTTTCAAAAGCGCTTGCGGTTGTAGTCATCTCGAGCCCCTTCGGTGCGAAGGTTCTCTGAGAAAAGCTTCAGAGACGAGGTACGAAGCGATCGACCTCTTCAGCATTCACTTTCCTTGATCGCCCCGAACTGTTGGAGTCCCGAGCAGATTTCACTTGTGACCCGGCCTGAAGACTTCGAAACTCCCTGATACCTCATCTCAAATACCGGTACCTAGGAATCTCAACGCGTGAAGACTTTGTTGCGAGGCGGTGCGAAACCCCTACATTTCGGAACCTGATTTCAGAATTAGAGTTTGAAATGTAATCAATAGCATTAGACACTCAGAATAAGAATCATGGTAGATAAGACCCGTTTGCAGGGTGGTGCGAGAGGAGGCGGAGAAGCGGACGCGCCGCTATCTAGGGCGGCGCGAAAAAGTGCTCGTGGAGGCAGTGGACCCAAAAACGGAAGGCGTGGTGAGTTCCCAGGGGATGAGCCTTGACTTTGCGGCGCATTCCTTCTCATGGTTTGAAAAGCGTTGCGGATCACATAGGAAAGATAGTTGACTTGGAAAGCGTTCTTTTGTCGAAAATGTTTTATTGTCGGTCAGCAGTATCGGCAAGCGGCTTGTGCATTGTGTGCGGCCCTCAAATCCAATCGCCGGTTGTCACCTGCGGACAATCGTGACGTTTTAGGGGCGTTGAGGAGCCCTTCTCTTTGGCATCCGGACCGCTCTTTCGGCGGGTACTTTCGCACACCATCAAACCTCAAGAGCGCCCATCCCAGCGTCAGGATATCCGTGCAAGCGCACTGAAAAGGCGTGCTTCAATAGGAAACATTTCAAGGCCGGTTCTTTCTTCGTGGTTGACGTTGATTGTCCAGGGTTTCCGATCAAGAAGGCCTTCCGCTGAAATACCTGGCAGGTGACAGTGTCCTCCAACAATGTCGTGTTCAGTACCGAGAGTGTTCAACGCTTTTGCACCGAGTTTTTGACATGACACTTCGTTCTGTTGCCAGGTGATTGGTCGGACTGACGGCAATCGGCTGTGCCACATTCCGGGCGGGATAGACCTCATCGGAAAGATCGTCGATGTCGACATCGTCGACACGTTTACCTTTTCTTTGAAGGGAAAAGTAGCTGACGAGTCTGAGATCTCGAGACGGAGAGAGGGGCAGGAGTCGCTAGCAGCAGTATCATAGTAGAACGAGCATCAGCAAATACTTTTTTTTTTTTGGCTAAACGGTGTTGTGTTCCTTTCGGCATCGCGCTTCATCTGTTGCGTTTGTGTGACACTTTGACCAAGTCATGCGTTTAGGTTTGAGCGTGAGTGCTGATGCTTGGTACGTCGTCACGTCCTGACCACTGATGAGATTCCGGTCCGATTCGGTCCACGTTTTCTGTGGTCGGGCCGGCCAAGCGCTACTTTCATGCGGTATGGAAAACGTATGAATATTGTCGAGCATGATAGTGATCCTGATTAGTTATGTCTGTACGTTTGCATGTATACTGTTAGCGCCATACGCGGCATGATCAAAGGTGATCGCCCAGATAACCATGATGGTTCTAGTACTGTGTATGCATTGAAGCGGCCTAAATAGGCTTAGCTAGCCTGTACCCTCAGATTACGACATCCATGAGTTTACTTCAACATATTACGTGCATGCATGAGTCATCGACGGCCCCAACATTCTTATTGAAATCACTAGCTACCTATTAACGAGCCAGGCCAGGGATCGCCGTTGTGAAGACAATGTGCAAACAGTTGAGCCACGATTCTAGCTTATTGCTGAGTTCACGTTGTCGCATGCTATCGTCTGAGGAAGGAAACGGGCTAGCTCCTTGTGCGTGCCACAATTCCATGCAGTGCGGCGCTGAACTTCCACAGAAGTTCATAAACGTACGGATTTGCCCTACGAAACCCGTCAATCGTCTTTCCTATACTCTTCCCTACCGCCAGTAGCAGTGTCACACATTACTCACGATTCCACTTTGGGACGTACCAGTTGGAGAGCGCGCTGGCCAGAGTTCCAAAACCGAACCACCTATAAGTTATCGCCGGTACCGTCCACATCAAACTCATCTTTCACCAACCTGAGATACGGTAACCGTCCTAGCCCCTACTTCGCCAAATTGGCACCGAGATTGTGCCCCTATCCCTGACCAACTTGCGCGCTTCAGTCAATATAAGTTACCCTGTTCTACGCCAGTCAGACCTCACTAAACCAGTGTTTAACCCTTATCCGGTCAGTGCTTAGGATGCGGGTTTCCCTCCGAGCAGTCTGGATCCAACACCGTACTGCTGTACACCACGTTTTGGATCTTGATGACGTCGGGCGCGGCCGCGGCCGTCGTCAGGAACCCGAACACGTGGTAAAACCCGCCGGGGTTTATGGCCACGCGCGACGCGGGCAGCGTGCACGCGCCTCCAGCCGACACCTGTACGTTCCAGATTTCTTGGTTCCAAAGCTGCAACGCCGAGCAGTCCAGATCTAACCCGGTTACCGAATTCTCCCGGTCGCTGTTCACAATCTTGGCCTGGTATTGCAGGAGCGGGCTCCCCCCCGACGTGCTAACCCAGCACTTGGTTAAGAACAGCGAGAGCGTAACGCTGCCAGAGGTGCTGGTCTGCAGGTTACCGCTGCTCTTGAGAGTCGAGCAGTCGGTCTCGGTGTAATCTGACCCGGGGTCTTGGAACGGCTCGAAGGCGTTTCCCCAAGGGGTCATTCCCTGCGCGGTTGGTACCGGGGTGGGGGCGGGAGTCAGAGCCGGGCTCGCGTTAGGGCTCGGGTTAGGGCTCGGGTTAGGAGAGGGGCTAGGGCTGGCGGCGCTCGGGGACGGGCTAGCGCTTGGCTCGGGGCTTGAGACTGGAGAAGCGCTGGGACTCGGGTTAACGCTCGGGTCAGGGCTCGGGTTAGGACTCGGGTTAAGGCTCGGAGAAGGGCTGGCGGATGGGCTAGGGCTCGAAGATGGGTTTGGGCTCGAACCCGATCTGGCGCGTCCTTTGCGGCCGAGCTTCAGAGCAGCCGCGGAAGGACTGGGGAGGGGGCTGTAGCTGGGAGAAGGGCTAGGAGCGTTTGAGTCCAGAGAGTCGTCAGCGTTCATCGGTGGGGGGGGGGCAGTTGGAAGGGGGGGGGTTCNCGTAAGTGGTGGGGAGGGGGGGACGAGTTGGTCCGTCGGGAGGGAGGGGGAGAAAGTAGCCGCTGGGTGGTGGGGGGG